ACATTGTCAAAAAGTTTTCGCTAACAATTTTATCAATAAAATTTATGGCAGCTGTCCCGACGGACCCTTAAAGCAGGCTAGCGTTTTTTTTTTACAGATCAGTTGCACGGAAAAAAACGTATTTTGAAATATTTGAAAACTAAAATCATATTTCTGCATAAATTACTGCTCAAGAATTATCATAGTTGTACATTTTTCAGCTTATCGTAGATTGAATTAAAGTATAAAACACACTTGATTAGTTGGCGTTTAATTGTTTGGCTCAAAATGGTGTTGGTCTAATTGTTTTGTATTTGCATATCAATTATATCAAGACAGAAAGTTTTGGTTTAATTGAAAGCCAAACGCAGCTGCCAAAATCATTTCAGTTATTTATGCAACGCAAACAACGGAAACAGTAGCAAATCCCCGTTAAGTCTGCGGGCAAGTTGCAAAAGGTTGTGGATGCTCTTTGGCGCCAAGTGGTGCGTCTAACCGCGGCAAGCATGAAGGGGGTGGCAAGCACATAGAGAGCTTCATGCCATTTACCATTTGCATGGCCAACATAGAAAACTGCAACTGAGCTGGCAACTGAGATGGCAACTGAGCAGCAACTGTGGCTGCCCCCAATCCTCCCAACCAACCCATTCACGCAACTGGCTGTCGCGACTTTGCCAAGTTGCATAATACATAATTTTTGTTCAACTTTTTTCAGTGTGTGTGCTCGTTTATTTTCTTCATCTTTATCTTATTTTTGCCACATGTAGCACAGCAGCTTTGCGTCTTTGCCGTGGCAACAACTTCTATAATGTGGCATACTCTCTTGGCTGCATTCATATTTTCACACCCTTTAGGATTATTTCGTGCATGGCATGTCAGTATGTGCAAGTGTGTGTGTGTGTGTGTGTGTGTGCGAGTGTGTGTGTGTGTGTGCGCGTGTGTGTGTGTGCGTGCGAGTGTGTGTACGCCTCAAGAGCGCTGCAGGAGTTGCTCCTGTTATCATTTTTTTCATACCCTACAAGGTACGATAAGAGGGTGTGACAATCTTAGGCATTGATCAAAAGTTGTTGAATATTATTTAAAGCTAGTTCAAATTTCACTCAATTTTAGTTAACATTTAAAAGAAGCTGTGAGTATTAGTAACAGAAGCTGCTAAAGTTTTAAATAAACTATCAAACAATTTTTATATAATTACTTTAATACATTTTTAGGGGATATCAGCGAGCTGATCTTCTTGCATTTGACTTATTTTTTTCTCCGCTTTTTAAAGCAATTTAAATTAACAGCAATGGCGTTCTACGTGTGGTTACGTATACTCCAACGTATGTGTGTGTGTGTGTGTGTGTGTCTGTTTGTTTATGCCTCATGGCCTGCTGGCTGGGACACGATAGGACAGGACGGGGCAGGACACTGCTGTCAGGAGTGCGACGGCAAGGCGACTGCTCGACGTTGCAATTGGAATGCAATTTGTTATGGAAGTTAAGTCTCCACTTGTCAGTTAAGTTTACGCTTCGCTGTTTGACTGTTGTCGCATGTCGCCCCAGGTTGCCCCATGTTGCTCGCATGTTGCCCCCAACTGCTGGCTCTCTCTCTGTCTCTCTCTTGCTGTGGACTGCTGTGTTGACTTGTGGCTGTGAGTTGTTCGGTTGTTAAAAATAATTAAAGTCTTTAAATATTTAAATTAATTTGCAGTGCTGCACAAAATGAATATTGTGTTGTTAATTGGCCCCAGACGCTATGTTCTCTCTGCTGCATAACGAAGCGTATACGTAATATTTTATGGCATACATTAAAAGAAACAAATGAACAATTAAAGCATGCAGCTATAGTTGTGTAAGCTGTTCAAAATGAAATATGTGTACGACTTAGTTAGTTAGAAATTGGAAAATCAGTTGTGATATTTAAATATATTTAAACAAAGAACACCCTTCATATTTCATAATTTAATTTACTTATTCAAAATGCGTGAAACCACTGATGCTATTTGAGTTTTAGAGCTTTTTAAATTTGTGCTGAAATTTCTAGAGATATTTAATTGTTTTTCAATTTGTAATAAATTGTTTGGGAAATATATATTCTAAATATGTCACATACACATCTCTGTCGCTGATCAGTCTAGACAAAAAAGAAAAAACCCCAAAACAATTACCACAAAAACAAAATCATTGAAACATCTTTATAATCGCTAAACACCACATTCGGAGGCAACTGTCGGGGCTAGGAAATCGATGGCGCCAATGCCAGCTGAAACCTCAAAAACGCTGCTGGAGTCCGTCGCCCCCTTTTACGAGTGTGCGAGTAGCTGTTATTTTGACATATAGCAATGGCTGAGGCAACTGGCAACTGGCAAAGGGGAACTGGGAACTGGGAAGTCGGAACTGTGGAACTAATGGAGCTGAAGGCCAAAACATTGTTGGCAAGTACAACAACAGCTAACAACAGGGCCTAAAATTATGCTACACACACAAACACACACACACACACACACTTATAAGCAGGCGATTTACATGCAGCAAAAATGTTGATTAGAAAATTAATTAAGGTTTTTACGATGCCGCCAGCTTTATGAGTCGAGTCGAGTCGAGTCGAGTCAAGCCGAGTCGAGCCGATTTGAGCCCCTAACTCTGAAACCAAGCTGAGTCGTCAGAGGCTTTCATGCTTGGAAAAACTTTCGCTCGGCGAATTTACGACATTTTTATGGTGCGCTGCCATGCGAGGGCGGCTCGTAAAAACTGCGTAAAACTTTTGCCCCATCAAATTGATAAGCCGAAGCGAGCGAGCTTTGTTGCTTAACCACCCCTCCCCTCCCCCTCCACCCCAACACAACTCTCTCCATCCTGGCAAATGATTCAGCTCGTTGATGGGGCGCATATGCAGATGAGTTTGTCATAAAATTTCAAGTAAATTTCGCTCAATAAATAAATTGTGCGAAGCCTTTCTTTTTCTTTTCAGTGGGCGTGTAAATCCAACACAATTTTGATAGCTTCTTTTTATAGACTCGCAACGTGTGCATCAGCTAATTGGAATATTTACATAAATACATAGAAGCAAGTCATTTTTTGATGACATTTCTCCAATCATTTGTAAATTTATTGACTAATATTGAAGACAGCGTACAAAAGTGCCGTGTTGCCTTTAATCGCATATATACCCTACACATATTTTCAAGTAGCAACCCTGCCGCAGCAAAATAATTGCAGCAACACAAAAACAACCAAACTAAAATTGAAGGGGGAAAAAAGAGGAGGGTAGTTGCTTCAGTGGCACTGCACAATGGCAACGGCAACGGCAACGGCAACTTGACGAAATCATTATATTGCTCCGACATTTATTGATGCCATAAACTTGAAGATTTATGCGTGCACCCACCACACCCCCTTTGGCGTATTGCACCACTGCAGTGGTGCCCAGTGGCAATCCTCAATGCTTAGCCCACAAAACCGCACACAAACACACACAATAAACCCACCCGGCTACATTGATACCCCCCACAATTTGGAATGGGCGATTCCAACAGCGATTCTCGCTGCTACGTGGCCATGTCAAATTTTTGGCATATTGCAGCACAGTTGGACGCATTTGGCAATATATATATATATATATAAATATATATATACTATAGTGTTTTATTCCATGCCTGATAAGTCGCATTACGTTCCCTTTCACACACAAAACAGCGTGTTAATTTATTTAAATTGGCTACGTGCAAAGTTGACTTGCTTGCGTCGTATGCCACGCCTTCAAATTCCGTTTCGCCCACATCGCACATTCCCATCCCCAGGATTCCGCCAGCGAAGGTGTCTGGAGGATGAGACTGTCTCAATGTTTGCACAAACTTTACATTTAACTGCGCTTCGTCGACTCCGTTGTCGTTTTGTCCTCCAATGCAAACCAATTTGCAACCGTCTCTGGAATCTGGCGCTCAGATTTAACTCGGCATTGCCGACATGCTGCTGGCGCTACTATCAATATTAATATAAATGATCAATATTTCATTTAATCAACCTGCTTTAAGTTTGTCAGAAGTAAAGCGATTTTTTCCTTTTTATCATAATATAAAATCAAGTTCAACCCATCAAAAGTGAACCAACAATGATTTTTTATCACAAATTATGACTTCAATTAAAATTTTGAAACGCTTTTTTCTTTTTCAAAATCCATGTTAAATTTTAAAAAATCGATTTAGCCCATGCAATTTGCTGAACCGCAGCTGGCAAACGCGCGCGCATAGAAACTCATTTGAAAGAGTGCCTCGACTCTGACTCCGACTCCAACTCCGATTCTGAGGCTGGACGATGACGTGCAGCAGCGACAACAGTGAGTGGATGGAGTAACCGTTGCAGCAATTGGTGGATTGGGTGCTGAGGCATGCGTTCAAGTGCCCATTGCCTGTGGGTTGATATGCATGAGCACAGCTGCTACACCAACGACTCCACAGCTGCTGCTCCTGTTCCTGTACCTGTACCTGCTCCTGCTGCTGCTGCTGCTGCTACTGCTCCCGGGGCTGTCTTGGCAACAATTCACGTGTCAACAATAAGCGCAATAACTTAAGTTCCATTCAATGGCAGAGCGTTCCACGCGTTGAATGAAGCCAGGTGCCTGCGCCGCTTGATGACGGGTCCTCGTGCCAGCCAATTAACTGGCAAATGAATTCCAACAAGGGGAGGTTAAACAAGTAGGGTCCACTTCTGTTTCTGTTTCTGATCCAATGAAGTGGCTTGCCCCATGCCCAAGCTATTCATGGCGTGCATCCAGAATCCGTAGCAGCTCCTCTGCAAATGAGCTGCGAAACTAAAGCAACCAGCAATAATTTAAGCGAACTTCTCATTTCCAATCGTTTAATGCTTTTGTTGTGAAATGTATATATATATATATATATGTATAACAGTGATAGCTGGCCTTACATTTGCTTATTGTATTTGTCTATCCACAGCTGTAACAATTGTCTTGCCTTTAAAACAAATTATATTATTTCAATAAATAGAAACCTAAAATAATAGATTTACAACAATTTACGTAAGTAGCATTATGAGCTCGCTATGAGTATATAATCCATATACGAGCATATGTATACAAATATTGAGTTATAGTTATGTATATAGCATTCGTATATACCAAATCACAAAACTTTTGATCTACAAAATATACACTAAGAGTATCGAATTGTGTAAACTTAAATATACAGATTAATTGCTAAACTAAACAATAAATTTTGAATGCGCACATGAGCCTACATACATACATATTGTAGCTGTGACTAGATTTCATATGTATATGTATATATATAATATTTGGGACGCACTAATCCGGCGCCTAAAAGCATGCTCCTAAGTCAAGCGATTGCTCTTCAAAAAGCTGGCCAACAACAGCATAGCAAAGGATGTGGTCAGAAACACACTGCCCGGTATGGAGCGACGTATGGGCAAATTGGGATCACGCTCACGTTGCGAAAACAGCTCCACATCCGCCTCGTAAGTCGCATAATTGTTCCAATGCAGACACTTCTTCACCGCATAGTCCCAGCGACGATAAAGCAATTCTCGACCTACAAAACATATAAAATACATGTGACATTATTTCATAAAATAAAAGATATTTTTAACCACTTACGATTCTGTGTGGTTGTGGGTGAGAAGACATCAGTGGGTGGCGCGTACATACGCGTTGCATACGGCAAGGAGACAATGCGCATGGTCACGCCAGCGGCTATCATGGCGCCGATGCCAGCGGGTGATGTTGTCTGCGGCCGCTCCAACATCCAGCCGATAATGTCAGCGACAAACTGCACCAGATGCGTATCCTCTGCATATTCGCCGCCGAACGTGAGCACGTGCTGCATACACGCCGGATCCCAGTTGGGTGTGTCGCGCTTGAATGCTTGCAGCACTTCGTAGATTTGGAAACCGGTTGCTTCATAGGCGGCCTGGGTAATGTTCTCCGCCGTGGTCTGACTTGTCAAACCTAGGATAATGCCACGTGCATCATAGCGCCAATAGGGCGCATATAAACCATGGAAAGCGGGCACAAATGTGATCTCCGAGCGCTTGGCCGCCAGTCCACACTCCGCATTCAGCATGCTTGAGGAACAGGATGAGGAGATCATTGAGTTCTCGCCAATAAATGTGTTCAATGATTCGACAACATTATCATTGGAATTGATCTCGGTATTGATGCGTAATCCCTTACGCAACCAGTTGACAGTGGAACCGGCATTAGAGATGGCGCCTTCTAGCGTAAAATGCGTAGCGGCAGTTGGTCCCAATTTGTGCGCAATGCCCGTTATCAAGCCATTCTCCGACTCGACCATCTGTTGGGCAGTATTCAGCAGGACAAAACAACTGTCATCCAGCGTACAGACATTCTGACCAGCCTTGACGCACAGCTGGCCAAGTAAAGCAGCCGGCTGCTCACTTATCACGCCAGCAATGGGCACACCCAATAGCGGGCCCTCCACAATATACCCGTAGATCTCTGAATTGGAGCGGATGCGTGGCAGTATTCCCATTGGCAGTTTAAAGAAATTACACAACTTGGCATCCCACTGCTGCGACGCGACATTCATCAGGGAAGTGTAATGTGCGTTTGTCACATCCGTCGAATGCACGCCCACATCGACGCCACCAGTTAGATTCTGGAGCACAGACAACAAATTATGTAATTATTCGACTACAATCCTAAGTTTGTATGGCTTACCCATATCAGCCAGGAATCCAGCGTGCCAAACAAACACTGCTCATCCTCGACAGCCTTTGCCACCGCTGGCACATGCTCCAACAACCATTTGATTTTGAGGGCACTAAAGCAGCTACTTAGCGGTAAGCCACTGCGACCGCGCACATAATTCACATTGCGCTTCACATTATGCAGCAGGGATTTGAGGATTTGAGTGCACCGGCAATCGGACCAACCGATTGCATTGTGCAGTGCCTGACCCGTCTGCTTGTGCCAGAGGACTGTGGTGCCGCGCTGATTGACAATGCTGACCGCAATGATGTCATGCGGACTGATTTCCAGTATCACCAAGTTTTTATACGCAGTCTAAAAGCACACACACAAATAGAAATGAGAAGGGTGGGGGATTACATTTGAAGATGATATAATCGAATTTATATTGTGTGTGTTGCGCACCTCAATGCACTCCTGCATGTGTTTCCATATCTCGGCGGGATCGTATTCCAGCCAGCCTGCATTATGGACGATCTGACGCAGTTTCAGTTCGTGATAGGCCAAAACTTCAGCATTCTTTGTTGAATAAATCTATGGAAATAGATATTGTGTCAGCAGGCGTGTGTGAGTATGTGTGTGTGTGTGTAAAACTATGTGTATTGGTGTGTATTGGTGAGCCGAAATGATTGTATTGGCTTTTGAACTCATACCAGAAAGCGGCAGTGGGTGCTGCTCACGTATGCAACGCCAATGAGTGCTCCAAATCTGCCATAGCGACCCTCGTTCATATTTTAATTGCAAAACAAGCACGTGCCGTTTTCTCTTTGAAGCGCAACGCGCGCCAAAACTGCGTCGCTCTGTGGAGATTTTCTTTTGTGATTGTGTTATTTTATTGTTTGTTGACCGTATGCTGCCAAGCCGTCACCTTGCTGATTAGGACGACCTGCCGTCCGAATATAAAGTCCCGTGTGCGCACAATTAAATATGATACATAATTCGATGAAATGGAGCGAGATTTTTAAACGACTCATTGATTGTTATTTAAGCAGCGGTACAGCAGTGTGCCCGCACTCTGGTAGCAACGAAATACTGAAAACGCTTGTCAATCAATACAAACTAAAAAAAATACTATGCTATAATCCTTAATATTTATATTTAATTTGAATTTTTAGCTGTATGCCCTTAGTTTATTAAGTCGAATTAAACAACGAATTAAAATTAAACGGTTCGAGTCGAATTAAACAGAAAAAGGAAAATTTGTTTATAAAACAATACCATTTTGAATGTTTTTAATTTAAAATTAATATTTTTCAATATCAATTGCTTCAAAAATGCCATTCAAATTTAAAAACAATTCGCAAGATCCTTTTTTTTTATAAAAAGTAAAAATATTTCTTAGCATTTCACATAGAACTTAACTCCAACAAATTTGTACCTCCTGAATTCCCTTTAGTCATATGCACTGTATAAAAGAACAGTGTCATGCTGAGCATGCATTGATATGAAATAAGACTGGTTGATGTTCAATATAAAAATGCTTTGTAATGCTAACAATGCATAAACTTGTAGTATAAGACTGAAATAATCGCAATATAAGAGAATTGAGCGAAGATTCAGAAATACGCTCACAACACTTCTACACTATAAACGATCGTTAACTCATTTGTTTCTCTTGTTTTGCCGTCTTATAATTATATATAAAAGCAATTTAAACGCCAGTTATCTTAGTCTGTCTGTAGAGTCGAACTAGCTTAGATCGTAGTTGCAGTTGTTTGTTGAAAATGGTGTGCGGCTGGTGTATTGCCACCGTCTTGCTATCTATTTTGATATACTGGCTAATTAAAATCAATGAAAACTATAATATTCTTGCCTTCTTTGCGCGGAGAGTGCATACGAAAGATGGTCGACCCGTAGAGAGTATAGCGCCCACACCAAAGGGTAAAACAATCTTTGCAAATTGTTTTGATCTATATGGAAAAGACGCTGGTAAGGCAAACTTTTAATTTACCTAGAATATATTATATACATAGTGATCAACTAAACATGCTGCTCTTATACTAGCTGGCGTTTTCCAACATTCCCGACACTTGGCTAAGGAAATGGGCACCAACTATTTATCCTATTCCCTGGGTACGGCCATGTATATGATTATTGAACCGGAGATTGTGGAATTTGTATTAACCAATCCGCAACTTATAACGAAAGGCATGGTTTATAATTTTATGAAATCTGCTCTGCGTACAGGTCTGCTAACATCCACAGGTAATCCCGACTAACCAAATACCCTATGTTTTTCATTCCTTTTGAGTGATTATCATATTATTTTGCAGGTAAAAAATGGCACACGCGAAGAAAGATGATAACACACACATTCCATTTTAATATATTGGAACAATTTGAAGAAATCTTCAAGTAAGTTTTTTTCCCCATGATTAGATCACATAATAATTGTGGTTTTATCCATTAGAGCGGAAAGTCAAAAGTTTGTCGACAAGTTTAAGGATCAGTCAGAGAGTGTAATATCGTTGACTGATTTAATACCCCGATTTACCCTCAATAGCATTTGTGGTAAGTTAAACACTAACCAAACTTGACTTATTTATATAATTGTGAATATTTTTAGAAACCGCCATGGGCGTAAATCTCGATGAAATGACGGAGGAGGGCGATCGTTATCGTGAGAGTTTTAAACTGGTTGAGCAATGTTTTGTGAAACGTATTAAAAATCCACTGCAGTACAGCGATACGATGTATAAGCTTTTTGGAGCCAAATATGATGCGCACTTTTTAAAGGTTGTGCACGATTTCTCTAGCAATATTATCGCGAAGAGACGAATTCTCTTGGAGAAGGAACTGCAGGAAAGGCGTGACGATCAATTGCCCGATGATGATATGTGAGTGAAGAACCTAAACAATATTGTATTATTATTATATGCATATATAATAGTCACTATCTTGCACCCAGTTACATCAACAAAAAGCGTAGATTTGCCATGTTGGATACGCTTATATGCGCTGAGAAGGATGGTCTAATCGATCACGAGGGTATCTGTGAGGAGGTCGACACTCTGATGTTTGCTGGCTACGATACCACGTCGATGGGCTTGACTTTTAACCTCATGAACTTGTCCCTGCACGAGGACATGCAGGAGATGTGCTATCAGGAGATTTCGGAGAACATAGATGGTAAGTTTTTGGCTAACAGGCATATCATTGATTATTATTGTTAACTCGATCTCCACACAGATGATTTGAGTAAATTGGACATTAATCAGTTGTCGAAACTGAAGTATATGGACCGCTTTATCAAAGAAACTATACGCATGTATCCATCGGCTCCGGTTATGGGTCGTCAGACGACAAGTGAAACGGAATTGCCCAATGGACTGATTTTGCCTCCTGGCACTCAATGTGTCATTCATGTGTATGACTTGCACCGTAATCCCAAATACTGGAATGCACCCGAACAATTTGATCCTGATCGTTTCTTGCCAGAGAACAGCATGGATCGACATAATTTTGCCTATGTGCCATTTAGTGCCGGTCAGCGGAATTGTATGGGTACGTTTAAATATCAATTCACGCTCTAGTATCTCTCCTAACTAAGCTCCAATTTCAGGTCAAAAGTATGCCATGTTGGAAATAAAAACGTTATTGATCTATATTCTGAAGCAGTTTAAGATTTTGCCAATTACCAAAGCTGAGGACCTTATTCTTCATAGTGGCATAACGTTGTGTGTTAAAAATGATGTTAAAGTTAAGTTTGTAGTGCGTAAATAAATATGAAGTTCAAAATAGTTAAAATCTTATTTTATTTTCCCTATTTTTAACTGACAAAATACCAAAATATACTAAAAGCGTAAGCGTAATACTGTCGAATGGAATAATAAACCGAGTTAGCAGCACCGGTGCCAATGAGCGTGCGCAGAGCGCGTAAAACAAAACTGAAAAAACAGAGAACCACAGAAGACATCGCGCATCGCGTAAAGTTCTGTTTTCTCAGATACTTGATGAAAATAAAAGTATCCATTGATATTACTGCGCAATTGAGAGTGCTTCTAATCAATGCAAAGAACGTGCGCTGCTATTAACAGTTTAATTCAGCACAAGCCGAACGGCTGCTACTTTAAACGTAAACAAATCCAAAACAAAATTAATAGTGGCCAAGCGACGGGGCAAACCAATAACAAAACCAAAAGGTACCATGATAAAAAGAGAAATGCAGCGCTATTATGCCGAACGTGAGACAACGGGACCCGAGTTTGGTAAGAAAGCCCTTCTTTTTTTTTTGTATTTGTGTTGGTACACAGAATCAACCCCCAACAACAAACAGCCCAACAGTCTTCCCCTAATACAGAAGACAACCTAAGGGTTGCTGCTGCCGATGTTATTGTTGTCAGTGGTTCAGCTGCGAAGAACCGTAGAATGCAGAAACTTACTGCGACACAGATTTTTAACGATTTTTAACAAATATTTCATACAGACGATCGCTTGATAAAATTGGTGCGCGCCAATCCTGCCATCTACGATGTGAGTCATCCACACTATCGCCGCAATCCCGTTAGAGTGGACATATGGGATCGCATTGCCAACGAGCTGGGCGCCTCCTGTGAGTAGAGAATGGAGCAATTCTATATCTAAAATAGAAGAAAAAGCTATTTCCAGCTTAAGTGATTTTCAAATTAGAATTTGTTTTGTTTTAAGAATAGCAATTTTTACTAAATCCAATCCCTACTCTATTTATATTCAGCACGTTTTCTGCAAACGAAATGGAAAAACATACGCTACAATTATCTGCAAGAGATAAAGGCACTGGAAACGGGACAGGTGAATCCGAATGTGCGCAAGCGACGCTTCACCGAGGATCTATCGTTTCTACAGAATACCGCACAAACGTACAATGTGAGAAAGGCACAATCCTATTTTGTTCAGACGGACAGGGACAGACAGAGCACGAATACAAATAACGGTGGCAGCAGCGACAACGATAGCAACAGTTTTCTCTATCCCGATCCGGAGCATTTGCGCATCGATCTAACGGAGAACTATGACATCATTGAGCTGGACGATAACAGTGAGGATGGTGGCTCGGGGCATGTGGACGGACACAGTGATAATGAGGTTGTGCCAGAGCTCATGGTCATGGAACCCAAACCAGATGTCACCTTACAACAACAGCAACCGCTGCTCACTGCTGTCAATGGTAACGGCAGCAACAGCAATAGCCACAACAATACGCAGGTCAACTCACCGGCCTCCTCGCCGCTCCTCATGCCCATGGTGGTCATGGGCAACGGGGATGAGGTGACACATCAGGATGAGCACAATAACAAGGCGGAACAACAACAACACCAACAGCAGCAGCAACAGCAACAACAACAGTATGGAAACAGTGCACTCTCGAATGGCGAGGTGACCATTGAGCCAATTTACAAAGCAGCGCTCACAGCGAGACGCTGTGCACCCGTCAAGGATATTATGGCGAATGCGGCCAAGCGGAAGGCAATGGCTGCTCCTCTGCCCAGATTAGCGCCCATCAATGATCCCATCGAACTGTATTGTTTATCGCTGGTGGACACACTACGCAGCATGCCCAGATCGGAGAGGGAGCGTGTTAAATTTGAGTTTGCCAACATTTTGAAGGATGCCAAGTACAAGGACGAGGCCTAATCTCAACTCTCAACGCTCTGCCTCTGTCTGTTTTACTTGATATTTACACATACGAACAATTCTAAGTCACATTAAATGTATTATTTTTTACATTCTATGCAAATTATAAAGCATTTTTCTAAGACGCTATTTAGACTTAAGCTTTAAAATATATATATATATATATATATATTAATGAATTTAATTTTTCTATCACAATGATGTATGTGTCCATATCTATTCAGTTGTATGAACAAAATATAATAAATTACACACACACAAACACACACATTCTAAAAAGCATTAAAACAAAAACAAAAAGAAAATAAACGTTTTTCATGTTACCGATTTTTACTCTGTGAAAAAGCTCAAGTTTTTTATGGATTCCTCCATTGAATGGAAGTACCTTAAAATCATTTGCAAACAAGTATAAGCAGCTGTCAACAATGAAATATTCTTACATGCATGTTTCATCCCTTAAATGATTTACTTTTCCCAAATAGAAAGACCTTGTTGTTTTATGTGCAGCTCAAACGCTCACGAAATTCATATTTATTACGCAAAATTTATAGTTTAAGGTATCTATAGTGTATATCTTGAAAGTAATCCGAAACGTTTTAGTTATATATATACTATTTCCGATATGATGTCTAGCATGCATATCCCCAAATATATTATATATACGTATATGTGTATTAGCTCGATTAAAACAACAGTTAATTCGTTTTAACTTCGTACCGTATAAAATCTATATAAACTATATGTGAAGGTATTTTACCAAATCGTAGTACAGTTTAAATAACTATATATAGAAAAAAAACAAAATCATCATATTTCAAAGTGAACAGAAGCATATGGTCTATATATTTTAAATATAGTTCATAAGGCATACTGCAATACGATTAATAAATAGTGATGTGTTAGGTTGTCACAATTGAAACAAACTGCTAAACTGCTAAAGAAAAAACTATTAGAAAAGCTCATAACTATGAAGGTTGTTAGTTGAAACGAATGTTTTTTTTTTTTTTAACTATAAAACTAGGTCAAATATACAAATACATATATATATCTATATATGTATATATATATCTATATATGTATATATATATATATATACATATGTATAATTGTATGTGTATGTATTTAGAGTAATGTTAGCACTTTGATCGCCCGTCTTGTGTCCGAGCTGCTCGTATAACTACTAATTATAATCTAGATTTATCTACGATTCATGGCGCGGCGTATTCAGCACTGAGCTTTGCGTCTGCAATTGGCGTCCATTGGCTGCATTTTGGTCGTTCTTGTTGTTGTCCTCCGTGTCCAAAATGTCAGAGAGATCATACATACTGGGCTGATAGGTCATCAGTTCCGAACCGCTGTTGGCTGCGAATTATAATCGAAGGATTAGCGATCTTTACAGATCTGATTTTGTTTCTTTTACATACCTTTCTTATCGGCGGCATCGTTGAGAAACGATAGGCCATAGTTGTCCAGCATGTCCGAATCATTAAAAAGCTGCAAGCAGAAATAGACGAGAATATATATTAGTTTATTTACTGCTTGTCAAGAAGATAGTAATCGATTAAAAGCGCTCGTATATCAAAACTAAAGACGCACCGCGCTAACTTTCAATAGCAGCTCCTCGTCGCTTAGCTGCAACGGGGCCATCCTGGTAGCAACGCCTTTTGGCGCCGCCTGTATAAAATATACATATATATATTTATAAATATGTTAGGAATGTTTGGAATCTGATAGCTAAAGCGGACACACGGATGCACCTCAACACTACAACTCAATTTCCAATTGTTATCAAATACTTACGCCCAACAACATGTTCTGATCAATGGAAACGCCCTCGCCGCGCAGCAGATCCTTGAGTGATTCAAGCTCATCTTGCATATTGTCCAGATGACCAGAGACCTCATCACTGCAATAAAGACAATCGTTTGTTAGTATTGCATTTAAATGCGGTGTGGGCTCAGTTTACTAACACGTGTCCATTATCGCCAGTGTATTTGGCCACAGTCATTGCTGGCGACTGCTGTTGTTTTTGTTCTGATTGCGGTTTTTGTTGTTGTTGCTGCTGCAGTTGTTGTTGTTGTTGTTGTTGTTGCTGCTGCTGGAGTTGTTGTTGTTTTTGTTGTTGGTCGTTACCCACATCCTTGACAGCAGCTGCCTTTGAAGTGGATGCCAAATTGGCATCAGATACCAATGCAGTCTCATTGCTGATATTGGTCAAATCAAAGTTAATTGGAGCATTGGCAAATTTGCCGCCATCAACTGTGGAGCATCCGAACTGCTGCTGCTGCTGCTGATCTTGGTTGACGGCAACTTGCTCATCCAGACCAGTGTTCGACAGCAATGAATCATCCTGTGAAAGCACAAAATGTGTTACTCAATAATAGTTAATATAATTATATGTATGTGTAGCTTACCTCAAAGATATTTGTTGGCATATCGTTGCTGATAAAGTTGACATTATACATATCCGCATCGCTGGACTCCGGCTGATCGAGCAAGCTGGGCATGCTGACAGCAGCAGGCTCTGCCTTGACCAGCACCGGCTGTGGCATAACTTGTGGCTGCTCTTTGGCCTGGGATCGCGTGCGTGTGGTCTTCGGAGACATATCCAGGTCGAGAGTGATGTCTGTCTGACGGCGCAGTTTGTTCCGCTCCTTGAGCAACTGACGATTGCGTGCCTCCTGCTCCCGCACCATGGGCGTGGTCAGCACATTGGCCTGTTCATCGCCGGTATAGTCAGGGCTGGTTTGACCATGTGAATCGGGCGCCTCGGTGACCGTATACAGCTCCTGTTGACCGCCCGGTGAGCGTGACACATTGGTTCTTGCCTCGCCGCCGCTATTCAAAAGTTGAGCATTTATAAAATCCTCAGCGCTCTGATTCGAATAATCGTAGTTTTGCGAACTGGTGATGCTCATGTTGGAGCGTGGTCGCTCCATGGGCGCAGGTGATACGCTGTCGGCATCATAATGCTTGGCGTATGGACTGTTCGGGTTCATCACCTCGTCGAGCAGCTCCTCACTCAACTCGTGTATAACTGGACCGCATTCGCTTTCCGATTCACTGGCGTTGCGCTTGCGAGCATTCTCCGGGTTATCGTTGATCATTAGCTGCATGTGACGCTTGACGCCGGACATATTGCGAGATGGCTGCACTATCGATATGAGGAACTGAATCAGCTTGTTAACGATTTGCTGCTGCTTGGCATGCTTCTGACGGAGCGAGGCTATCTCGCGCCACAGTGCCTCGTTCTCCTGTTTCATCACCGAGAAGCGTGAGTCCAAGTTATCTTGACGGCCACGCATCGCCTTCACATCGCTGAGCACCTTGGAGACGGTCTCCTGCTTCAACACACTCTTATCATCCACGGTCTTTGTATTCGATATCTTGCGCTTAATGTGATCCAGCAGATACGGATAATTGCGCTTGAAGCACGGATGCGAAAACTCAATCTCATCGCGATCAAATCGTAGCCCACCATTCTCAATTGAAGTGATCTTATGAAAGCCATCTAAAATGAACAGCGATAAATTACTAAAGTAACAAACTGACTTAAATCCCAATTATTCACTTACACATATTCAATTGTCGGATGAAGCTGGCCATGTTGTTGTGCTTGTAGTTGAGTGGCAAAAGCTCGCGCGCAAATTGCGCCTGATTTTGTATAATAAAACTGAGTCCATCCTGAAAAGAAGATAGAGAAAATTGATATAAATGGCGTACTCATAAATAAATCACAGATGATCAGTTGTTTGTTTAAAATCGTTCTCATCTTAGTTACAGTTACTCTGTTAACAACAATCACAAAATAACATAGAAAAAGCTTTCAGTGATTGGTTTATATACGGATTTCATACATACATACACACACACACACACTACTTTACTGACAATGCAACAATATTGTTATCCACTTTCGATTGATAAGGTGCTAATTAACCTCATTAGTGTCCTACAATATTTATTTCATAATTATAAATTTATTGATTCGCTGATAAGTGCATAATTTGATTAGTCGTTATATATATTATTTATCCATTTTGCAATATTAACTGCTGGCTCAGTTAAGCTTTCATTTCAAATAGCTACTTAACATATGAAAACTACACTGGGTATATACATATACATATAAATATATTTATGTCATATCGCATTAGTTAATTAAAGATGAAATATTTAGCCAATATTTGCGTAACCCTCAATTTGGGCATTAAAAGTCGCTTAAATGGCATTTGTTGATAAGAGTACGATTGAATTAATTGCGGGATGTGACACATTGCAACAATTATCTTATTATGAAGCCACACATGGAAAGGAGCGTGAGAAATATGGAAGTAGCCAGCCAGACCACCAAAATAAATAAAAGTCATAAAAAGCTTGCTTATCTTGGCAAACACTTGACGAAAGCAAACTCAAAACAGAATGCGAAACACACATACACACACACACTCGCGTTGAGACACAGGGCCGGAAAACAAAAATTGAATTGAATGGCGACAAACAAGCGCACAAACTAATAGACGGACGGATGGACGGGGTAAAGACATGATGGAAACTTTTTCAGAGATGCATTTCGGATGGAGAGTTCGAACGCACGTACGCACGCACTGCTGCCTATGGCCCCTGTAATGCGAGAATAACAAAAAAGAAAAAAGAGAGCAGTCTCCACAGTGCATACGTGCGTTTGAGCATAGCAACAACAATAACAGCGAACACGAATATGCAGACAACGATGACGTAGTGAAAGTCGAGCCAAAGTGTAACTAATAAATAACACCTGCTTTTTGTTGTTGTTGTAGCCATGACAAAAGCCAAAAAAAAGAAAAGAATATGTAAATAAACAATATGGCGTCCGCTTACCTTGCTCCAACAAATTAAATTATTTGTATCAGGATCGTCAACGAGGCGCCAGAGTTTTGCCAAAAATGCAGGCACTCCGCTGCCGCTGACATTTTCCCCGACTGTATGCATAATATTGCGACGTGGTCGCTTCAGCTGCTGCTGCTGCTCCTCGTCGTCGTCCTCTTCTTCCGTTGATTCGTGCTTTAATTGCACGGCCTTAAAGCTTGCCCGCGTTTTGGACATATAAAGCGACTCTAATAACTGTGTACGTAAATTTTAAAGTAGCAAAAAAAAACTTGTCTCAATGAACACGAAATTTTCACTATGGTCACAGTCCACATTCAGTCACTACATACAAATATGTATGCATGTGTGTGTGTGTGTGGGTTACCTACCGCAACTTTTCACAGCTGTTTTCGTACTTATTACGCGCTTTAAGAACACACAAAGAATGTTTTTCACTTGATTTACACTTTGTTCTCGTTAAATATTATATTTCGTTTGCCCAAGTATTAAGTTTATATATGTTTTTGGACAATTTAATGCACAGCGTAATTGTTGAAATCACGAATGAAGTACGTTTTCTTCTTCGTCCGCGTTGCCTATCGCTATCGGTCTCGATGCTGACTGACAAAACCCTATCGAACTCAACGCTGCAGCTATTTATACAGTTTTCAAAGTATCGAGTACTCGCTAGTATATTCTACCATATACACAACAATACCAACTATTTGAATCTGCTACACATTTTGCAAAATAATTTTTTTTTTAATTTTCTTGTCAACAATAATTTGGCTTATATATGTCAATTGCTGTAATTATTTAAATTGGCCAATGTGAAGCATGGAAAAGGGTCTTTAATAAAATGAACTGTCCAACACTATGAATTGAACGCAGGTCATTCGTTAACACTGTGCATATGCTGAAAAATGGCTGACACTTTTAATTGCCGAATCAAGTGATTGTTTTAGTGCATTTTGCTTAATATAATGCTGAAATATGCACAAAACAACTTAAATCTAATAAACGAATATAATTTAATGCTATGCTTATTTAATACATGTGTTGAAACACACTAAAAGGTACGTAAAATCATCGTTTCAAATTGCGGTTCGCGTTGTGCACGACAGTGAGAAAAAAGTGTAGCTAAGAAGTAGAATACAAAAGGGCCCGCAAACGGTTTTCGGTTGCTCTCTTTTTTTGTTCTGTATGTGTATGTGAGTGTGTATATATGTATGTGTGTGTGTGCTCAGCAACAAATTGCTTGAAAAAGGCGCCAGTTTGTTGTTGCTTGCCGGACAGGCAAAACTGAATTTAGATAAAAAAAATTTTATTCAATTTGTGTTTCGAATTTTACAGAAAAGACTGCGCACAAACGTAACACTGCACAATAATAAAGCAATCCAAATGATGAACAACCATTTTCACTTGCAACAAGCACATGACCACCACAACAACAACACGCCACAAAATGTGGCGCCGCAACTCAGCAACAACACGGTCGCAGCACCAGCCACATATAGTTATTTAACGCAACCCACAACTGCCGCTGCACCAAACCCCCAACAATGGTTGACCTATCAAATACTGCCAACGCCATCGCCCACATTGGCTGCAACTTATGCCAAGCGTTATTATGCCACCGCCAATCCGACAGGAGCAGCAACAACAACTGCAACTGCGACGCATCCGAGCAGCATACAAATAACCAACAATTATGCACAGCCAACGCAGCAGACGCAAGCGAGTCAATTTAAGACTAATAACATTAATAATATACGCATTATAAGCACAGCGCCCAATGTTTATAGTCTGAATAAAAGTGCTGAGCAGCTAAATCAGCTTTATGCCACGCCCACATCAACAACAGCGGTTACAGCTGCCACAGAACTTTATGCTCCCATGGGTGCTTATTATACAGCGGCGGCGGCGCCACCACCAAAGCTGCAGCCACCGCCACTAGTGCCAGTGAGTAAAAACAACAGCGTTTCAGCGCTTCAAAGCAGCGCCGGCGCCGCCTCATCCACTGTGGTGCTGGATCGTATTAATATATGCATAAATAATCATTATGCAGAACCAACTCTCTGCCAGCCTTCGCCAATAATACCCGCTATACAGCATAAGGCGCTGATGCCGCCGCTCATCGATAGCAGCACAGCGGACAGCAGTTGCAGCAGTAGTAGCAGCAGCAGTATTTGCTCAAACGGACGCAGCAATAGCAGTAGTCTCGCTACAACTGCGAACACATCAGCTGTCATTGTCATAGACGAGCCGGACTCCACAACCACAACAACAACACCGCACACGCCGCCCACAACACCAGAAACATTGAGTTGTTCCCCCTTGAAGTCACCGGGCAGTCAGAGCAGCAATAGCTGCGTGTTGTCACCAACGGCACAGTTGAAGCAGAGCTTCACCAATGTCACCAAGAGCATCGACGAGGCGGCAGCAGTTGAGGTGGCACTTGTGGCTGTTGTTGCCGCAGCACCGCCCACACCGCCGACACCCCCGCCACCACCACCGCCGCCGCCGGCACCCGCACCGGTTAGCTATGCTCTGCAGGAGGATGTCTTTGTCAAATGCAATGATGGCCGCTTCTATTTGGGCACCATAATAGCCAAATCGGAGCAACAGTACCTCGTCCGCTTCGACGACAAATCGGAGCAGTGGTGCGAGCTGGCGAAACTGCGCAAACTGGGCAACGAGCCGAGCAGCGACAAGAGCACTCAAAGTGGTCCCATGTGCGTGGCCTGCAAGCAGGCCCAGCACGAGGATATTGTGGAGATATGCGAGCGTTGCGGTCGTGGATATCATCGTGGTTGCACCACCGAAATTGCCAGCGGCATCTGGTGTTGCAAGCGTTGCGCCAAGCCAATGAAAATGCAGACGGCGCTCGAGGCAAATAAACCGCAAGGCATTTGCCGTCAGCTGCCATATCATGTAAGTCGTTATTATAATTAATAGTCTATTGTTTATTGTTATTATTGTTGTTGTTATTGTTACGCAGGTGGACAAGCTCAGCTGGGATGAAAAGCATCGCGTGAACGAAGAGCAAATTTACTGCTATTGCGGCAAGCCCGGGAAATTCGATCACAACATGCTACAGTGCTGCAAGTGCAGAAACTGGTTTCACACCCAGTGCATGCAGAACTTTAAGCGCAAGCTGCTGCGCGGCGACATGTAAGTATATATATATATATATCTATATCCAAATCAAATTCATTTGATGTTGCTCAAAATTAGTGACTTTTGTTAATAATGTACGCCAATTTGAACTACGCTTAGAGTAAACATTTTTTTCTATATCCGAGTCTAAATCCGAGTATCCGAGTATCCGAGTATTTATTTATTAAACAATACGAAAACTAAATTGCAATTCTATTCAACAGCTTCTTTGTGTTCTGCTGCACTGTTTGCAACGATGGCGTTGAGTATCTGCGTCGCCTGCAAATTGATTGGGTGGATATGCTGCATATTACGCTATATAATCTGCGCAAGCATCAGCACCAGAAGTATCATCATTTATTGAAGGACATTTGGCCGTTTATCCTGGAGCAGCGGCATCAGCTGCCCATTTGCGAGGAGTGGCGCCAGTTGCCGGAGACAACGCTGATGGAGCGCATTAAGCAAACGCTCAAGGAGTACTCGGATCGTTTCATCTGTGGCAGCGAGTTCAAACGTGCCCCTGCATACTATGCCCTGCGCCACAGCGGTCCGCCCCTCTCACCTCGTGTATTCCTGCAGACGGAGGAGGTGCTTTGCGATGAGCTGCTTGTCGATAAATTCAAACTGCTGCTGATGCCTGAGGAGGAGCAGGCGGAGGTGTTGAAGACGCAGACAAAGACAACGCAAGAGGGCGTGGGAAAAAACACCATCTCAACTAAGGACGTATACGAGTTTCACACGGATGAGGACGACGAGGAGGCGGCGGCCGAGGCAGAGGCTGAGGTGGATACCAGCGAAGATGAAATACCCATCAAACAAATCATGGAGAAGGTCAAGAAGCAAAACAGCAACAAGCAGCCACCAACATCAAACGGAGAGCAGCAGGTAAGAGTTGCCTTCGAGGTGGCAACGATCCTTGTCGATAAATAGTAGAAGTTCGAACATCTCATAATTGAAAATTCTACATCGTTTTTTTAAGCACCTAAGCAAAATGATTTGCAATACCCTTAAGACTTATACGATAAAAGTCAAACTTATAAATTTGTATCAAATTTTAGCAGTTGAGCATAATGCCGGAACGCACGCCCGATTTGGCCGATGATAATGCCAACGATGGTGAGCCGGGCAAGCTAATGGCGCCTGCGCCTCCTCGCCTAGATATCTCCTCCAGCGCTAACTGCAAAGTGAACGGCAGCAGCAGCAGCAATAGCCGGAAAAGAAAGGCATTCCGTTTGTCAAAGCGCTACGACAACAGCCGTCACTGTGATCTCTCCTCCGATGAGAACTCGAGCAGCAGCCGTGGTACCAGCTCGCTGGATCTCATCATACCGCCACCGGCCAATTTTCTCGGCCGCAATAATCCCTTTCTAATGGCCACGCCCAAGAAATCAGCCCAGCAGCGCAACGGTGGAGTCGGCGGAGTTGGTGTTACAGGCATTATCAACAGCATATTCAAGCTAAAGCATGTCAAGCAGTTGAACGGCATGGATCAGCTAACGAAGGCAACTGGCGGGGCCCAACAGCCGCGCATGCTGCGCACCGTAAGGCGAAGACTGAGTGCCAAAGATATTACCATTGGGCCCAATCAGGAAGTGCGCAGACGTCGCACCCGACGCATGACCACGGCCGTTGAGGTGAGTGTGGATTAGTCGATTTAGATTAGTCAAAACTTTTCAAAAGTGGGCATTTCCCTTATTTCCCTTTTCGATCCGAAAACTAATGACACTATTCCGTACACTTAACAGGTGATCAACACCACAACAATAAATCCTATACCCAGCCACTACTTTCCCATATATGCCAAAGATTTGCAGCCGCCGCCGCCAGTGCCACCGTTGCTGCTGCCACCAGAGAAGCCGACGCATGGCCGTTTATTACGGCAACGGCCGCAAAAGTCACGAGGCGGCACGCCGCCAAATAGTCGACGCAACTCCACCAGCTCAACAGCCACCAATGGCAGCAGCAGCAACAGCAGCGGCGGCGCTCATCATCACCCAAATGGAGGTGGAGGAGGAAGTGGGCACCATTCGATGCTGGATTTAAAGCAATCCGTAAATAAATACTTTGGCGGCGCCATGAATCGCATCGATGCCGGCGAATCCTTTGCTATACGGGCCAAACGACGTATGGGCAATGGCCATGTTCAGTATTTGGTGGAGTGGGGTGGCGATCCTCCTGCTACTGCGGCTGCAGCTGTCCCCCCAGTCACAACAAATGGAAACTAAGCATTTGGCACTTGATGCGTTTAACAACTGATTACTTATTATTATTATTATTCTTTATGGTATTTTTTTAATTTTTCATTTATGGTTTAAACCGAAAGTTTGCTGCCAGATCTTTAGGCCCAATTTTTTGTTTTTTTGTTAATCTTTGAAAAAGCCACTGCCAAATTAGCAAAATGTTTTTGGCATTTAAAATATGCAACAATAATAACAAGAATAACAAAAATGTAACTGAATACAGGTTTTAATTGTGCAATGGCAGTTTATTGTTGAAATAAGTAAAATATAACTGATGCAACATTTTTATTTTTGAATATTAATTTGGCACTTGAAAGTATTACAACATTAAACTGAAACTATTGTTTAAATCGACAGAAGAATGAGCGGAAACGTATTAAGTATCTAAATACATACATTTAATCGCCACAATTGATAGACGTTTTCTGAATAGGGTTAAGCTTCAGTTCGTTTCCAACTATTTTATAGCTATTACTACATACATACACACATATAATAACTATATATATTTTCAAAAAATATATGTAATGTATTTGATTAAAAAACAAAAAACAAAAACATTAACATACAAAAATATTACAAATCATGTTATGCATACAAAAAACATTAGGAGAGGTATACTTCACACAAAACTAATCGAAAGAAAAGGCAAACACAAATTAGGGATAATTCAAATTACCCATAGATTAGAAACAATTCATCAATGAATAAATACAATTGAACTTTAGTATGTATTATTAAAATCCACATGAAATCAAAATTGAGTTGAACGCAAACAAAATCTCATGCATTTCCATACGTATTTGCATTACAAATATAAAAAAGCATTAATATAAATGTGTATATTATACTTTTAAATAAATGTTTATAAATAAGTGGATATATTTGCCGATTTTAGATTGCTGCAGAAGATGAAATTGCATACATTGTGAGAAATTCGCTTGCCTATCGAAGACGACGGACTGCAACCTAATCGGTTATCGATTGTGGAAATTGTCGTTCCCAAAAGTTTGATTTATCATAGTAGGCTACAAAGGCATTGAAAAATGTTCATATTTTGACTCAGTTCAACAGTCTGCCTGCCACCACATTAGGAGACACACGAAGAAAATTAAAAAAATACGCTTATTAGCCAAAAAAAATCTTTCCAAAAAAATATAAATCGTTTTTTCTAATGCATTCAATCGTTTGGTTTGCTTAAGTTTTGTTTATTTTGTAAAAAATACAAAAAGATTACAAAAAAATATTATTTAAAACTTGTGCATACAAACTTGTGTTGCGAAACTACGCTCAATACGGTCGCCAAGGGTAAGTTCATTGTGGGGGAATACCAGATAAACGATACACCTTTGGGGAATATCAGACATATGACGCACTGGAAAGTTCTACGTTACGTCCATTCGCAGAACATCTTGGGTGATGTTGAAACTTTGTAATACAAATATAGCTTCCGAGTATAATCATATAGAATATCATCTAGGTATTTTGACATAATTCAAATTAATTTCTAGTTGCGGGTCGCATTATATATAGGCAAAATTAGCATTAATATCGAACAAGAACAGTGTTGGCTAATACCACTTTGCATACTTAGTGGCAACGATGGAGCAATGTGGAATAAGTACCAAATCTATCGACTTCTTTCATTTTCTAGCGAGAGCCGAACGTAGCGAGTGTTTTTCTCCCTGGTTGGCTCAGGCGAGAAGTATATTCGGCGAGTCGAGTAGAGTCCGTTTAAGTGAGCGGTCGTGGTTTCGCTTAGCACACGACTTATCACATATTTTTTGTGAAGAAAAAAATATTAAAAAAATAAAAAAAAAATTAAAAATATAAAAAGTAACCAAAAAAAAAATTGTAAAAAGTAGCAAAAAATTCGAGCAAGTGTTGAAAACGTAAGTACGATCGCAACAGCGAAGACATGAGACAAAGAGACGAAATTTTCTTGTGAAATGTAATTCGTGTGCCACGCAAGATGGCGACGTAAGCTATCGTCAAAAAAGAGCACAGTAAATCGCCAAAGAAATCGAACAAAGACCCAGCCCACTGTATGATTTGTAAATTGTATTGTGTACTTTATATTACTATGAGATTTTCTATGCAAATTACCGTAAATTAGTTCTTATGCTGCGGGCTAGACATATGCATGTATGTGTATGTGCGCATGTGGAAATTTTCCAACATGCGTTTTGGCTTTTCGTATTGGTGTGTGTGTGTGTGCGAAAGAAGGAAACACACAGCAGCAGCAACAACAAAGCACATGCCCATGCCGCGCAGTGTTGCCATGTCGACCAATCGACCGCCCGTCTAACTGTCACATGCGTCAGTATTGCCTACAAAGGCACGCACGCATACACACGTACACACACATACAAACACAGCAGCAGCAAAAGAGGAGCTGAAAACAGAAAACCACGCCGCTTTTTTTTTGTGTAAATTTTGATTTTTTCATTTTTGCGGTGCTGTTAGCCTCTTTAAAAACAGAAAGAGATAAATAGAGAGAGATACTTGGCAAATTGGTTTATAGCTTAACTGTGCAGTTATTCCATTTATTGCAGGAGGACATAATCACCAAACATGGCTTCTTTATACGTGGGTGATTTACACCAGGACATCAATGAAGCGGGACTCTTTGAAAAATTCTCCACTGCTGGCCCAGTTCTCTCCATTCGTGTCTGCCGCGACGTTGTCACCCGTCGCTCATTGGGCTATGCCTACGTCAATTTCCAGCAGCCAGCCGATGGTAAGTCACAAGTCATATTTGAAAATATTGTGAAATTGGCATTACTCGCTTGCATCTTGCATTGCATTGCTACAAGGAACTCCCAAGACTGTCCCCCCCACAGTGACACAAATAGCAAAAAACACGTGTACAAATTTGCAAATGCACGCACACAGACACGATTCAAAGCTCTCGCTAGTTTGTGCGTGTGTGTGTGTTTCCAGTTTTTGTGTGTGTCTGAAAGTGAAAGAGAGCGAACAAAATGGAGAAGAAGAATAAGAATAACAGCTGGCTGTGTGTGTTACTGGCTGCGAGTCATCAAAAAAAAAAAAAAAAAAAACCTGGAAGTTTCTATGCAAACTGCAATTTTCTGATGCTATAATATTTCACACTTGAACAATGGCTTATCGCATACGTCGCCGCACCCCATTCTGCAGCCTCGTCAGTTTTTATTTGTTTCTTTTCTTTTTCTTCGCAACTATTGTTCCCAAGCGGTGTTGTTTGCATATGTATAGATAATTATGTATACATGTATATATATATATAAATAAATATATATATTTATATATATATGTGGGTGTGTGTGTGCGTCATAAACATGTGTTTATTGTTTATGCTTGAGCATTTAAACATTTTAAAACTCGCTTCTTATTTTATTAGTTTTTATATCTATTTATAGGTTATAGTTGATTAGCGAATATTTGCACGTTTAACATTAATTTGTGTGAGGGTGTCGCCGTGGCAAAATTATATCTCTTTCTCTTCGTATTGCTTTCACTTTTTTGCATGTTAAATGCAAGGCCGTTAACGTAATACATGCTTATGTATATGTATAGATTCCTGTTCATTCATGTGCCGACCATTCATTAACACGTGCAACTTCTTGGCATGCCAAAGTCGAAGAGATCCAAAGACAACTTTTTTATTTTCTGTTTTGTTTTTACAAACGAAAACAAACATTAACTCAACTTTCACCGCACAGCGCAACCAACTAAAAAACAACTGGTGTTGTTGCTCACTGCAAAAAGGTCGTTTACATTTTGGTTTTTATTGAATTAACGCAAGCACAGCTGCTGTCTGTCGTGTCCCCCTGTGAAAGCAGCGTCAGCAGCGTAGTCAGTCATAAATTCCGTAGAGTTTACTGAACCGCGTCAGTTTTAGTTTTAATGTTTTATATCTGCTTGCTTTTTTTCTAATGGTTATGGCAAAGACAAGCAACTTCTACCCATTGGTTGGTCAAAAATCCTTCATTTTGAGTCAACTAAGATTCATTGTTGCTAGATTATTATTTCCGTGACTTACCATGTAGATGGGCAGCAATTCCTTTTTACAGAAGTAGAAGCGTTACAATCTACTACAATAGATGCTATGGTTAAGAATAAGCGATAAATGTGGCAACTTCTACCCATTGGTTGGTCAAAAAAAGAATCCATTTTGAGCCGACTAAGATTCAAAGTTTGCTAGAATAATTACGTGACTTACCGTGTGGATGCAGCACAAATTCTCATTCACAAAAGTAGAAGCGTTACAATCTATATTTATTTTCAGTATTAGTTAAATGTGGCAACTTCTACCCATTGGTTGGTCAAAAAATAATCCATTTTGAGCCGACTAAGATTCAAAGTTGCTAGAGAAATACTTAACTTACCATGCGTTAAGGCTCTGCCCTTGGGCATTGAATAGCTAGCGCAGAAGTAGAAGAGATACAAATATCTTGAAGCTTATGGTTTTTATTGTGTATACTACACAAAATATTCCGATTTTGCCATCTTCCATTTTTGCTCTGACCCTGAGCAATATTTGGGTATTGACTTAATTTACTTTAAATTTTTGTCCAAACGAAACTTTGCGTAGTTGGTCAAAACACGTTTGACGCTAGGCAGCAGTGAATTTGATTCGAAATAAAATGATTGTAAGCGATTTTGACCTTTAATTTAAAATTGGCGAAGTAATGTTTTCATTGATAGTTTTTTCAATTCCGTTTAAAATTTGCAAAGTAATGTTAACAGTGGTTGATTTCTCAGTTCTTCTTGATGATGTAACTTTAAATAAACAAATGAAACTCTTTTTCGTTTAATGATACAGCTGAGCGTGCTCTGGATACAATGAATTTTGATTTGGTTCGCAACAAGCCCATACGCATTATGTGGTCGCAACGCGATCCATCGCTGCGCCGCTCCGGCGTTGGCAACGTGTTTATCAAGAACCTTGACAAGGCCATTGATAATAAGGCCATTTATGACACTTTCTCCGCGTTTGGTAACATCCTCAGCTGCAAAGTCGCCACCGATGAGAAGGGCCACTCCAAGGGCTACGGCTTCGTACATTTTGAAACAGAGGAGGCCGCCAATACATCCATTGACAAAGTCAACGGCATGTTGCTCAACGGCAAGAAGGTATACGTCGGCAAATTCATTCCACGCAAGGAGCGCGAGAAGGAGCTGGGCGAGAAGGCCAAACTCTTCACAAATGTTTACATCAAGAACTTTACCGATGAGTTCGACGATGAGAAACTGAAGGAAAACTTTGAGCCATATGGCAAGATTACCAGCTACAAGGTAAGCATTCCCATTCCCAAAGCAGCCTACTGCTTACACCCATATATAGCATTGCTCTTATTATTATTGGTGTTAAAATCAACAGGTCATGTCCAAGGACGATGGAAAGAGCAAGGGCTTCGGTTTCGTCGCCTATGAGACAACAGAGGCTGCCGAGGCCGCCGTCCAGGCGCTCAATGGCAAGGATATGGGCGAGGGCAAAACGCTGTATGTGGCACGTGCCCAAAAGAAGGCAGAGCGCCAGCAGGAGCTGAAACGTAAATTCGAGGAGCTCAAGAAGAAGCGCCACGAGTCTGTATTTGGTGTCAATTTGTATGTCAAGAATCTGGACGATTCCATTGACGATGAGCGCCTGCGTAAGGAGTTCTCGCTGTATGGAACGATCACATCGGCCAAAGTCATGACCGATGAGGAGGGACGCTCCAAGGGCTTCGGTTTCGTTTGCTTCATCTCACCGAATGAGGCCACCTGCGCCGTGACTGAACTGAACGGTCGCGTTGTCGGCAGCAAGCCCCTCTATGTAGCACTTGCCCAGCGCAAGGAGGAGCGCAAGGCGCATCTGGCATCGCAGTATATGCGTCACATGACCGGTATGCGTATGCAGCAATTGGGACAATTATTCCAGCCGAATGCCGCCAGCGGTTTCTTCGTGCCTACAATGGCGCCCAGCCAGCGCTTCTTTGGCCCCCAGATGACGCCCCAGATGCGTAACACGCCCCGTTGGGCGCAACAGATTCGCCCCGCCACAGCGGTGCAAAGTGTACAGGCCGGTGCCGCATCTGCGGGTGCCTCCGCTGCCGCCGGTGGCTTCCAGGGTGCAGCAGGTGCTGTGCCCACACAGTTCCGTCAGTCGGGAACAGGTGCGCGCGGCGCACAGCCCCAACAGGTGCAGGGCACACATGCCGCCGCTGCTGCTGCAGCTGCAGCCAGCAATATGCGCAGCTCGGGGGCACGCGCCATCACTGGCCAGCAATCGGTGGCCGCTCCCAACATGCAGATCGCTGGCGCTCAAATTGCCGGCGGGGCCCCGCAGCGTACCACAACCTACAAATATACCGCCAACATGCGTAATCCGCCAGTGCAGCAGATGCAGCAGGCGCAGCCAATGCCGCAACAGTTGCAGGGCAAGAGTAAGTAACCAAATCGGAAGAGGGGGGAATCAATCCTCTCCCAAACAATAGTTTCTTATCTGACTGACACCGCATCACTTTTGCTTGCAGACCAAGAGAAGCTTATTGCCTCGTTGTTGGCTAATGCCAAGCCACAGGAGCAGAAACAGATCCTAGGCGAGCGTCTGTATCCGATGATTGAGCGCATGCATGCCGCTCTCGCTGGTAAAATCACTGGCATGTTGCTGGAGATTGAGAACTCAGAGTTGTTGCACATGCTGGAGGATCAAGAGGCACTCAAGGCCAAAGTGGAGGAGGCAGTTGCTGTCCTGCAGGTGCATCGCGTCAGCGAGCCCGCCAACTAAGCTCGAACCACAAAGCGGATTAAAAATTTTTACAAATCACTCGACACCCAAAAATGTAAATATTATTTTTGCAGTAGATGGAAACTGAAATTATTTATTTCTACCTTTTTCTCTTGCAGTTTTTTTTCCCTCATTCACTTTTCAATTTATACAGAAAATCAACACAAGAACAGAATTCGCATATTTATGCTCAAGCAAAGAAAAAACGCAGCGAATGACACACAATAACAACAAGAACTGGATGGATGAACAACAAACTTGAAGGCTAAAAGAAGAATAGGGAAAAACTCCAAAATAGCCGACTATTTATTCTTTTCCGATAGGGCAACAAACATACACAATATAAACAATTTCAATCATTAATTTTCGATCGCATTTACGCAAGTATTCAACGCAGAGGCAATTAACTATCTGCCGCTAATTACAACAATGGAAAACAAAGGAAAACATTTTTTTTTACATATACAGATATTTATTATTTCCATTCTTTCGATTCTTGATTCTAAACTAAAATGAAAACAAGAAAAAAAAACACAAACAGCGGAAAATATGTGAATCCGAAAACATTTTATATTCATATTTATATACATGTATAAAGAGATATATATGTATATATATATATATATATATGTTTCTTTCTTGAACTGAAATGTTTATTTTGTATGCGTACGCAAAATGCAGAATAAATAATTGTGAATGCAAAAAGAGAGAGCAGATACAGGAAAATAATTGAAATTGTTAAGCCAGTCGGCAAGTTTCTTGTTACATCAACACAGACACACACACACAAAAACTTTTAAAGAATTTTCGTACACTCAATATTATATTTCACATCTTTCAAAAACAACATCAACAAACAACACACATGAAAGTCAAATGTAATATTTGTTCTGTCATTTCAAATGAAAAAACGCAAACTTTTAAAAAAGATGAAAAAAAATAAAACAAAAAAATTGCAAAAATGTTAAAATAAATAAAAACGAAAAAATGAAAAAAGTAAAACGAGAGATATAGAGCAGAAAAAAAACCACAACAAACAACCGCAAGAATATGAGAGTCAAGTTTTTGCTACTTTGAAAAACCAACAAAAATCAATATGTTGAGAAGAAATACAATTTTAAAAACAAATATAAATACAAAAAGAAAAGCAAACAAAAAAAAAGCGAAAAACATACAAAAAAATTGCAAAAATCGATGTAAAAAACTAAAAAAAAAATATATACATATATATATATATATAAATATATGAAAAATACAAGAAAATATGAAGGCGCTAAAGCGCGAAACAAATCGTGAGAAGAGAGAACTTCGAAACGGGGAAAAATGCGAACAAGCAGAATTTTTATGTTTATTATCAAAAACAATTACAAAATAAAAACATTACAATTTGCTTATATGTATATCAATATGTATGTATACATATGTAAGTACATATCTATATATGTATACATACATATACATATACATTGCAACAAAAAGCAAAACATATAAAACGAGCGGAACGTCAAGTTATTTTTTATTAGTTGCGTTCAGCATTTTGTTAAATATGGCGATGTTTTTACACCGTACATACAAATATATTAACGCAAGAAAATAAAATAAAAATAAAAGAGTAGGCCATGCGCAAGTTGCTGGCAGTGAATTCATATTTTTTTATTAAATAAAATGAAAAAAAAAACTAATTGAAAAAATTGCAAAACACAAAAAAATTTATACGCAAACAGCTGCAAAAAATATTACAAAAATATAACAAAAACCAACAACACATAACCAAAACCCGATTTGGAATATTAAGGATTTTTTGAGTATTTTGCTAAGGAGAGATCAACCAAATTGTGCGAGAACCTTTTTCTTTTTATCAAATATAAAACCACAAACACACACACACATAAATATATATTTAAAAAAATATATATATATGGCAGATATATATTTAAAGCGATATAAGCAAACCTTAATTTGTAATAATTCAATATATATTTGTTAACAAATTGGATTGAACGCTGATTATTGTACAAAATTGTGCAAGAAATATCGCGACAATATGTAAGCGCCGCTTTGAGCCAATCCAACAAGATATTCGAATGAATTAAAGTAGAGGCGCACAGCAAGCAGTCAACTAAAACAACAAAAACAAAAAGAACAGAGCAACAACTTTGTACACCCTGAAAATTTCATTAAATAAATTTCCACTTCGGCAAAAACACAAACCTATTGCATTTTTATTAAGGGCAAGGGGTGGTAAGAATAAAACTATCTACTAAATTGTAGGGTTATTCATCCCACAACAATCGTGGCAATGCTTGAACCTATATATGGAGTGTATGTAAATGTAGTTATTTTTATATATTGAGATTTTCGATAAAATTATGTAACGAGATACGCATGTGTTTCGCTTCAATGAATTTATTTTATTGCTATATAACAATCGTCATTGCAAAGAGCAAATATTATTTAATGGAAAATTCAATAAATAGCCGTACAATTCGAGAGAACAAATTGCAGCATATACAAAAACTTCTTGGAACTTAAAGTAACAGTAAATTTAACAAAGCAGATTGATTGATTTATAATATAGTATAAACTTTTGGCTTTGCTTCGGCTAACAGAAAGGAGCAAACTCCAAGCTGATGTCGCACTCAGTTGTGACTAGGACATACTCCATACTCCATCGTTGATCGTTCCCGTCTTAGTCCTCATCATCATCGTCGTCGGAGGGCACAAACAGATCGTTCTCCTCCAAAAAGTTGGCCACATTTTTGCTAATTGTGGCGCCCACAAAGAGTCCCGGGATCACAGCACAGAAGATGGCGAACAAGCCAAAAGGCATCTCTGATGGCTTTGGCTTAAGGGCACCGCTGCGAAACTGAACTCCCGACATCTGACGACGTACAATGTTGTTGTTGCTGCGGGCAGTTTGTTGGCCAATTTGTTGTAGCGCTACATTGAGCGGATACGTCAATCGCGACACTATCATTGTGTAGTCCCTTAATGAGCTTTATATCTCTAGAAGATTGCCAATATATGTATGTAAAGCAGCAGAACCTTGCGATAATCGGCCGATATGATAGATATACGTAGCATCGAGATTCGCATGCAAAAATCGATGCCGATACCTTTTGAGTCATACCGATGGCCAACATTGCCACATCAGCTGACTTGTGGAATTAGTGCTGTACAACGTGGGGAGAAGTGCGCGTAATTCAATTAATAAACGAAGGTCTCATTTTAGATAAAACTGCTTTATTTATGTTGCTCTCATATTACAGCTTATAGATTTGGGTGTGTATATATTGCAGAGCGATTATAAATGCCCAAGGGTTACATTTTTTTTTATGTATATGTATAAATATATATATACATATGTATATATATGTATGTTTGCCTTCAACTAGTAAAAGTTACAAATGTTAATAGCCATTGATTGCGTTTTTAAATACACCGATCTATGTGTGTTAATTTCTCTTCTGTTTCATTATGGTTTACAGTTAATTGTTCATTTTTGTTTTTGTTTTACTAACATTACTGATATTGGTATAGCTCATTTGCTTGCTAAACAATATACAAAAATTGAATGAATATTATAACAAATAAAATATTGTCTGCCAATATGCAAGAAATCAACTTAAAATAATCAACAAGATGCTCGCCTTGTTATTAGAGACAAATACGTATAGAACTGAGTTACATATAGATACTCATAAACTTTGGAACGGCAGGTGTACACTAAGTTCTATTAATTTGTGAAGCTGTTTTACGTTTTGCGCACTCGTCGAAGAATACTTTTTGCTTTTGATTATCGAAAATTTTGTGTAGGAAACGGGTTTGCGGACGTTTGTTGATCTTAATGTATAAATATATAACTTAAATAATAGGCAAATTTGTGTTTGTTATTACTAAATATTGTTTTTTTTTTTTGTTTTGATTTTTTGTTGTTTGTGATACTATTAAGAACTGAAAAAGTTCTTGTGGAATCTATTTACGGAAAGAGCTTATCGCATAAGAATTCTCTATTTCCTTTTTCTTTTTTTTTTTTGTGTACATGTTTTAGGCCTTAAAATCAATTTAAAATTGCACTAAACATACAAATAGAACAAAAATAAATACATACAAAATATAATAAATTACATTACGTACAACTTGGTTGAATGTCGCTTTTAAAAATGTTTTAACATTAACAACTGAACATTAAATTGGCTACATTTTGATTTTGAGTGTTTGCGTTTAATGGAAAATTGATGAGATAAGCTTTTAAAGTGTTTTATATATTTCTAATGTGTGTGTTCCAACTGATAAGCGACGACCACCAGCTTAATCTCTATTTCTAAGCTGATTCATTCTGCAGATAATGACAAAAAGTGAAGGAGTCACTAATAATTGGATTGTAAAAAAAAAAATACAAATGACGAATGTTTAAGTTAAGTGCGCACAATAATTGAATTCAGAGCCGGTGCAAGACTAAATAAAGAATGAATTTTTATACATTCTGACAATGATTAGGCATAATCCTTTAGCCGCGTTTAGAGTCAATAAATGATGACACGTGTTTCTTCTTTTTTTGTTATTGTTTGCTTAACCTCTTGTTAAAAGTCCATAACAAATTTAATTCGCTCTATTCTAGTCTTAAATTGCAATTTTCAGAGCGTTACACTTTATAATTTAAAAAGAAAAATTAAACAAAACAAGGCAAAATAAAGCAACTTACATAAACTGTGGACACGCTAATTTCAAATGATTTATGTTTGAAAATTGCAATTTTCTTTCGGTGACATTTGGGCGCATTTGTGAATTTATATAGGGGCGTGGCGTGGCGTGGCGAAGATGGGGGCGGATTCGGGGCAGACTCAATCGAATTCGGCAATGGACTGAGTTCGGCGGCTGCTGTTGCGATTCAAATCGACCGGCTTAGTGGCGCCCGGCGTATTGGCCGCTGATGAGGATGATGATGATTCATCGCTAGGTCATAAATCCTGAAAGCGTCGCACATCCTCCCAATAGTGGGCGGGTATCTCGAACAGCTTAGCGGGTATATTGTCGCGAAACTCAAACTTCTGAAATGTCACCTTGGCGGTAACCGTATGCAATACGGGTATCTCAATCTTAACGGGAAAGCCCGTTGGCAGTTTTAGGGTGACGAAATCACGCAATTTATTAATATGCTTCAAAGGTGCCACGACCTCAAGCACATCCAGCAGCATATCGACGCTAAGTGGAAAATCAGCGCTCATCGCAACTGTGGCACGCAGCGTTTTATTTGATTGCTTGTTGACGGGAGTGCGTCCCAGCTGGGGGCATTTGCCCACTGGTGCACTAATATATTCCGACCAGGTAACACTCGTCGTTGGTGGCGGCTGCAACGAGCTGCGACGCGGCAACTCCGGCAATGTCAGCGTGCTGCCGGATGTTGGCGTGGATGCCGCATGATTTGATTCTGAATGATTGCCACCCTTGGTGATTGTCTCGACAATGGCGCGATTCTTTTGCAAATCCTCGTGAGATAAGTGCTCCCGCCGCTTGCGTTGCTTGAGCACCAATCCCTGTATGGTATAGATCTCGCATTGATATTGTCCTCCAATTAATTCCTTGCGATTCGCCCGGAACAGCCAGCCGCGCTGGGCACGTGCAAACTGAATGGTCTTTGTGGACATCTGGGTGGCCAGGATATCGGTGGACATGAGCACATCCACCTCATCCTCCATATCAGATTCCTCATAGCGCAGACGTTGATAGCACAATTGCTCATTATCTAGCAGAACGAGGGATTCATTTGGTGGCGCCTCGCCGCGAAATAGAAACGAAATATCGCCCCGATCCCAGCGCATATCATTGAAGTCAACTAATGTGGTATCCAGACGCAGCGACGCCCCACACTTATACAGCCGACAAATGTCCGAGGGCAGAATGCGTGAGACGAGCGGCAGCCACGACTGAAAATCCCATTTGAACTCCATGTAAAAGTCTTGCATTTGACGCAGTGCTTCCACGAGTCGTTCGCGTCGACTCTCCATGTGCTCACGCGACTGCAACTTGAGCATGCGTAGCAATTGGGTTATCGTCTGGCGATGGCCATAACTGATGGCCTCGGCCAACGGTGACCAGCCCTCGTTGTTCTTCACCTTGACGGGCGCATTGTTCGCGAGCAGCAGACGCACACAGCAATTGCGGCCGAGCATTACGGCCAGATGGAGTGGCGTATTACCGTGCGTATCCTTGGCGGCCACCTCTGTTGTGGCACTAGCCAGGAGGAGGCGACGCTGCAGCGTCCTTATATCATTCTCAAAAACGCTGCGATGCATGGGAAACTCAACGCAATCATCTGCAAGGGGGGCAGGTATAGGTGCAGGTGTTATTTTTGTTTTTGTTGCTGCTGTTGTTTTTGTTGTTGCTGTTGCTGCTGTTGTTGTATCGTCATCATCGTCGCCCTCGCCCGCCGATTGATACTCATCCGATTCAGAGTCATCGTCAGGTGAACCGTTGCTTCCCTTCCCGTTTGTTGTATGCTTTGTGTGCTCGACCTTTTGATTTTTGTCACACTCGTCCACTTTTTCGTTGGACATGTTTCACTCACCGTCTCTTTACCAAAACACACTTTTTCTTTTTGTACTTTATACAAAAACTGCTGCTATTTTGCTGTCCAAAAAATGGCTCTGTTTATTGATTATTATTAGCGATGGACTGACGACAGCGATATGTGCAACATATCGATAAGATATCGAACAACGCAGTTTCTTTACTGGCCAGTACATTTTCTGATAGCTGTTGCGGAACGAATTCGATTAAACATCACTAGCGATTTGAATGGTTTATTGTACGACTATTGCAGAGTATGCCGGCATATTACAAACAAAATATGTTGTTAACAAACACAAACAACTGAAAGTTAACTAAGTACTTGCTATTTTTTATATCTATGAAGTAATTTTTTTAATGTAATTTATTATCAGTCTATGCATACCAACAATTGATAGTAACAAACGCTGTGCACTCTGCCCATCACTAATGCGTCCCATACACGTTACATCCAAATTGAACAGCAGTCAAAATAGACTAAAATCATTTTGTGTTTTTAAATCTCATTAGCTAAATGTGTTAATTATGTCAAATTATTCATATAGTTTGGCTATAAATTCCCAATACCAGCCGATTGAAACGTGTGGGGGCCACGCATAACAACATCAAAATAGAGAAAGAAAAAAAAAAACAAAACACAGCAGGCAAGGCGAATCCGGAAAGAGGGGGCAACTGCAAGCGAAGACGAACGGCAAAAAAGGCAAGGCAGCAAGCAAATAATAAACTTGAACAAGTTTCATAATAATAATAATAACAATCAGAATAATACCCTAAACAACAATATCGCGCAGATAATGTCGAGCGATGAACTGTCGTGGCGCACCAAATATTCGAGTTCGCGTTATCAACGCCACGAAAGCGCCGAGCAGCGGACGCCCTTGAATGCCAGCTCGTTGCACTGGCAGCGTCAACAGTTCGGCAGCGATGTGGACGAGCAGCTGCGACGCCGGCTGCATGCCTCGCCCGCCTACATAGATCGACTCGAGCAGGAGACAGTCCTCGCCGGCCACGAGGGCTGTGTCAATTGTTTGGAGTGGACAAGCGACGGCCTGTTGTTGGCCTCCGGCTCGGATGATTATAAGGTGATGATATGGGATCCGTTTCGGAAGCAACGCGTCCACACGATCAACACGAAACATTTGGGAAACATATTCTCGGTGAAGTTTTTGCCGCGACACAACAACAACATTGTGGCCACCTGTGGCGCCGACAAATATATCTATGTCCATGACATCAATCATGGCAACGAAACGATATTCAGCTGCAATTGTCACACGATGCGCGCCAAGCGACTGGCCACTGCACCAGATTCACCGCACATCTTCTGGTCCGCCGGCGAGGATGGCACCATACTCCAATTGGATATGCGTGAGGCGCATCGATGTCGTGGCTCCGACGAGCAGCCGCAATCGACTTGTGGCGTTCGGTTGCTCAGCCTGTGCACGCAGGTCGAATCGACAACGGAGGCCAAATGCTTGGCGATTAATCCCCGGCGAACTGAATATCTTGCAGTGGGTGCCACTGATCCCTATGCGCGTGTTTTTGATCGCCGCATGCTGCCAGGCGAAGGTAATTCTTGGTACACCTTTAAGGATTTTGCTAAGGTATTTCTTAATTTTTCTAGCCAGCAGCTGTGTCTCCTACTATGCACCCGGCCAGATTGTGAAGAACATCAGTCGCAACATTGTCCACGAATCCCGAACCGTCACTTATTTGACTTTCAATAGCTACAACTCAACGGAGCTGCTGGTGAATATGGGCTGCGAGCATATCTATCGCTATGATATACACAATGCCACTGCGCCCATATTCTATGACCTGCCCGAGTACACAGCAACGCCTACCCAGACGGAGGCGGAGCAGCAGGATGAGCATACAGAATCCAAGAGTCCAGAAGTGCGAACGTCCAAGAAGGAACTAAAGCGTCGACCGCTACCCACGAGCATTGAGCAGCACAAGAAGCAGGGCAACGAGCATCTCGAAAATGGCAAATTGCTGGCGGCAATTGATGCATATTCCGCAGCACTGGCGGAATATCCACAAGGTGAAGTTCTTTATTTGAATCGGGCAACGGCGTTGATGCGTCGCGGCTGGTTTGGCGATATATATGCGGCGTTGCGTGATTGCCATGAGGCGCTGCGTCTGGATCCGACCTATGTGAAGGCGCACTTTCGGCTGGCGCGTGCATTGCTGGAGCTGCATCGGCCGCAGGAGGCGCACAAGTGCCTGCAGGAGCTGATACAGCGATTTCCCAGCTTCGCTAACAATCACGGTGTGCTCATGCTACACAAGGACATCCACGAATCGCACGAAACTGCTGGTCACATGTCCGATCATGAACCGGTGATGATTGAGAACGGATTTCGATATCTCCGGCTCACGGACGATGAGTATGCGCTGCGCCGTGCTGCAAAGGATTATAAGCAGCGCTATGTCGGACATTGCAACATCACAACGGACATCAAGGAGGCCAACTATTTGGGCTTCTACGGCGAGTTCATTGTAGCCGGCTCCGATGATGGCAATTTCTACATCTGGGAAGGTGAAACGGGCAAAATTCGTGCCGTGTATCGGGCCGACAGTGCCATTGTGAATTGTGTGCAATCCCATCCAAATATATGCATGTTGGCCACCAGTGGCATTGATCACGATATCAAAATCTGGTCACCGTGCGCTCCCAGCGCCGCGGAGCGACCCAATATCATTGTGGATGTGGCACGTTATGTGGAGGATAATCAGGAGAAAATGCGCACAGATCCCTTCGAAGCGAATACGCGCAATGCGTATTGTTTTAATAATTAAATGTGTCACACACACAGACACACACACCGCTAGTATAATGTCGAACTCTAGTTTTAAATTGGAATTGTAATTGTAATTGGAATTTGCAATACAATTCAAGCAATAATAGGACACTTCTCCCAATCACTTCTGCTAACGAATCTTGCAGCATTAATATAATATATATATATTTATATATATATATAGAGTTTATATAAAGCTAATAGTGTAATTCGCAATAAGCGCCATCAATTTTGTTAAATTGTCAAAGAAACCTAATTATTAAGCACATCATATGGATATGTTATCTAAGAAATCAAAGTAATAAAATTCAAAGAATTGAAATGGTTCGTTTTAAACTCAAATAAAAATAAGGTTGCATATTACGAAAACTTCTCTTTATATGATGTGAACAAATGTTTTTATAATTTGAGATTAAGTCCGTCGGAATATTGATTAATATCAGCTTTGAACAAAAAAATCGACAATTTTTGCATAGCCACTTTACAAAAACATGATAATAATATGAGCCTTTATGTTTAATTTCAATAATTGACAATGTTTATATTTTTGGAATTATTCTGTTTATTTATCGTAGTTATTTAAATCTATGCTCACATGTATACATATACATACATATAAATATTTTACTTTATGTAATAATATTCAAGTATCGTTTTTTTTTTGTTTTCTCTTGTGTTTTGTTGTTATTAAATTTTTCATCAATTTTTATCATTAAAAAACTAAGTAGAATTGATAGCTTCACATGAATGTTTTCTATCTTTATATATCGCAAACGGTAAACGTTATTGTAGTTGTTAAAAATTATGTTATGGTATGAAAGTTGAACAATTTGATTTGTAGAACAATTTAAAGTACTTAAATTTTTTTCATTAAGATGTAGGATGTTTAGAATTAAATATATTTCTCTTGCTGTCCTTGAGTGTATGTGTGTGTTGTGTGTGGGTGGTGTGTGAAGAGTGTGGCATGTTGTGGATTTTAGTTAGTGGCTTAAAATCTAACTGAATGTGTAGTAAATATTCGCGGCCGTGCGGATGATTTTTAACGTTCTACTTGCACATTGTTTCACACTACATATTATGTATAATTATGTTTCTATATATTTTTTTTTATGAATTCTCTTTTAATTAATTTACAAAAGTGCGTATTTTTGTTTCATTCTTTTGTTTTTGTAGGGGGTTGTCCATATTTTGCTTTTTATACAGTGTTTTTGTGTTTCATTATTTTTAAGAATAGTATATTACAAACTATTTTATGATGAAATTAAAAATACGATTCAAATCAAATTCAATGGGTCGTCAGTGTTTATAAATATTGCAAATTAAATCTTCTAAGAGGGGGGAGAGACGTCGGCAGGGCGAACCATAAAATCGTTAACGTTACTTTTTCAGTTTGAACTATCGTATATCGCTGTCAACTCTATTTGTGTTTTGTTTTCTTTTTGTTGTAGGTGTGCATTGATTTTTGAAATGAACTTTTGTGTGTGTGGGGGTTTTTCAAATGTTGATTTTGTTGTTGTTTCCACTATTTCCTTTTTGATTGTTGGAATTTTGTTTTCTTGCTTGCATATATAAGTTTCTTATAGTTTTGTTTATGTTTTTGTTTGTTTTGTTTTGTTTAATTGTTTAAATACCATCAACCCTCCCGCTTTATAGTATTAGGTGTCTCTGCCAGACCTTTCACTTTGAGTCGATCAGCGGTTTTGAGAAATGCCGGCAGCTGTTCTTGCGATACATTCACTTCTCCGGCATACATGAACTCCAGTATTGCCTGCAGGTGTATGTAGGACACATCTTTCAGTATAATAATGGGATGTTTTGAGGGATTTTCCTACAACGACAAAGAGATCACTGAATTAGATCGAAGTTATTTTGTTTGTATTTATTAGAACACTTACCTCCAATAGCGCCTTGAAGTAGGGACTGCAAGCTGAAAGCACCATTTTGTGTGCTTTGCAGGTTTGGCCTTCGCAGGCGAGTGTTACCTGTACAGGAGAATCAAAACGAAATCAATAAGTGAGCCACACATCACAAATATATGAACAGTCATAAGAACAGAAGGAATTAAAATAACAGGTAGTTGACCAAACAGGTAGACAGCAACTATGAATGGAATCGTAATGATCATTTGGGTAGATATTTGAAAGAAAAGTGAAGGTTCAATGAAAGCAATGACGCTTGTTTGTTGGGAGCAGTGCCAGAAAAGGGCAAGACAATACTTACATCTGTGAAGCTCTTCTCATCGCGCAAGTGACGGAACGAGGTCACCATATTCGTTTGAAAATCGTTCCATTTTAGAAAAAACTGTTGATCCGACGACATCATGTAGAAGCTTGTGTTGTTTTCTCCTAGTTGTTTTTTTTTTGTGGTTGGGAGAGCGTTAAGGGAAAACGCGCGCTCACACAACACTTGATGTTGATATTGATATTGTCAGAATTGGAAAAATTTAGACGCGCGGCCAAAAGAAAACTCCAGTTAAATCACTCTTAACTTCTGTGCAGTAATTTTATTTATTTGTTTTGCCTTGATTTCTGAAAAAGAAAAACAAAGTTAGTAAAAAAAAACAATACACAATCAAAACGTGACTTTAAATAGCAAGGCAATAAATACTAAAATAAGCATAAAATAATAAGCGAATTTCTGTACACAAAAAAAAAAAAAGAAGCAAACAGCCCCGAATCGGAGTGTGACCGTCGTGAGAGAGCAGTGCAGCGCCGACTAGAGCCAAGCTTGCAAATTGCGAAAGAGTAGCAAAGCAGTCGCGCTGCCGCTGTCGCTATCGCTGGTGAAGTCTTAAGTGTTGCACAACCGACGACGACAACAAAAACACCAACGACGACGACTCACAGCCGAAAACATTCTATACAATAGCAGAGAAAAAAAGAAGTGTTTTGCGCAGACGCAATGTGCAGTTGCGGGCATGGAATGTACAGTGTGTGTGTTGGAAAATGTCAAATGTGCAAAGCACAACTCGCAAAGTTACAAAGTAAAAACGACAAAAACAACAACAAACAGCGACAAAGGTTAAACAAAATATCAAAGACTCGCTCGCTCGTACGCTCACATTGAATGCCTTTCACTTTTCAAGGCAATTTCTGCATTTTAGTCATTTGCGTTGCTTATTTGAATTTTGAGTTGCGCTCCCGCACAGTGTATACAAAGTAGATTTTCGCGATTATTTTATATACGTCGCGTAATGATCAATATCAATTTGTTTGGATTTAGAATATTATTAATAAGTTCAATTTGAATTAACTACAGCCAATCATATTAAAAATAAATTTGTATGCAAATAAAAATGTTTGAAAATTTAAAGCAACTTCACCACTGTGCAGACAACATGTGTTGCGGTTGCGACAGTCGCTGGGACCAGCTTGTTGACGCTGCCATATGCGCTACACTTGCGCCGGCCCAGTGTGGGCGGCTTGAGACCCTAACAGTAAAACAGTGTAGCGAGTACAAACTTCGTCTAAGCATTAAGTTTAAGGCAGCGGCTCTCTCACACACACACATGCATATACACAGCCGCACACACACACACAGGGCTAAGCGCTCTCAACTTTCAACTGCCGTTATGATTTCGCAATTACATTACAACAGCACCATAACAGCAACAAAAATAACAACATCAACGAAGAAGGCAACGAAGAGCAGACATTTGCTGGAAATTTTAATTGCATTGGTGTGTGTGCTTTTTATAAATTGGAACTATCTCACTTGCACTAGTTCAGACAGCACGACAATAAAAAAAAAGTTGTCGAGTTATGTTGAAATTATCTAATTTCAATGACTATTGGCCGTCTATTGATTTCCTCCTCCCCACACACACCTTTTCTGTGAAAGCACCCACAATTGCATATGTTTATTTCTTCATAAGGAAAATACCAGTTTTTAAGCTGAGCAAAGACAACAACAGAGAAGAAAAAAAAGAGTGCCGAGTGACGACAGCAGCAACAACAATTTGAAACGAGTTCGAACGAAAGTTGCAACACTCACAAAAAATTGATGAGCCGCTCTCGCGCAAATGCTTGTTGTTTTTGTTGTCGTGTATTACTCAACATGGCGCTCACAAAAACAATATAGGATGATGAGGCGAAGGAACGACGAACTACTCAAAATTCACTGAAGAAGAAATGTGCGAGAGTCGTTGCTGCCGCTGCTGCTGCCTAGACAATGGCGGCAGCAGCAACTCTTCGTGGCATGTCACACAACAACAACAATGCTCGGTATTTTCTTTGCATTGCTTATGTCTCTTTCGCGTTTCTAATTATTTTAAATGATGTATTTGTACTTGTTTATGCAAATATTATTGTAATATATAGTTAAAATTAGGTCGCGCTTCGTTTTACTTTGATTCACATACACTAACACACACACACACAAAAATACACGCGCAATACAGCAGGCATACAGTTGCATGCACACACACACACAATATATATATATATACAATATATATATAAATGCACACACACATATACACTTGTGCCTTTTTTCTACACTTTCCTAATCGCTATTTGGCTTGCACTATGTACTTTTTCCAATGCGTACTGCGTGCAATTGAATAATGATCATTGCAAATGCAATTTGTATGCGTTATGTGCACGTTTTTCTTGCCTTTTCTGTTTCAAATTAATACATACACGCTTTTTTAGCACGCACTCACTCACCTTCTGTACACGCTCTGCTTTCGCTAATGCTTGCTTTGCTGCTTTCTTTTTTCTCTTTTCCGACGAGTGTTTTTGCTATTTCGTCGCGTTACCCAACACTTCCACACACAGCACGCTGTTTAACAGCACTGATGCACACCAGTTTCATAGCGACGAGAGTGCGTTCACTTGAACTGCCCTTAAAATGTTGAGAACATCGCGTTTTCTAAAGAAGTTAAATGAAAACCTAAATTGCATTTGCAAAAGATTACAAAATACGACAGCAAATGAGAAACAGAGCTTCCGCCAGAAGGCTTGGCAAGCGGCCCGGCAACGCTATGCCAGTTATGAGCATGTGCACTACAGCTCATTTCTCGAGTACAATTTGGGCCAAGCACACAAATTTCATCAAATGAATCCAACGGTTTTTCCCTCACTGGAAGTGTTACGTGACATAGACAGTGAACAGAGAGCAGCTACAAGTTCATCATCATCATATCCACACAATTGGATGGAGGACTACGAGTTTTATGAGGGCGCCAGCGATGAAGCGGGCAACATTGATGCCCAGCATGGAACACCAGATGCCAAAGTGGCCCCTTCAAACGTACCCTGCAATGGCTGTGGAGCACATTTGCACTGTGTCAGTACCTCCATGCCCGGCTACATACCCAGCGAAATCTTCAAGGTGAGTTCAATGAAAACTGCGGTATTTCAAGTATTACGATTTCAATTATTTAAGGGTCGCACTCAAATGGAGTTGCAGACGATCACTTGCCAGAGATGCCATTTTCTGCAGCACTATAATATTGCGCTGGATGTGGAAGTGCCGCCGTCGGTATATGTGGAAACCATATCGCGCATACAGGACAAATATGCGCTGGCCATAATCATAGTCGATCTGCTGGACTTTCCCAGCTCCATTTGGCCGGGAATGCAACAGGTGCTGGGCGCAAAGCGACCCGTTTTCCTGGTCGGCAACAAGGTGGATCTATTGCCACGTGATTCCAATGGCTATCTGACACACGTGAAGCGTTGCCTTAAACAGCAGTTCATCGAACACGGCGGTTTTGATGCTCTGAACATTAAGAATGTTAGTCTGATCTCGGCCAAGACAGGCTTCGGAATTGAGGAGCTGATCACGCAGCTGCACAAGAACTGGCAGTACAAGGGCGATGTTTATTTGCTCGGCTGCACCAATGTGGGCAAGAGTAGTCTCTTTAATATACTGCTGAACTCGGATTATTGTCGACCCGAGGCCACAGAGCTGGTGCGCAAGGCGACGACTTGTGCTTGGCCGGGCACCACACTGCAAATGCTAAAGTTTCCCATATTGCGGCCGTCTGATTTGCGTGTCTATCAACGCTTTCAGCGTCTCTTCTCGGAACGTGGCCAGCGTGCCGCACTGGAGAAACTGCGTCGCGATCAGGCCAAGGAGACGGGCACCATGTCATCGGCCCAACTAATTGGGAATGTTGGACGCACCTTTGACCGTCGCACGGATGTGGACGATGCCTTTGCTATGGCCGGCGGCACTCAACCCATAACGACGCTCAATGAGCGCAAGAAGGAATATCGAGAGGCACGTTGGGTTTATGATACGCCCGGCGTAATGCAGCCGGATCAGTTGACGCCAATGCTCACCACCCAGGAGCTATTGCAGCTGCAACCGACAAGAATGCTAAAGCCACGTGCTGTCCGCGTGGCACCTAAGATGTCTCTGTTCTTGGGCGGTTTGGCGCGCGTGGACTTGCTGGACTGCAACCAGGAGTGGCTCAAATTATTTGTGTTTGCTGCGGAGACGTTGCCGTTGCTCATCACAGACACTCAGCAAGCGGATGCAATTTATAAGCGTTATTTGGGTACTTCGCTGTTAGGGCTACCGATTTCTGGGGAAGATGATGAGCGTCTGCAGCGCTGGCCTGGATTGCAGTGCATGGACAGAGATATTTTGGTGCAGAACGGCGCTTCGGAGAATAGATTCGCCGAGAAACAACTTAATTGTGATATAACTCTCAGTTCCGCCGGCTGGTTGGGTCTCCTGCTCCCCGAGAATACCGAGAGCAGTTGGCGCCTGTGGACACCGAAGGCAACTGGAATTTATGTGCGTAAGCCGGCCTTAATACCTCTAGCCGATCGTCTGGTTGGCAAGCATATACGTCATTCGATGGCCTATAATACAGCCAAGCCATTTGTTTTTCGAAAATAATTGTTATAAATTGTTATTTGTATTAAAAATTTTGGGTATGTTTTAAATTTCATTAAACGTGCGCCGATTTTCGATAGGTTCGGGTAAACTTATCGTTTTCTTGCGGCCGATATACTTTGCGCAAGCGGCAAATAAGCACGCCGATTAAACGATAGTCTTTAGTGTCATCTCTAATAAAAAGTATCCACTTTTTCACAGCAACAAAGAATTTTTATGGCACAGAATTGAGCAAAATTGAAGCTAAAAATGCCATTTAAATAGCGTAACACAGTGGCAGCAAAGTGTATTTAATAAATAGTGTTCAATTTGCAAGAAGAAAACATAAAACTGCGACGCAGCCTCCAAAGTAGCGACCCACCACACTTTTTATATGCTGTAAAAAAGGCCAGAATAATGGAGCAAAACTCCAGCGTAAATGCAGCCGATCAGGAGCTGGAAGTGAACTGCAGTGGAACAGCGGCAACAACAGCCGTCGCTTGCAGTAGCAGCGGCGGCAGCAGCGATAACATTAGTGCCACACATGAATTCCAAACCATGAAACCGGGCGCTGGCCAAAAGCAACAACAGCAACAAATGCTACAATTGGGCAATGGACGAATGGAATTGCCGCATAGCGAGCTGGTCAAGATGCTCTACTATCTCGAGGGTGAGCTGCAGGCAAGGGATGTATGCATTGCTGCATTGCGAAATGAACGCGTCAAGCAACTAATTACACAGTTGCGTACAAAGCGAGTGCAACCAAATGATCCATATGCATCGCTCTTCCGCGACAAGATCGCCCTGAACGGAAATTTAATATCGAGGGAATCCTCGACGCAGGCGGCACAAGCCGAAATGGAAGTGCGCCAGATCATTGAACAGCAAATGGAGCAACAGTATCAGATGGTCAGCAAGCAGCGGGGCACGCATGTTCGCATGGTTAACATTCTCACCGAATCGCTGGAGAACAATCAGCGCATGCTGCAGCAGCTGGAGGAGGAGCGGCGGAAGCATGAGCATGATACAGCACAGGGCGATGATATTACCTATGGGCTGGAAGTGGAGCGCACCAAGTTGCGACAACAGCTGGAGGCGGAGCATGCACAGGTCGCGAACCTGGAGAAAGATCTCAAGAAGCTGCAGGAGACGCTCGAATACGAGCGCAATAGGCAAAAGCAGATCGTGCTGCTTCTGATCGCCGAGCGCAAGAAGATCCTTATGAAGTACATTGAGGAGGGTAAGTGATAACCAAAAATCCATTGAAAATATAATTAAACTACAATTAAATGATTTCAGGCAAACGTTCCGAGGATCTAGCTCAAATTCTGGCGGAAGAGAAGCAACGCTCTGATACCATTGCCGAAGGACTCGAGGAGGAGAGCAAAAAGTCGCTGCGCATGGAGGAGGAACTGGAAAAGCAAACGCTATCCATGGAACTGGAACGCAAGACGTTGTTGTCCAAATTGTCCAAGGAAGAGCAGCGGTTGGTTATTTTGCACCATTAAACGAAGTTGAAGTCGATGAATATGTATTATAAATTTACATGCATTCACTTGTAAAACAGTGTCAAGGAGCTGGAACAGGAGCTGAACACGTTGCGTGGCGATCACGAAGCATTGAAGAAGATAACGCAACAGCAGCAGCAGCAGCAGCAGATGGGGGCAAGTGGCTCAACGGTCGGTGGTGCCTCCAAGACGCGTCAGTTTAGTGGTAAGTCCTCTCTTACCAATCAGCTTGACTTTGCTGTTGTAATTATGATTTAACTTATTTTTATTTATTTATCTCGTTTATTTTTTTTTTAATAATTCTATATAAACTTATGTTTTTTTTTATCGTGTCCCTCTCAAAGATGAAATATTTTGTTAGAAAATATCTTACGCAATTTATGAAAGGTGATTTGTGATTTACTCTTTCCTTGTTTTGTACTACTTGTGATGACCATGCACCATACGAACAACTTGAGCAACTGCATTCACACACACACATACACCCAACTGTCACCCACTGTAATTAGCCAAAATGCTAAATATAATAGGCAATGAAAATTGTTAGCCAGCATAATATATTGCCAGCAAATCTTAGAACCGATTCAATTGCTAATTTATAGCTGAAATATGTATTTTGAAGGCCAGCTCTTATTTTGTCCTCATCCCGCACTCATTTCTCTTCTACGACTTTTTGCACTAGCTGCTAAAAAGCTCACTCGAAAATGGTTTTCAAATATTTTAAATGAAATTTTACTTAATTTCCATAGAAAGACAAATCATTTAACCGATTGAATTAATTTGAAAATTCTGCAAAATGTATTCAAACACACATCTGTATAAGCTTCGTTATGCCGAAGAATACTTATTATTTGTTTTGTATTTGTATTTTATGTGTTATTGTTGATTTTGTTGAACCTAATTGCTGATTCAATGCCATCCCATACGTTTTACAGAAGACGCATGTGCCACGCCCATGGTAAACATTGCGAAAATCGTACAACCAACCGCAACGGTGACCAGCATGCCGGTCTCGGGTCCCCAGACGGGCATCGCACGTTCGATTGTGCCCGGCCAGAATATACGCAGCGCCGCCGTTGGTATTGCCACAGCGCCAACGGGGATCGCCAGCGCACCCACAGTGCCCTCGTCATCATCATCATCATCAGCAGCAGCAGCAGCAGCTACCCTGGCTGCCGTCAATCACAGCAGCAGCAGCAGCACAACGGATGGCCATGTCGGTGCTGTTGTAGCTGCTGCTCCACCATCGCCCTCGCCGGCTAAAATGCAACCGACGGCGACCATACAACGTGCGCCGGGCGGCAAATATGCAGCATTGGCTGCTGCCGCTGCGTTGGATCAGACGGCAACACCACCGCATCCACATCCTGTGCCCATTGCTGTGCCACCGGTGACAGTGCCACCGGCTGGAGCACGGGGCGCCCCACCGCCTATACCGACTAAGCCAATTGTACCGCCCAAGCGGGAGCCATCGCTGTCCCGTTTGGGCTCCATAACAAGTGGCAGTACTGCGGCCACTGCCATTGCCGCTGCAGCAGCGGCGGCAGCAACAGCTGCTGTGTCAGCCACAGCAACAACAACAAGCACGGCCGCATCTACGTCGACAAGCGCTGCGGCAGCAGCTGTGGCGTCCGCGAGCAGCATGGCGAAGCATAATTAGACACCCTACCTTCCTAGACATCTTTCGACATATATATATATATATATAAATATATATACATAATATATACGCGCATTATCTCCATATAGCATATAGCGAAAGCAAAAACAAAAACATGAAGAAAAATACTCAAGACCGAAAATAGCTCCACTTAACATTATACTACTCAAAATTAAAATGGGTAACAAGTATAACATTCTTTGACCGTATTTTATGCCAAACTCAAACAGTCAAAAGCAACATTTTTACTCAATAAATACGTATGTGCCCACCCCACTTCCATTCCCCCCCTCCCCTCCCCTCCACACCCACCAGCAAAATGTGAAGGATATTAACTTTTAAAGTTATGCCTCGTATTTTTTACAAATTCGTTTTTGTTCGTCCTGTGTACATTGAGTTTGTTAAGCATTTAGATAATAACAAAGTGCGTGTTTTAGTTCATTTTTTTTCTTCACTCGCTTTGAAATTGAAACTGTTTTCAAATTTCGCTGGATTTGTGTTATATGATTCCGTGTGTAGTCGTTAGTGAAATAACATTTGTACAAGGCCGTGCGATTCTCATTATCATTATAAACAAAAGGAAGCAGAACATTAAGTAATTATATGAATATATATATATTATATACATACCCACATATATTGTATACGGACTACTCCATTGTGCTCTGTGCGTTGTTTGTTAGTTCTTAGGTGCATAAACCCTAAAATCCTGTGCAGCTATATACACATGAACTACATCTATGTATTTTTACCTATAGAACATTTTAGGTTTTTAATTTCGTTTTAAGTTCGGCTTAAGCATTTTAATTTGCCTTAAAAAAATTATATAAAATAAAATTAAAAACAAAAAACAAACATAATCCTATAGATTAGCACGTTAAATTCCCAAATTCCCCAATGTAGTATTTGTTAAACAATTAAGTTAATTGGATAATGCTTCAATTTCAAATTAATACTGTTTGAGTTGCAGTTTCTTTTGGTCAAAAGTCAGAGTCAAATAGTAGTTTTGTTGATACTCACAACAAATGACAGCAGACAAAGAGGCACAAATAAAAAAATTAACTTAAAGTATGAATAACAAAAAGTTAGTAATGCAATAAAAACGTTCTCAACAAATCTCTGATTACGATGTATTGAAAAGCGAACATACAAAATAAATTACAATTACATTACAAAAAGAAAAATGATGCTGCTCGTAAATCACGTTGGGGGTCCTCGATTCTCAATTATTGTGGCACGCACCATATTGCGGGCGCATGATAAACGCATTAATTCCACAAATTCCTCAACATTCTCCACCCGATAGTCCTTGAAGATGGTCTTCGATGTTTGCTATAAAGTCGATTAAGAATGTAAATTAAATTTGGGTTGGCTCTAAAAATCTGTTGCACTCACATTGTCAAATTTGGCTGTGTTGAGCTTGTTGCGCTCTATCAGCGGCACCAGCTCCATTTCCAGATGCTGCAGAATGGCAAGCGTTTCATTAATGAATAACTTCGGTTCCTCAGAGTTCAGCAGCGGCATGGCATCAATAAGCAGTGAAGGCCAGAAGCTGTAGCAAATATTATGTGTATTATTACGTATATTATTACTTATTATATTAATATAGATATTGCTTACTAAGCGGGCGTTATTTTGGAAGCCAATAGGTTGATGAGTGGCTCGGCAGCGGACACAAAGTCACGTTGGCGATACAATTCATAGAACTCGAAATACTTGCACAGAAAAACTAAACGTGGTGAGATAAACATGCGTGGTCCAATGCTTCTCAACACGTCCGGAGAAAATATTACGCCCGTATGCGAATAATTCTGAAAATAAATAAATGTATTAAATAAACATGTACTCAAAGAATTATTTCAAATGTGCAAATATAGTAAAATACCCTCTGTAAAAACTACCTTTAGTATAAAATCGGCTAACGACGTAACAAGCAAGACGTCCTTGGAGCGAATGGCCCACTCCAGGGCGCTTCCATAGCGCTGATCACTATGCGCACGCTTCGAGAGCACTTTGCAGATATCCTGCTCGACGGTAACCAGCCCGCGTTGTTTGGCCAGTTCGAGGACCTTGAACGCTTGCCGTTCGCTCCTTAGTGGAATGCGTGGGAGCAGTAGCTCAATGGCAGCAGCTCCCTCATGGCTGCAAAAGTCCAGATAATCAATGGCCAACTGCCAGTGATTACGCGATGCCATCAAAAAGCTGCCATACTCGAAGACCATCGAGTGACGCAACGCTGCAAGATCACTTTAACGAAGTGTAGGAGAATAATGGGTAAATATGTGGTAATTTCAGTTTGGAATACTTTTATAATACTTACACGTTCTGCTGATCAAAGTAGGACTTGAACTGACCCGTGTGGTAGATCAGATCAATGAGATGAGTGGAAAACCAGTGGCTGTCGTTGAGCTTTTGCGCATCGTAGATGAAGAGCTTGATATCGTGCTGCATCAGCTGGAGTACCATGCGACTCAATTGCTTCATTTGCCACTCGGGCCGAAGCACTGACCAGCGATTCAACCAATGCGTGGTGGCAATGCGCAACTCGAACGGTTTGCATGTTGGCTTCGTGTACAACAGGTAGCCGGGTAGAAATTCATACCAATCCTGGGAATTGACCAATTCAGCATCCCAATGCTTGTTGCTGCCCGCGACGAGCTGCATGATTAGCTCCAGTTGTGGCTCCGCTGCAAATGTTTGGGCAGCCAATTTGCGGTCCAGATCCACATGCCAATACTCCCACTGTGAGTTGAACTTGTGGAGTGCATAGCCATCCTGATAGACGGGCATCGTTTTCAGCACTTGCTCCGCGGCTTGGAATGCGGCCTGATTAAATTTGCGATTCTGCAAAAGAATGGCGCGTGGCACCTCCAACTGGCCGAGCATTATTAGCCGCCTCAATGTCAGCCAATAGCTATCGCATTCGCTGGCCTCCTCCGCCATTAGCAGCAAATCGGTTGCCTGATCTTCGGTGTTGGGATAGTGAAAACGCACCCATTCAAGCAGATGATGAACAATCACCTGGCTGGTCTGCTGCTGCTGCAGATAGAGTATCTCGAACAGATGCCACATGCATTCGATCGCATAGAAGGTCTTTGTGGCCTTTGTGCAGTGCTCTAGTCTCCACTCATCCTCCTGTACCTCGGGCGTCTTCTTGCCATGATCGAGTTTTTCGAGGCAGAAGCGAATGATGCTGCGATATGCTCTTGATATTTGTAGATATTCCGCAGATTTCTTTGTTCCCTTGGCCTCCTGGACGAGTGTTTGAAGCGTTACAAATGTGCCATTTGTCTCTGAGAGCAAACTGCGAAGCAGTGGCTCCTTGTACAGCGTCGACTCCTGTGCTATGCTTATCACCACCGGATCCTCGCCAGCCGTATCGCTGGGTGTGTCGCGACTGCTCCATTTAATGGGACGGTAGACGCTCAGCGCTATTTTTGTGCTGCCGGGCACAAAAGTTGCAGTGAGCGTGTTGCCGCAGCGTGTGGCGAGTGAATCGCTTATTTCCTGAAAAGCAAAACACGGTCAACTGATCTGTCATCATATGTTATTGGCAAAATATCTTACGAATATTGGCACGGCCTCTTCGCTCATATCAAGCAAGTTATTCAGCAATCTTAATAAATCAACAACATTCAGTAGAAAATAGCCGCGTTTTTATAAGCTGCATATGGCAGTGTTTGCAATGGACTTAATTCTGAAAGTGTTGGTCAATTCCAATAATATATCGAATATTCATAAAATTGGTATGCAGCTCAAATTTGCTACGAACTCTTGAATTCGCATAAGATTTATTTTAGATTAAGATTTAATTTTTCCATATATTATTTAAAATTCGCTGATAGTTTAATAATTTGTTCGTGTACATTATCAGATTATTTTAAGTAGCAGAACACAAAACTATAGATTGTCTGTGAAGGTGTAAGGGAAGATATACAAAATCATGAACGGCGGTTTTCATCTGTTCGCTAAATCATAACAAAAATAATAAAATTATGTCAAATATTAATTTAAATTACGAGAGAATCTTCCATTTTGAAATATTAATTTAGTGCTGTGAAACTTAATGACAGCATTGCCAGTCCAAATCTAATTCACTTGTTGTTTAGCCGCCATTCCGTAAAGTTCTACAAGTTGGCGTCTGTGAAAGAAATTTGAAAATTTGGAATTTGCTAAACTGTCAAATGGAAGATCTTACGGAAATTTTGACGCTATTTGGACGCAATGTGAACAAATTGCGAATAAATTTGAGTGCCTATGAAGTTGATGTTAATAATCGACTCCAGACACTTGCCGAAAATTGGTCGCACGTTGCTCGCGGCGAATGGCGCCTAAGTTCTGCCTATGATGCCCTAATTAGCAGCGTCAGCCAGGTCAACGAATATGTAATCAAATTAAATCTGCACATTAATCTCAATCTAGCAGTAGGCATTTTGAATGTCGATCGCGATTCCGTAGAGCACAACAAGAATAAAATAAATCACACAAATCGGCATGGCATCGAGGTGGGCGAGGTGGATGCAATCCTCAAGCGACAACAAAGTAGCTCAAATAATGAACTTCAGATAGTGAAATGTAATTATAACAGAAATAAACAGTTTGCTGTCGGAATCTAACCGACTGCGCAATACTCTGTTCTCTTGGGGAAGGATAATCTAACTCATAATAACTAGTTCCAATGCTTGTGGAACAGAGTATAGCTATCAAATATACAACGTATATATAATATATTTATAATCACTTGCAAAAAATAAACCCCGCAGCTCCTGAAGACAATTCAAGTGCAATTCAAGTTTGCAAAACGGAAAACAATCCAAACCCAGTTTTATCCATTAAAACGGAGCCGCCACCTATTCTACCACGTCTCAATGTCAAGTTGGAGAGCTCTCTGCTAGCTGCACCCTTAACTCTGCCAAAGCTGCCCATTCCACCGCGAAAGACGAAGCTGCTGCAGCCGAAGGGTGGTCAGCAAATGTCGGGTGATGCTGCCTACGATATGTTGCCAAAGAATATATCGAGTTTTGTCAAGGACAGCGATGTGCTGGTTGCAATGATGCATCTCAATGTCTCAGAGAATTGCATATTTGTATCCAAATGGGGACCAGAGTCGACGCCGCTGAAGAAGTTGCTGGCATGCCAAATGTCAATACAGCAATTGGATCAGCTGCCCGATTTTGGTGAGATCTTTGCCGTGTATGATGCCCAGGAGCAGATAATACCACGTGTGCTTATCAATGCACAGACCGAGGGTGGTGGCTATGAAGCCTATTTGCTGGACTATGGCGAGCACATTCATTTGGATGACAAGGAGGTCATCTTTGCGTTGCCCAACGAGATCAAAGCTCTGCCGGCGGAGGCTATTAGATGCTATGTGCGCAATTGTGAAGTGACTCGCATACGCGAGTTTACATTCAAGAGTGTCCGACTGCGTGTCCTGGCCAACAATGGCAACGATCTGGAGGTTGAACTCTTGGGGCCGGCTGAGGCAGAATCGGCGATGTTATCATCAGTCCAATTGGATTTAGATGCGGCCAACAACAGGGCGGAAATGCAATCAGATCAAGCAGATCAAAAATTGAGTCCAGCAGCGTTGGAAATGCTGGAGGAGGTTGAGCAGGGCACCAGTAATGCCCTCAAAGCGGTGTTGGGCTACAAGCCGACCGATGACCAGCGTATTTGTCGCCATTACGATCCTAAACTTAATGGCTGCTTTAAAGGTATGCAAAGAAGAATTGAAATCTGAAATCATGTTTTTGTTATAGATCTTTCCTATATTATTATTTGCTAGGATCCAACTGCCGTCTGTTGCATCAGGCGTTTGCGCCACATGGGGCTACCAAGGACAAAGAGTTAGTTGAAGCTCTGCCGGAGTGCACATATGTGTCAACAGCGCCGATGAAGATTGGCAGCGTTGTGCGCGTGCGGGTCACATTTATTAAGAGTTCAACACAGGTGTATGTGCAGTTTCAGGATGAGTTGCCGTTGCTGGTGTGGAATGAGAAGGAGGTGCACGAGTCGCAGCGTAGATTCCAACGAACTCCGCGTGTTTTGGACATGGTGTTGGCACTGTACAACGACGACTGTTTCTATCGGGCGCAAATCATTGAGGAGATCGATGGGATATTTAAAATCTTCTATGTGGACTATGGCAACACGGAGTTTGTCACCATTAAATCGCTGGCACAGTGCCACAATGCTGCCAGCCTGAAACCACATCGTGCCATTAATTGCTTCATTGCCGATGTCAAGTGCAGCTCCTCAGGCTCACAGGAAAAGAATGCCGAGTGCGTGGAGTTCCTAAAAAGTAAAATCCTCAATGAGAAAGTCGATGTGAAGCTGATTGGTCATCTTCCCGATGGCCCTATGATTAAGTTTTTGGATTCATACGCTAGTGTGACCATGCAGATGATCCAACGTGGCTACGTGGAGTCAAGTCAGAGCGTCGAGCTGAGCTAAACCATAGTAGCACTTGCTATACACTTTCAGATTAAATATTTGAATTTTTGAGTTTCCAAGTAGGAAAATCAAATCAACCAGTTTAAATGCCGCCAACGGATGAAGAACGCATTGAAGCGAACCGCCAACGAAGATGGAGATATCCCAATATTAAGCGCCTTCGACTCGCAGGACTTGTGATGACTATTGTCTTGGCTGTTATAATTGCTATCTTCTTATGCTTTACCCATCGTAAGCAATTCTGGTGATTCTACTTTAACATTGAATAATTCAACGTTTTTGGCTTAAAATTAGAAATAGCAAATAAACAATAACTTACTGTCTGCATATCTTTTCAGTTGTTAAGTAACTATTATATAAATAATCATCGCATGTACATATGCATTTAATATATATATATATATTGTAATGGCTTAGTGTTTCCAGAGAACTGCTTCAATTTTCAAGCGTTCGAAATAAAATGAAGCAGCAATACTTTTTTCTTTAAGTTTTTGTACTCAATTATAGATTCTAGAATCTTAATAGGTGCGTCTTGATTAAAGTACACCCCAACATATGAATATGTCAAGCTTTTGATTAATGATGGGGCGCCCTCATTATCAGTCATTAAAACATAACAAAAAATCATAGACTCGAGGTAAACTGTTGTCATAAAGCTTGAAAACTAAAACAATAAAATAATAATACTAATTGCCCATAATGTGCAAAAGCAAAAACCAACAGGGGCCGGGGCTTCGGTTCGGGTTTGGGTTCAGGTACAGGTAGAGGTAAAGGTTCAGATTCCGGTTTGCTCAGGTCGTCGTCGCTGCCGCCGCGGGTGCTAATAGATTATGCCGCAACGATTAGAAAGGCAATAAATAACACCTGGCAGGGATCACATGCGTGTAAAACCAGTATATATATATCGGGTCACATATATATATACATATGTATGAAGAAAAATGACAACTCGCTCGCTTCGTCCTGGTGTTGACAATTTAAATGTTTTAGCAGCGAGCACGGCTAAAGGGTAACGGGCATGGGTCATTTGAACAATACCCGGTGCCCATTTAGGGATGTGCCTCCTTGTGAAACACAACAACTGCATGTCAGCATATTTCCACAGCTATTCTCATAATAAGTATCTGAATAATGGGTACTTTGTTAAGTACTATATATATATTAATATTTTCTCCATTTCTTAAAAGACTTGTGTGACAACTTTTTCGTCTTAACTTCTCAAATTGAAAATACAAATATTTATAATCGTTCTACAGTTATTTGAATATACTACTTGCCATAAGAGAAGAGTGCATGTGTATACTGTAAGCATAGAAACCCACTTGCCGTAGAACACCTGCTGAGGGCCACCCCACTCGATAATTACACGAGAATTAAATATGGGGTTAAGTGTCAAAAGGATGAGGAAACCTTTAACATATGTTCCAAACTAGACGGACACACATAATGATGATGAGCCGGAGCCACCCTCTATTTGGACTTGCATCAAATAAAACAAAACAATTTTTCGACGCATTTGGTTTTTACAATAATTTTGATGGACTAAGTGTTTTACCTACACCATATACAAAGTGTGCAGTGGGATATGGTTGAAATCAATGCATAACTGAAAATAAACAAATAACAAAACATGGCCAGATGACTTTTTGGGCAATAGATTGGCTTAAAAATTGGAGTCACGCCTTGTGCACTTGGGACGCTGACTATTCCGGGTGTATTGGGCACCATCCATGATGTTCGCATTGACCTTTTGGAGTTCGGCGATGCGTTGCCATGTGGCACAAAAGTTTCGCACATTGCGTGCATTGGCCAACTTGGCAATGGGTCCCAATGTGCGATAACCGTTATTCAGATAACGTATAAAACCCTTGGCGGACAAATCCATAACAGCCGTCTTCACTTGTGCCTCCAAATCGCCACAGGCAAATGATCTGCAAAGGAATGCACAACAATGCGATGCATTTGTGTATTTCAACGAAATAGAACTCACTCCTTCCTCAACATCTCAACAATATCATTCTCTTTGATGCCGTTCACATATTTGGGGTGATCCTGAAATATACGCACCATATCCATAATATATAATGGTAAGTGGATATGATATGCGTTCGAGTGCATCATCGAAGTTGTTGGCTCACAATCTCTTATGGGAAGCTCCCCACTCATTTTATTAATCAAAAAATTTTTTATTTTACTATTGAATCGACTTATCGAAATATTTCCGTATGTTTCAGGATTGGAATAGATATGAAATATAATTTCGGAGACAACAAAAGCACAGTTAATGTGAACAGTGTCTACTGGATTTTCAACCCTCCTTAGCTGCTAATGTCATCCAATTACAGGTGTCATTAACAGTTTGTCCATCGATGTTTGCTTTCACTTTGCTCTTCAATTATGACCCGGAGCCGTACAAATATTGTAACAATTACATGTTCAGTTCTTTATTACCTGGTAATTTGCCTAATATATAAATAGAGCTTTTCAAACAACAATCCTCCCATTGCATTAGCCAGCGGATCCAGTTCCCCAGTGGTGTGCTAAGTGGTCATGTGTCATTGGAAGAGCCCACGAAATTTGGTTGTTGGGTTTGAAATTTTCAATAGAAACTGGTTAAATACGAAACGGTTTTTACTAAGTAATGGAATTTCAATTATGGCTTAACCTTTAGATTAATACTACATTTATTTTTGTAATTGAATTCCAAAATTATATTTTAAATTAAGAATTTCATATATGTAAAGGAAACGAAAAGGAAGTTACACATTCCTCACTTTAGGTCATGCCAAAGTGTCACGCAATATTTTTTTGGCTTTAACTTTGAAACACTGTTAGTATCCAGATATATACAATGATACCTCCAAAGCTAGGACATTGTTAACCAAGGGTTAACTATGGTAAAACTTTTGCCAACAGATAATAAATTAGCGCATACATTATGAAATATTGTTAGGATGCCACCGTCAACTGTCGACTGTCGCTTCGACTTCCGGTTAGGGGCGGAACAAAGGCGTCCAACTGTCATTTTAGTTTTCACCCGACCAGGTGATAGTTTCTCAAACCGAGAACGGGTTGAAGAAGACACACGAATGACATGTGGTTAAATGTTTTATGGATAGGGTTAACAAAACGAAACGCGAATTGGTTACATTGGTTTATTTGTCTCAGTCATGCTTGTAAAATATAGAAGTAGTCAGTAGACTTTCTGATGGCTTCATAACTTAGATTAGCTGACTGTGCAATTTTTTATTGTAATAATAATAAACTCAATGTTCGCTGAATATGTTGTCTAAGCAAGCAATGTGTTGTGGAACTCGTTAGGAACTCAACCTTATGTTAAGCGGGTCTTTCTTGTTTACTGGTAGAAACTATTGATTGACAGTCCGCATGACTTGCAATTTTTTGATACACGATAGTTAGCTTTGAATTTGAAATTGAAATTATACCTAATGGTACTTAGATAATGAATAAAGCTTTCAATTCATTTTAAAAAATTCAATTTTTTTTATTTACTTATCACGCTTGTCGTTTTCGAAAGCTATTTTTAATCAACTATAATTTATAATTATGCCATTTCTAATCATTTACACAATAAGATAATTTATTTTTGGATATTCTACAAATATATATTAATAATCATCGATTAAGTCAAATTCGTGTTATTCTTCAAATTAATACCAACTTAGCTACTTCTTCAAAAGGACACAGTAGGTTTTTACAAATATTATTCATATACGTTGAACTCAAACTTTTCGCTTAACGACCAGCCCTTAAGCACTATGCCAACAATTATACCTTTTATATATTTAATCTACAAAATATGGCTCTGATCACAGGCGCAACGTAAAATTCCTTTATGGTCGATTTTCAACCCAGTTGTTTGCTAACCCGACGCCCATTTCCATATGTCCGCTCGATCATTCCCATTGGCTGTTGGAAATAAGTTTTCAGCCCCACAGTCGGACCCAGCTGCATAATAGTTGGCCAACTTCATATAACCCTGTCTGAGCCGTGTACCCATGTCAGGCAACACCCCCAAAATGAAATCAGAAACAACGAGACAACGACATGTGGTCAAGAGGGGTTTTCTTTTTGTGTGTGGTTCAGACAACAACTTTGAGGGGGTGGCTAATCAAACTAACCAGTTATATGAAACCCTTATAACTGTGCAGCAAAATAAATGTCATTCAACATGGCAAAGTGTCATGTATTTGACGAATAATTACCGTCAACATTGCGTGATTGGCTGAATCAAACGGCGGAGGCGGCCTGTGGCGCTACGGCTTAGATTTAGTCCAGACGGGTGAACGGAGCGGGATACATTGAGGTGGGTGGGGTTTGGTGGGTCTTTTGGTATGTGTGTGTGACAACAACCTATAATTATATGAGGCAGCCAGGTGGTTCTGGACTAGTAGTAATACGCGCCACAGGCAACAGACACAAAACAGCAGTCGAGGCTAACGGAAGTCACCGATTTTTTGATCGTCCTTGAGTCCTGGTCACAATGTACTCGCCCGCCAAATCGCCCATAGTGGACGTCACCGAGACGCTCTCCATGCATAGTGATCTGGACTATGATGCGGAGCCAAGCGGCAATCCGGTGTATACGATGGCTGCAACACATAATTTACGCCTGCCGCTGCCCGGACTCGCTTTACCCAATCTCTTGGCAGCCAAGTCCAATGGCACACTACCTGCCTTTGAATATATTGCTCAACCGAATCATGCAATGCAGTCTCTAGACTTTCCGCTGATGGAGCTGAATCGTGTTGGCATGTTTCCGGGATTTCTGCATCGGCGAGCGCGCGGCGAGAAGCGACCCATTCCGGATGCCCAGAAAGATGCCAAATACTATGAGCGACGCAAGCGCAATAACGAGGCAGCCAAGAAGTCGAGGGATGCTCGCAAAATACGTGAGGATCGCATTGCATTCCGTGCCGCGCTCCTCGAACAGGAGAACTCCATACTTCGCGCCCAGATCCTTGCCCTACGCGATGAGCTGCAGACAGTGCGACAACTACTGGGTGCGACAACGGGCGGCATGCTGGGCGTGGCAAGGGCAGTCTGATGCCAATGCAATCGCTGGATGCATCGGTGTGTATATAAAAGTGAAATTGTGTTTTGTGATTTATGTTGATAAATAAATTATTAAATAATATAGAGTTAAGTACTTAATTCGAAATTGGAATTCAGTTTGAACGAATGGTTTTTAAGAAAATATATTGTTATTCATTTTCCAAAGTGTGTCCACTGACTTAACTTTATCAAAACTAAAAGGTGTAACATTTTTGGTCACAATCTGATCTTTAGATTTATATTGCATTTAAATTCGAATACGCCAAAAAAATACATTTGACGACAGTTAAAAATGTTCCATAACTACGTGAAAACTAAAAAGAAATTTGTAAAGAAGTACTTCTTTGATCATCTCTGGATTGTAATCCATCTAAAAGTTCTAGCAAATAAAAACTAAAGTCAAGAAATTCAAGAAACTTTCAACTTTCCCATAACCGAATTGATTTTTGTGGTTTTCTTTAAAAACTAAGTTCTTTACATTCATAAAAATTGTATGGGTAGCGCGAGTAAGAAAACAACTTTATTTTATGGCTCATCAATATTGTTTTTTAACAAAATAAACATTAAGTTTTAGCAAACTAGATGTTGAGGGAATGCAGTTGCACCTTTCCGCCCGTCTCGAGGAGCAGCAAATGTTGATTGTTTGTTGAGCTACTCGATGCAGCAATGTCTGTGACTGTTGACCCATTCTCCAGACCCACGTCTAGAAGTTCACGATCCAAGTGAAAATCGTAGGCTCGCACCGAACCATTTGAGAGGGCGAACAGATGCCAGCCGTCGGTGGACTGGACGAGCGCTTGGACAAGATTCTGGCGCAAGACGCTGCCGCTGAGGAGCAGCTGTTGGTCAAATACTCGCAGCTCGTAGGAGCGACGTGGTTGCTGCAGCAATTCCAGGGCGGTATTCGGACGCGTATCCAGCTCCAGATCCTGTTGCTCAAAGGAGCGTCGCTCGTTGAGTATAATATTTTGTATTGCACAGGATTTGCCCGTTTCGGGCACATGCGGAAGGATTTGCGGCGGCATCGCAGTGGTGGGACGCTGCACACGTTGGCGTTGCCGCTGATTGCAGTTGAGGATCATCACAGAACCATTCGACAATCCCACAGCCACAAAGTGCTCATTGGTGAGCACGCAGAGGGCCGTGGGAAACAGAAAGCGACTCTCATGCAAAGCGATCCGGGTGAATCGTTCCGGTTTCAAACTTCTCGTACAGCACAGTACAAAATTGCGATTGCTGCACACGTAGATGAGATCACTGCCCGTATCGATGCTGCTGAATCGTAACCCCTGGAGACCTTGTCCCGCTAACGCCGTCGTCAGCGTCTGTGTTTCATTCAGTTCACGCAACAGCTCATCACTGTAGACGTTGCCCTGGAACATAGACTTGGTCTTGTCATAGGCACTTTGATTGCGCTTCAGCAAGCGACGTTCCAGATACCCACGCAGATCACAGCTGGCCGCCTGGAGCAGCTTCACACGCGCCCAGGGCGAGCTATACTCGTTGCTGGTGCCTGCACCACAGCCACGCCCACTTTCCACCAGTGTCCAAATTGTGAGCAATCCCGAATCGTTGAGCGATGCGTACTAGGCAGAATAATAATAATATGACCAGTAAGCATGGTCATCATTAGGATGCATTTCTAAACTTGTTTTAATTTGCCAACTCACCTGAATGTCCTTGTGTGTCAGAGCCAAACTGCTGCCCATTGCCATGCCAGCCAACTTGGGCGCTGGTCGAAAGCTGCGCACATCAACAACGGCGCCCATATCCAAAGCCGTCAATTGCTGGGCATCCATGTTGGGCACCACAGACTGCGTGGCCGCAAAGTGAGTCAGAGTGCCATCCAGTTTGGAGCAGTAGCTGTAAGTTTCGCGCAGATCCCACATGGCCAGGCTGCCATCGCGCAAACCAGCTACAATAATGTCGGGCGCCTCGCTGCAGAAGGCGACCCGACAGACTTCTGCCCACGTGGAGAGCAAGCGCAGCGGCTTGCTGGGATCGGTTAGGGACCACACCATCAGCAGATTGGCAAAATCGTCTCGATAGACATCGCAATGCGGCGGACACTCATGGACGGTCACCACCAATTGTCCGGTGCTGCCAAATATGCGACGCACACGCAATGCATCGAGGAGTCCAGTCGGCAGGAGCGGCACGCGTTTGGGACAATTGGCATTAAGCACCTTGCCGAGCAGCAGCGATGCCCTGTGCAGAAATACGCCCAATCGTTCCAAGTCACTTGGTTTGGACAGACGTTGTCGTTGTTGCTCCAATGCACGCTGCTGCTCCAACCGATGTAGTTGCTCCATGCGCGCTAAGCTGCATTCAAGGGCATCACTCGAATGAGTCGACATTGTATCCAATTCGTTGGTCGCATCGCCACTGCAGCTGAGCACCAACTGGTTTCCATAATGAGGCGGATGCTGTGTCCAGCTGGTGCGCTGATGCAGCTCCATCGTCTGACACTCGCTATCCATGTGCTGGGCGTAGGTTTGGGTGGCCAGCTGACACGTATTTAGCTTGCCGTAGCTCTGCATATAACCCTCATAGCTGAGGGGTTTCATCTCAAACAGCTGATAGTTCAGCTGATCGAAGCGCAGCTTTCGCATCAGCTCACGGCCGCGACGTGTGATCACCGGATGAGCCACAAAGCTAACATAGCCGCCATAGTGCACATCCGATGTGGACTTGGGCAGTTGCTCCTGTGCACCAGCCGCACCAAAGCTGCTAATGCCCGAGTCTAGCTGCTCGGAATTGGCTATACTATTGGTGGTATCGAAGCTATCGTAGGGCTGATGAGCAGCGGAGCGCTGTTGCCGTCGTGTGTTCAAATCATAGTGTCCGGAATCCAATTTGCGCTCCAGCTCCTTGTCGCGCTGTATGACTGTAATGGGATTTTGTGTGGGCTCCGAATCCTCTTCCTCCTCCTCCTCGCTAACTTCAACTGTCCGGCTGGGCTCTAGCTCTGCCACTGGCACTACTGCTTCCCCTTGATCTTCTTCCTTTGCCTCTGCCTCCTCCATCTGATCGTCTGCCTCTTCCTCATCTTCTTCTTCGGGCGTACTCACATCTGTCTCAAAATCCGATTCATATGATTCAAAATCATCGGAGTAATTATCCGTTTCTGCAGCGGCTACTGCTGCTGCCGCTTGCGATTGCTTTTTAGCCGCCTCAAAGTTCACCTCGAATGCAACTGGCTGTTTAACCTGTTTGCTTAGTTGCACTTCCAATTCGCTGCGCTGCTTGGCCGAATCTCGTTTGAGCACCAGGACTTCCTCCGGCTGCAGAGTGCGTGAATAAGTGCGAGGACGTGGCTGTTGCTTGTCCGCCTCCACCTCCTCCACTGCACCACTTGCTGCTTGTTTGGGTTGCACTCTGCGCTTTGATGGTGGCGATGACACCGTCACACTATGAAATGTGTCCAGCACCGCATTTGGTTTGGCTTTCGTCGTTGCAGCACGTTGTTGTGGTTGTTGTTTAGCGGCACGCAATGTGCTCGTCGTTGCCTGCTTTGTGGGTGATGGGGTTGCTCTGGGTTTTTTACTCGGAGCAAGCTCACGCTCCTTGTTTTTGCTAGGGTGCAGTGGCGGCGACGACTTTTTAATAGCGGTTGTGGTTAGTTTTGCAATCTTTGTGGTTTGTCGCACACTTTTTTCGCTTTCTAAGCTATCCTGTTGTTTGAGTTTGCTTTTGCTGCTCCGCGTTGTTGTGGTTGCACCCACACCTGTTGCAGGCGACTTGTTAGGCCTGCTGCGCTGTGCTTCATTTTTTGGCTAATAAAAGAGATGCAATTTGAAATTATATCTGATTGGGCGCCACAGCAAACAGCTGCTATCTTTGTACTTTGCAACACTGATCGAATATGAAAACAAAGATAAAGTGCTCTCTTCTCTCTCTCTCTCTAGTGAAAGCGATCGGCGTTCTTTCGCTCTGTTCATATTAATTGCAATTGAATGAATAATGCGTGTGTGTGCTCTGACAATGTTTTCACGGATAACAGACTCAATTCGGTGGCAAGTGCATCTGCGTCGTAGTTCTGACTCTGCTCCGTGTGCGTAAGTAAAGCTGTAAGTATTGTGAGCGATATGCGGCAAACAAATCAATTGCTTGCAGCAACTACAAAAAGTGCGTTTAAAGTGCTCATTACAAGTATCATTTCTTACGTTTGTTTTGTTCGCCGTATGCGTTGAGCTCTTTGACATTGTTTTGCTTATTCGTTGTTACGATCTGTTTCGTTTCTAGCTTGAAATGAATTAAATGTTATTAGGCGAGTACGTGTGTTTAATCAATTGTAATTGTTAATTCAATTCATTGCGAATTCGTTGTGACAAATTGAGTGTTTCCGTAGAAACCATTCGAGTAACATAGCAACAAAAACAACACGAACAGCTGATGTGCAGTGTTCGTAAATGCAGCTATTGGTAAGTTTATTAAAAATTATAAAGTTATAATGAACATAATAGCTGCTATAATTGTATTTCAATAAAACCGTTGGCTTTCAAAATGGAATTGACTGACATATGTATATTGTGTTGCTTACTAGACAAACTATTAGCTGCGTACTTACTTTATTTTACCTCATTGCACAACACTTGAACAGTTAAACGCTTTGATTGTTTCCGTCTGTGATGGTTTTTGTATATTTGAGATTCCTAACATAATTTAGCTTTAACAATGTGCACATATAAAATAATATCACAATAAATAAAGTTCAGCTTGTGCACTTGACTAAAATGGATGGCGTCGCTGCTGCTGCAGCCACAAACCACATGCAGACAGCAACAAAATAAAGCAACTATTGCTGCTGCTGGTTAAGGGACTTCCACTATCCTCGTCGCCTTTGACAGCGTAGTACTGCGCCGTATACCGTTCGTAAATATGTTCCATGGTTCTTTTGGCATCGTCCCGCTGCAGCTCATGTGTGCCATAAAGTGCTGTCGTGTTGTCATGGAACAAGATATTATTGCGTCTATCAAAGACGCCGTAGAGTGAAAATGGGCGCGTTTCACTTTTGTATCTCTTGCCAAACAAACGATCCATGTCTCGCAGCGAATTGTATATTTCATTGTGGCGCGTCAGCGACGAATTGTGTGTCATCAGCTGACCGCGAGGTGTCCAGTGCAGGTAGCAGTACTCGAACCCCGAGTGTCGTTCAATGCCTCCAAACGGACACAGCAAGCGGTAAGATTTATGCATACTCGGCTTGAGCCAGTCGGATGTTAAGTTGCCGCTCACATATTTCTTGTAGACATCCGAACTGATGAAGGCCACATCGGCGCCCTCGGCGAGGCAACGGAACGCACCCTCATCGCCGCCATAATGCGGTGGACACTGGCGACCACGTTGTGGATGCCACAAGCAGGAGGAGCGATGAAAATAAGCGTGCGGTGAATGGACGGTACCAGTCACATTCGCAATCGTCTCCAGAACGGACAGATATGCGGCGCCTTCATAGCTTGGCAGGCAAGCGCGCGAGCCCTTCAAATCTTCAATGTTTTTGTATTTCGAATCCTTGTGCACCACCGCAATGGTCACATAACGATCATGCATTTGCTCAGCGTACTCATAGAGCAACGGAGTCAGATTGTAGTCCCTTTGCGCCCTTACACGCTGTTCCTGGTTAACTAGCAGCACATCGGCGCTCTTGTAGCGGGTGTCGTCCATGCACTGCTCCAGGTTTATTGTGCGTATGCATTGAATATTTGGCTCTACGCCATACACCTGTGCTGCCTCCTGTAGCCAAGAGCACTTAATATGCTCAATTATGGATGTGCTGCACATGACAATTGAACGAGGCGGATTACATTCTGGAAAACTGTAAGCGGACTGAAAACCAATTGCCTGATCGAGATAGTCATCGATGGAGATGACATTGTAAAGCGGCACGGTAAACACATGATACGTCTCCAGGACACTGAGCAAGGCATTTTGCCAACTCTCCGGCTCATCGTGCGTCAGTCCAGTGACCAGACGCTGCACCTGAGCGGCATGTGATCGTCGTGCGGCAATTACGGGCCACGGCTTCGAGATCCATATACAAGGCCGCGTCACATTGATGGGTTGCAAGTGACCGTCTGGACAAAGATAGCTATATTTCGCAGGATCACCCTCGGGCCCCAATCCCGCCAGCTGTAAAATCAATGTATTTAGCCAAGGAGCACATGTATTGGTAGATTCTCTACTTACGCCAAAGTGACTGCGTGTGTCGTCGAGCCGCGCCCAAGAGACGCTGCCCCCACCGCTGGTCAGGCAATAAAGTGTGCCACGTCTGCCCCAGTGCTTGTCGGTGTCATCGCAGCTGTATGGATCATAGCACATCTGGCACAATGACGGATAACGATCCTTAAGTATACGATCCTGTTTCGGATCCGGCACCCAGGGACCAGCCTTGCAGCTGGGACCAAAATACTTGGACGAGGCGGCAATGCGATCTTCCGTCAAGGTGAGCCCTGGATTGCACGACTTAGACACCAATGCTGACTCGAAATACTACAGAAATATATATAAATATATTTGTTATAACAATGAAAATGCCCACAACTGTAACTGAATATATGTCTGCTTACATTAGCCAACACGTCGGTCCAGTGATTGCCCAATCCGTAGCCAGGATGACACAGTCTGGCCCCATGCAGATCATGAACTGAGTTTATGCCAGCATCGTTATCCACAACAGCAACAATTTCATACTCAAATGGCGATTCATGTGAACGCAACTCACTGGCTACTAAAATCTCAACACTTGCCCAGCGAGCAGCAACCAAATCCTCGGAGGTGAGCACACCGAAGTGGGCAGTACCCTTTTGAATGCGACGCACACAATCCAAACGATCCACGCCAACAACGCACTCAATGTTGCTGGTCGCCTCCAGCAGGGGACAAAACTTGGGCGCCTTGCGATAATTTCCCCTAGATTCGACCACACAAACCCGCACTGAAATTAATCAAAGTAGAAGAGGAAACTTTTGGTTATTGCCGTAAGGCCATAAAAGCGGCTTGAGTATTATTCGCTTATTGCGTGCAGTTTCGCAACCGCATTTTGCATTCGAAATTGACCTTCCTGCTTAACCGGTTTTAATGCTTTAGTTATTTACATTCTGCTTTGGTTGGGGAATCTCTGATATCATGATAATTACACAGAAATCGCAAGTATTCAAGTTGTGATGTGAAATTTTAAATCACAGTCTTTTTTTTTGGGCAGTGGAGCAGACAGTCAAGGTTGAATTATTACGATGCTGTTCGAAGACAGGTTTTGCTCGGAACAGACTGCCATAATTTACAACTTGTTAATTTATATGTAGTATTGATGATTTAGACAATTCTTGTTCACAATTAACTTTTTATGTGTCTATATATAAGAAATACTTAATGTGACCAGTAACCAGTTTGAAACATAATATTTCCAACTTGAAATTAGTATTAGCTTTCAAACTGTATCCAAGTTTGTTTTACTTAGTATATTTTCTTTAATTAGATGATTGCTTTATAGAAGACTTTCTTTAATTTATAAGTCTTCAAGTCATATGACTGGCTTTGATATTCCCAGAAGCGTATAAAAGCTTCGGTGTGTGGAAGAAGCGATATTCTCTTGTATTTCTTGTTTTTTATTTCTCTACGCGAAGGTCAGTAGGTGCGGCTTTTTTTTATCTTATTTTTGGAAATTGATTAGCTGCTGGTAGAAAAAACATTTTAAGAAATTAACATTAAATCTAAATAAATTTGGTTTTTAAGTTATTTAAGGTGCAGCGTTTAGTTGAAGTTGTGGTAAATTAATATATACATTTATGGATTTTCAGTAATTCTTCGTAATTAGTTTATTTTTTAATTGATTTGCATTTGCATTTAACACCGCAATTATGTGCTTAAGAATATATTTACGACACACAGCAATTTAGTAAATGAGCTTAAAAGTGTTTTTTTAATGTTTGAAATCACAAATATCGTTATTCTCTGTAAGTAGTTATTAAGGATGATTTACAACACCGCTTTATAAATTCACATAAATAAATATACATTTTATTAAAGCGTTTAGTCACAAGACTCATATTTGTCTGCTTATAACATTTTGTTTCATCACAAATTAATATTTTGAGTATATTGAAATTTAAACTTACATTTGCCATTATCGACAGGTTTGATGGCTGCACAAACAGATAATGATAAGAGCAAGGCAAAGGTCCATGTAAACATTTTTGTAATCGGTTGCATTATTGTGTTAATATTTGTAGTATTCAATTGAAAATTATTTTAAGCGCACTGTATTTTAAGGTAGGACAATTTTAACATTTACATCAAGTCTCAGGATGTTTGTGAAATTAGTAGCGCTATCAGCGATACGCCCACCAATATGTACTCTCATGTATATATGCGACAAGTCTCTCTCTCTCCCTCTATACTTTTATAATTATATTTATTATATATATATGTAGATTATAGAGCGCAGAGATTGAGCCGACCTCACGCGACGGGCGAACAGCGGCGACTGTCCGACAGCCGCTGTTGAAGCTTACGTCGTCAGTTGCGGCGGATGCAGCGAATAAAACTCGTTTCAGGCTGAGAATTCGAAAAAAATCATTGCACGTAAACCAAAACTAACGCACAACTGAGGATGAGTCAAGCGGCGCTTTGGGTATTTCTGGCTTTGATTGGTCGAACAGTAACAGAGATGTGAGCGGTGTGTTAAAGGGGAATTTCAGGGAAAACCATATTCAAATAAAGGTAGAAAAACTATACAAAATAATGATTGTAGAATATGATTAATGTAAAATGTAACGTTTTACATTACCTATAAGAATGAGTAAATCCTTATTTTCTTCATTTTTTCCAGTATTGTCTCAAGTTTGTGTATTTGAGATATGAATACAATTTCAAACTTATTGAGTTTGTATTATTATTGGCATTCTTATCACTTTATGAATCTTATCAGCATGCAACGCTTGTCCCGTTTGTTGTCGGTCGAGTTGTCGGCATTTTACAATATTAGTCAGAGCTCGCTGTTTGCGGCGTTTAAACGCCTTCAACTTGATCTCGTCCAGTGCAGTCTCAATATAACTTGCGCGACATTCTAACTTGTAATTAATTTGTCAACTAACTCTCATATCTCATAGCTCAGCTTTATTCAGCTTCAAAATTGTATGGCTTCGCACTTGCTTATTGACTAAACTTGTTGATGTTGTCTCGCGATTTACGCGTATTCGTTGATGAAATTTCCCTTTTCATATTTTGAGCTGGGGTTTTTTCGTGTTGTTAACTTCTTCGCAACTTCAAAGCGTATTTCAATTAATAGTTAACCATTTTTTCTAATTAATCATCAATTTGCATAGGCATTAGTTCGCCGTAGGATATCTCGCAGTCTGGCGTACTTTTTTACCTGTCTTATTATTGGCTCACGTATGTAATCTTTTTTGATTTTGGCCAATTTAATAGCCGGCAATGTCGAGGCGTTCAGTTTTTAAGTTTTCTGTGTCAAGTTTGTTGTGAACGTACGTAACTACGTACATATATATATATATATATTTATCTAACCGGTTTTGATGTACATACACTGCCTTTATTTATGGATGCGTTTACATCACAAGTGCTTAGCATTAAATGTGTATATTCATTATTTGAGCTGATTAAATAAGCGCAATATTAAATATATTGATATGCGTATATTTGAATGCTCCAAATGCTCTAAGTAATCTATTAATCTATTTAGGCTCTACAATTATTTGTTATTTATTTTTGGCTGTAGACATTTAATATATGTAGTATTAGACCAAATGATAATGTTCTTGTTAAAAATCCATAAAAAATGCGTACCACAGATAAGATTTGCACCTTTAGCCAGACTAACAGATATGTTTGCCAACATACATACTTTATCTTGGTAATTGAAGAGGAAATTACTCTATTAAGATCAGAACCCACCATCATAATATTTACAGATTTCTCTATCTCTCTCTTTCTGTAGATTAGATAAGTATTTTTGGTTGACAACATTCCAATTACAATTATTCTATTTTTTACTTTCACAGACTTTGAAGCGTTTAGCGAAGTAGCTCCAGAGATCGGAAGATCGCTGCACATTCAAAGCAAAAGTAATGGTCTTATAGAGCGGGACAGAACTATAAAGATTACAAGTGCTTGGAGTCATCAAACTGTGATATACTATTGTGAAAATTCTTGCTGATTGATGGGCGTATATTCTACATAAGTAGTTCATATTAATCGACATAAAACACTTTGAAGACAATGGCGTTAATTAATAAACGTCTGCTGCCCATTAAGGCGCATTTTTTCTTCTTTATGGCGGGTAAGTTATGAGACTTGCAATAATTAAATAAGATTATGTCTGAACGTAAATATTCCAAATAACGTTATAACTCATATTTATCCTCTTAAATAAAAATCAACTTTGCTGTTATATTGTTTTAATTATATTGTTTTTGTTATCTTGGCCTAAATAAATACTGTTTGTAACTGACCTTACAGCAATGGGACCCATACTGCCGCAACTTGCAGTGATAGGCAAGCAGATTGGTATTCCACCAGACATTATGGGCTATATAACAGCTGTTTTACCTGTGATGTATGTGTTAGCCAAGCCACTTGTTGGCTTTCTGGCTGACTATTTTATGGTGAGCTGTATGAATTTAAATGTAGCCCTAAGAACTGCTAATATTTTTGTGTGTTTTATGTCTTTTACAGAACCTACGCAAGTTAATTTTTATGACATTAATTGTGATTATGACATTGGCCTATGGCGGCTTCTATTTTCTGCCCAGTGCTCCGCATGCCATTGAACTGGGCGATAGCAGCGAGACTTGGGAAATTACATTTTTAGAGGAGCCTATACACTGTCCGCCGGAGCTGTATGCATCACCAGACTATTGCCAGGCAACCCATCAGGCCGAGTGCAATCAGGAGAACTTTATATTCAAGACTTTAATTCTGGCGCCGCAGATGATAGCTGATCTGAACTTAAGCCCCAATCTGCAGCGTGCCAATGGCAGCTATTATATATGCCTCACCGAGCTGAGCTCGCCAAGTTATTGGAGCAACGATTCCGCCACGTGTCAGCTGCAACCGATCGGTAGTTGTATCTTTGGCAGTGCCAAATTTTGGATATATGTCAGCATGCTTTTCATTGGCACCATTGGATTTAATGTGACCAATTCCATATCGGATGCCTGCTGCTTTGATATGCTCGGCGAGGCTGAGCAGAGCAAGTATGGTGCTCAGCGTGTTTGGGGCACAATTGGATTTGGAGTGACAGCTTTGCTAGCTGGCATTGTTGTCAATCTCTGGACAACGGACACAGTTAAAAGTTTTACGCCTGCCTTGATTATAATGGGTATATTCAGTGTGTTCGATTTGTTCAGTGTGTCCAAGCTAAAGCTGCCCAAGCTGGGTGGCTCCGAGTCCATTTGGACGGATGTATGGCAACTGGTGCGTCAGCCACCGATTGTATCATTCCTTCTATTTGCCACAATGGCAGGCATCTTTGATTCCTTCATCATATACTTTATGTTCTGGCATGTGGAGCAGGTCGCTGAGGAGACGGGCTATATGGATCAGATAAAGCTGATCGAAGGACTCGTTGTGGCCGCCGAGTGTCTGGCTGGAGAAGTGCCCTTCTTCTTCTACAGTGGCAAGATCATTAAGAAGCTTGGCTATGTCCATTGCATGACCATGTGCTTCTTCTTTTATGCTGTGCGCCTGTCACTCATTTCATGGATCCCGAATCCCTGGTATCTGGTTGGCGTGGAGCTCTTCTTTCAGGGCATCACATATGCCCTTTGCTACACCTGCATTGTGGCGTACGCATCGGCAGTTGCTCCACCCGGCACCTCTGCCACCGTTCAGGGACTCATGGCTGGCATGGATGATGGATTGGGTTTCTCGATTGGTTCATTGATTGGTGGCATTATGTTCAAGCGATTGGGTGGTCGCGAGAGTTTCAAATATATTGCCATTGCAGCCATGTGCACTTGTGTAGGCCACATTGTGCTGCGTCCGTTGTCCAGGAAGCAACAGTATTTGCCCAAGAGCGGCTATCAGGCACCAAAAGAGCAGGCACACGATGAGCTGATGCCAGTGCAGGAGTTGCCAAAAGTATATTAGTTGTAAGTCACCATTGCGAAATGGATTTCTTACTCCCTCAATTTCATATAGTTCATACACATGTGTATATATTCTTGATCAGCATTAAATTAGCCATACCTACATATATGTAAAAAATTAAATATTATCAGTCTCACGAGAAATTCGGGATGAAAAATGGGAGTAAATAATAATTTACGACTGTTTACGGTAGTAAACAATATCTTAATCTTTTGTATTCTTTTACGTATATGTATATATTTGCATACATATTTGCATTAAATAAAAACTTGTTTCCAAGTTGAATGACATTTATGATTGTTTTATTTGGACAAGTGTTCTTCATTTTAGGAGCGCACACGGCGCCGACAACTTTCAAGAGGCCCCCTTCACATTGTTAAATAATACCCAAAGAGAACAAAAAGCAAAAGTGTAAACAAATAAATCGAATTGTACACTGATTCTTAAGGCGGCCGATTTGAAAGTGAAACTGATTACGTTTATTAATTCAAAATACGGCTAAATGTCGAACATTTCTCACTCCAGAAGGCAGCTTTAGCATTGAAAGCTTAACTTTGGAAAAAAGAATCACAGCTTTTAGTAATAGTAAGAAAAATGTCAGATTTTTGTAGGGTAGTGTACATAATTTATGCTGAAGTATGGGCTACACTTGAAAGCTGTTTAAAGTGGGTGCTTGTAATAAAAATTGGATTGGTCAGCTATTCAAAATTTGTTTGGCCGAAATACTATAAAAGCCTGACTTAAAATCTTAAAGCCGTTCACAGTTGAAGAAGATGCCACAAATGTTGCTGCTGTCCTTATTAATTGTTCTAAGTGCGACACAGATTAGGGCTCGCCAAGTGGGCAAATGTAGTCTGGCGCGCCAACTATTTCGCTATGGCGTTCCCTATGGCGAACTATCGGATTGGCTGTGCCTCGTCGAGGGAGAAAGTTCGTTCAATTCGAAGGCCATCAATCCATCGAATGTGGATGGCTCTGTGGATTGGGGCTTGTTTCAAATCAACGATCGCTACTGGTGCAAGCCGGCGGATGGGCGACCGTCGACGGATTTGTGTCGCTTACCCTGCCGCCTCCTAATCAGCGATGACATCAGGTATTCGATTGCTTGCGCCAAGTATGTCAGACAACAGCAGGGATTCTCCGCCTGGGTGGCTTGGAATAATCGCTGTCAAGGCGTGAAGCCAAGAGTTGGTCATTGCTTTAGGCGTAAGCACAGGTTCTTTGGCTAAAATGTGATAAGGTGCTAAATAAAATAATAAAGCGTTGTGTGATTAAAAGTAATCTTTTCTTATAATTTTATTAACTGCAAGGATTTAAAAATCAATTCAAATTGGAGTAGTGCTGTTAAACGTCGTTTGCTAAGTCTGGCAACGCCTTATAGCATATGCGTGAAAGCTGATTGTTACGCAACGCAGCTGTCAGCTGTCACCTTGGCATTTTTGTTTACTCAGACAATTGTGTGAAAATCTGTAAATATTGCTAAAGAATTAAATATTTAAAATGGCATCAGCATCTAGTTCAAGTGCACGCCATCTATTTGATGACTCCAAGAAACGTCTGTGCGCACGCGTTGGCGTGAATGTCAATAATTTGGGATCGGTGGCCAGGCAAGTGGTGCGTGGCTCCAAAACAAATGAGGTATGAAAAAATCCAAAAATCCAAAAAATGCCATAAATTTATTGGTATTTAATTAATCTCTTGCTGCGCAGATCATGCATCAGACATTGAAGAACTTTACGCAAGTCGATGTCGTATCGGATTACAGCAATCAGAATCTGCAGAAAATGTCGCTCATTCTGCAGCATGTGGGTTATCAATACGATGTGATGGAAGACAGCGTCAATCATTTGGATTACCTCAAGGAACAGGTGACGGCGATGGAAAGATGATTGGAAGAGCAAAAGCCCAGACATTAGATGAAACTAACACTCCCCCTTACTTACCCCGCCTCGCCCATTTTTATCAGCAAACTACTCATATATATTCATAAATTGCCCTGCGCGGAGGTCAGCCCTTGATTGGTGGGCAAACACACAAAAAGAAAAATGCGCGATAAGCGTAAAGATATCTTTGCATGGCTTGCCTATAAAACTTGGCAGCAAAATTCTATCTGGGTAGTCAGCTATTTGGAGATCATCATGCAGCGTATTCGATTGTTACTCCTCCTCCTCATCGCCTCCGTCACGCTAGCCGCCGCGCAGGAGCAGGAACTACCAGCGCAGCCAGGACCACAGGATGGTCGCATTGTCGGCGGCTGGGAGACAAAGATCGAACACTTTCCGCACCAGGTGTCGCTGCAGTTGAAAGGACGTCACAAATGTGGCGGCACCATATTGTCATCCAGCATTATTCTCACCGCCGCCCATTGTCTGCCCATGTTCACTAATCCAAATGAGTATGCCATACGTGCTGGGTCCACTCTGTGGTCAAGTGGTGGCAGCTATGTTCGTGTTCGCCAAATCATTCGACACGAGCAATTCAATGCACCGACGCTTATGAATAACGATATCGCCATGGTGCTGCTCCAGCAGCCGCTCATATTTAGCCCCAGCATACAGCCCATTGAGATTGTGGCGCCGGTGGATATGGTGCCGGCAAAGGCGCAACTCTTTGTCAGTGGCTGGGGCTCCACAACTGTGGAGCAGCTGACGACGGCGCCGCGTCTCCACTACACGGCCATCGTACAGCTGGATCGTGTGTCTTGTACGAAGAACTACTTTGGCGCCGGCATCGTCACCCACACCATGTTCTGTGCGGGCAGCAAGTCGGGGCTGGGCGAAAGAGATAGCTGCATGGGTGATTCGGGTGGTCCGCTGATCACCCACATTGATGGTCGCTTCAAACTGCTCGGCATTGTGTCCTGGGGCTTGGGTTGTGCTAATGCACATTATCCGGGCGTTTATACCCATGTCACAGCCTATAGCGATTGGTTATTGCGTACGGTGCCTAATCTTTGGCCACTTAATTAGAGCCTATATGATTTTAAGTGCACACTTTTGTATATACAACATTTACAATGTAATGCATTTAAGCCTATATATTTATATGTTGTTCCTATATAATCCAAATGTAATCTTTAAATAATTGTACGCCTGTTGGTCTGAAAACAGTTTATAGCTTGTAATAAACTTGAAATCTTGCTCGAGCCATAAATTTGAATGCTTATGTGTTTTTTGACATCGTTTGTATATAATAAGAATGGCTATAGCATTTAATTTACTTATTTTACTTATTTACAAAAATCGATTATTAAAAGATTCATTCAACTTTGCCCCATAAGTATCCTCGTTAATAAGTCAGAATTGCGCCTTTTTTCGAAAGTATTATTTGAACCGGTATCAAATTTTAAAAATTAGTGTGCTTACTGTAAAAACTTTCCATGTTTGAGAAAAAAATGAATAGCAGAACTTTATAAATTGTAATTTTGAAAATGAATATTATTTTTTAATCTAGCTTTATTATACACATTATTTTAAGTTAGTTTGAGTACATCTTATATAAATAAAAACTTAATATTCAGTAATTTCTCTCATTTTAAAGAGTACTTTAAGTTCTTTATTATTATGCAAATACAAATAAATGAAAAAACAACATCAAGATGTATAAAACCAATGAAAGATTTGTGTAAGCACACTTGAAATTGCAAAGTCAAGATTGCTAAATTGATTTTAGCATTTTGCTTCCTCTAAGTAAAGCTCAAAGAGCAGCAAAGGTAGCTTATCAAGCATTTTTTTTTACCAAATAAAAACAAAAAACATTAAATCACTAATATTTAATTGCTTTGTTTGTGAATGAAAAATTGAAAAACAAAACAAGTTTCGACTTTAAAGCTTCGCTCGTCATAAAACTTAAAGCTAATTCACCGTCCAAGACCAGTTTTTTGTTTTTTGTTTGTTTCGAAGACTACAACTGACAAAATTTCGCTACACGTTTCAGTTTCCAAGCGCCGTTCAACAACGAGGCACACGAATTTAAAAAAAAAAATATATATATATATGATGAAGAAATTTCTCATTTTGGTAAGCATCCTGACAAAACATTGATGGATAGAACATAGACAACAACATTTTCGCTTTCTTGTGGCAAGGTCGTCGCTTGCACATTGGGCGTCGCACGAGCGGACGTGTCGCATCTGAATTTGCCCACCACTCCCGTGCCACATGCACACGCGAGTCCCTATGTGTTTAGCTATCAGGCGGGACGCGCACCTGGTCATGTCGATCACCAGCATACGGAGGTCTCCGATGGCTCCGGGGTTATACGCGGCGCCTTCTCCTATGTGGATCCCAGCCATCAGGTGCGCACCGTGCAATACGTAGCCGACGAGAATGGCTTCCATCCGCAGCTGAGTCATAAGTTGGAAGACAGCGAAGCCGTCAAGGCAGCCAAACAACGGCACTTTGCGGACTACAATCGTATTGCGCAAGAGCACGCCAGTCAACACACACACGGCCAAGCGGTGAGTATGGCTTAGAGATGGGTGCGTGAAATTATAAGCCAAATTACAATAAGTTTAGTGGATCAGCATTCGAATATTTAGTTAAAGTTAGTTGAGAGGCTGAAAGTGAATCACAATACAAATATATAATATTTAAATATATATTTAAATTTAATAACTTTTAATTTGAATTTAATTTAAGTTTAATAATTTTAATGTGTTGGAAATTTTTTCCAGCCGTACTAAAAGAATGTTAATAATGAATTAAGAGTTAAAAGGTTATATTTATGTACTAGTTAATTGTATAATATTAGGAATCTTTGATAAACTTTAATTATTAGTTTAAAAAGGGAAAAGTTAAATACAATGCCGTATAAGAAAACTAATTTAGATGATTGTATAATATATTTAGATTGCACAATTAATCACGAGCCAATCTCTAGTAATTGCACATTTTGCAAATTACATAATATTTTTACTTAACTTGCTTTTTCAATTGTTTCACAGTCGCACATTGCAGCCGCTCCCCAAGGCAGCGCTGCTGTTATTCATGCAACGCAAAAACACTTGAATGCCTTTGATCGCATCGCTGCGGAGCATGCAGCAATTGGGCGACAACAGGAGGCACAACGCTTGGCGCTGGCGGCACAATCGGACCACAGTGAGATCGATAATGGACAGTATCGTCCATAGTTTGTACTTCTAATGATGTGAATTTAATAAATTGTAATTACGAGATAGCTTTGACTTAATAATATGCCTTCTGAAGCGCTTGTACAATATTTTATATATATATATATTGTACAACATATATATATATATATATATATATATATATATATAATTCATTCCTATTAGAAAGCCACCGATATCAGCTTGCTTAGCACAATTGACTTGTACAATATTTTATATTGTATAAATATTTATACATATATGTATAATTCATTCCTATTATAAAGCTAGCGATATAAGCTTGCTTAGCACAATTGACTTCTGAACGGAGCACAAGATGCGTTCATATTTGTGCTGCGCTTCTCTACTGACGGCTGTGATGCTCTGTCTGGCCTACGAGGTACCCGAGGCTCGAGTATCTGTGTTTCATCCCAAAGGATTTGAGATATCCATTCCGCATGAGGAGGGCATCACACTTTTTGCTTTCCACGGCAAGGTGAACGAGGAGTTTGATGGATTAGAGGCAGGCACTTTGGCGCGTGATATACCCACTGCAAAGAACGGACGCTGGACATTTATGGATCGTAGTACAGTATTGAAGATGGGTGACACATTGTACTACTGGACCTATGTAATTCACAATGGTTTGGGATATCGCTTTGATGATGGCGTTCATGTAGTCACCGAGTTTACAAACAAAACATAGCAGATTAAACTTTTTTATTAATAGCTATTGAATTATCTTCAATATGTGAATCATAATTAAGTTGTTGTTTTTCTATCTATGGTGCTAATCGAAATTTGTGAATTGCGTTTTCTTATATGAATAATATATACAATTTTAATATATTCCTTTTATTTTTTGATTTAATAAACACTTTTTATATTTCATGAAAACAATTTGCTCTTTATAGTTTTCTCACATGAAAATAAGCTAAATTTTTTTTAAATTTAAGACATATTAAGTAATTCATAACAATATTTTTAATTCTTATCTGGGTCTTATGTCGTAGTAGGCGTGGTATTTTTGGAAACAGTCAACTGGGAAAATTCAAACAATTTCTTGCGCAGCAACAATTCTGGCTTTCGAAAACTAATTTCTGAGGAGTGCAGAGCACTAAGTAATTTTTTTTTTTCAGTTCTTTTTTATATAAAAATATTTCATTCAAATAATAATTTCTGTGGTGAACAGAGCTCTAAGTAATTATATTTATTTTCAGTACTTTTTCAGATTGTAAATAGTTCTACGTAATACCGAAAATAATGCCAGGGCGAAGACCACCACGATCAATTAACAAACTACTGACTTTAAAGCAGCAAAATGCAAAACTCTACAACCAAATAAATAAGATTTTCAAAGAGATCAACGAACGGGGAAATGAAGTAGCTGTCGTGGATAATCCACTGGATATCATACGAAGAATGCTAGTTATAATCCCGGATATTATAAAGCGAATGTCTCAATGGACGAAACTAAAGGAGGTCATAAGCAACTTGCAGCACGACCTGGACATAGAGTTAGAAAAGCATTCGGAACTTTTATCTGCCAGGGAGATAATCAGTAACAATGGAGAGTGCCTGTGCAGCGGCGAGCATCGCCGTGTCTCCTTGCCCTGCGGGCACGTGTATTGCGAGGAATTCATATCCAAACGCATATTGGAATCCCCGCGATGTATCCGATGCGGCAATGTTACCACAATTGATGAATTGTGGCGTGTTTATTTGGATGCCTAAATAGTCGTGTCTTCCTGCATTTATTATGTATTCTCGCACTCGCTGTGTTAATATAATTTGAAATTTATGCGTTTTAAAATGCTATTATGCATAAAGTAAAGGGAATGCATTAAGATGGGCTGAAAATGCCGGACTCTGGCGTCAAGTCATCAATTCGGCCAATATAATTTTGGCCCTTCTGGCAGTCGGTAAAAAGTTGCACAAGGATTCGCAAGCCAAATGTTTGACGTTTTAGTGGCGGCAAGTGCTCTACGTGATGTGTATGCGTTGCAAGACAGACGCAATGGCCACGCCCACTGGTAATGCCTCCTCCTCGTTTTGGTCTTTTGTCTATCCTTGGTCTCTTTGTGCCATTTCGTAGTTTCCAATTTTTCTTTATATTTTTTTTTGGACTGAGTAACAACAAAGCAAATGCAATTACAACGAAACGTGAACAAATTTTTTGCACTCACAGTTTGCGCATTCGGCAGTCGGATCTGAATTGGTCTGTCAAAAAAAACAAGGCTTTTGCAGAGCTTCGGTCGTCTACAACTTGCAGTAGTTTGATAATTTTTGCACTTTTCTGCATTGCCACCGTTAAACGCTTCGTTGCCGCCTAGTTTTTTTCCGTTACACCAATTGCGAAAAGTGCTTCAAATGTAGCTGGTCTAAAGAGCAAAGATAATACCCAATTTGGGTATGGTCACAGTTTTAATACTCTTCGATTGCTACAAATATATAAATCCAATCTAATATTTGATTTTATCATGCGTGCTCCAATTTGTACCGACATGAAATTGTTTCATTTTACAAGGAAAAATATGTGAGTTGTACAGTTAATTTTAATAGTTATTGAATGCTGTTTATGTAAATTCGAAGGCCTAAAAGACAGATATATGGGTAAGCAGGTGTCTGAAATCTGGTAATACCCGTAGGCAAGGGTATTAAAGGGTTGATACACACGTCCAGGCGCTTAATGCATGACACGTTTCGCTTTTGAGGCGTGCCCAACAGTTAGCTGCATATACATATATATTCGTTTGTGTATATATTTTTTACACAGTTTGTTGGAGCATGGCAAGTGTCATAAATATTCTTTGGCTCTGCTTTATTTCTTGCCACGAAGACGACGTCGACGACGAGGAGCAGTTTATCAATAATGCAAAACATTCAAGCGAAGGGTGTTTACACCCCAGATGGGCAATGGTGGTTTAGGTGGAGAGCGGGTGTGGCGGGTGTGGTGCTGGGTGGTGCTTGATGGCTGCCAGTCGAGCAGCTTAAGTTGCTTGGGCAGACGCTCTTTGGTTAGGACAGCAGCATACTGCATTCAACATTCAACATTCAACATTCAGCATCCAATATCAGAATCGGCAACAGCAACAGCAGCATCAGAAGCATCAGTAACCGTTGCATTCTGTGTGCATGTTTGTCGATTTGACTACGATTGCGGAAACGTATACAGTTCGTTGATCATTATCCGGTTCGTGAGGCTTGCCGGGGCAATCCATTTTGGACAGAGAGACGTGATGTTGTTGGCCAATCGAGTCTTGACGCTATCGAACTCAGTACGACTAATACAAGCATTCCGAGTGTGACTATTTAGTAGTGACAACTAAAACACATTTCAATTGATTTGATATGCACACCATTAGCGAGTTAACGATATAGAGAAAAGGAGAAAGAGTGCGAAAGAGTAAGATTGTGTGAGATAGATAACGTATTCCCTGGTTTATGTGTAGCATTAGGCCAAAGTGCTGAAAATTGCATGGCTGAGCGACCGACTTGCAGCCACTTTGCCAATTGTAATTCCCGTAATGCTTGTGGCACATTAAATTGTACAGTAGTAGGCTGCTAATGGAGCGTGTTGTAATTCCATTTATGTATATTTCCATAAATATCCTTTACAAAGGGCATTGGGACTTAAGTCCTTTCTGCATTGCACTTTTGCAGTTGCACACAGAAATTGCATTCATTTCTGTTGGCTGTGTAAATGGCTATGAAAATTCAGAAAATGCTATTTCGAAAATTAAACCTCCACCTGCTAAATAATTTAACGAGGTTTTTCAGCTCTTGTAGCATTTAAGAAATGACTGTTTATGGTGAAAATTTAATCGATTACAATGCATTGCTTAGTCTTGTAAGAGCTTTCGTCAGATTCACAAATTCATGTTCTCTACTCTAAATTGTTTGATACGTAGTATGTTGGGAATATTGCAAGAGTGCAATCTAATTACATATATGTAGATATATATCTGAGACGTCTTTCGTTACCTTAAATCAATAAGCACTGGCTTATTTGCACATTTCAGGCAAATGACAGGCGGCAATAGAATCGCATAAGGAGCAGCTTGCTCAAAATCAAATTAGAGCAAATGCGAAGCACTTGAAGGAAATGCGGACTGCAAGTCACAGGAAACAGGAAGAAAGCACGGCGAAATCAAATAACAAAATTTGATTGAATTGAAAACTGAGGTAAAGGTACAACGCTAAACGCTGATTTATTGATTTTCAAATCGCGACTATGACATTTTCGCCATCATCCATCTTTTGAGACCAAATAAAATAAAGCAAGACTCACTCAGATGTGAGCGCTGTCAAAGTCTTTTGTTGTTTGCGAAAATTGTGCAACATTAAAGATTTACTTAGGCACCGAAACAATGTCAATTGAAGCACTTACGCACACCAAATTTTATTTACAGCACATTTACTTTTGTCCCTTTTTTTTTTGTTAAATATATTTTATTTTAATTTTATTTCATTTTACGTTTTATTATTATTTTTGTTGTTGTTGTATTTTGTCGTTGCCACTGCTGCTGTTTGTTTGCTGTTTGCGTTTGGCGTTGAGTAGCGGAAATAGTAAAAGTTTTCTAATGAGAAAAGTTTACACACAGAGACATCAACGCAGCCCGAAGGAGCAACAGTAAGAGAGCGAGTGAGAGACCTAGAGAGAGAGAGAGAGAGAGAGAGAGAGAGAGAGAGAGAGAGAGAGAGTGAGAAAGAGAGAGACAAAGAGAGATAGATAGAGAGTAAAAGAGCGACTGCTTCTAAGATGCAGACAACATACGGAGAATATAGAGCCAACGCTGAAGCTCAAGCGGAACCAGCGTCGTTGTCCACATTGGCAATGAATTTAATCATCTGCCTTTGCTGTTGCTTCCCCTCCACTCCCCACCCCGCCTTCCCCGCCTCACCCACTGTGCACGCGAGTGTGCACATCAAAAACTAAACACGTCAAAGTAAGCAACGGAAATGAGAAAAAAGTGCGCTTATTTATTTTGTACTCTTTCCCCAACAATTTCAGTTTTGTCGCCTGCACATCTATTTGACTTGGGCTGACAACAGACACGCAGACGCAGACGGAGATGGAGGCGGAGATGGAGATGGAGACAAAGCGACAAAGAGACAACAGAAACACGCTGTTTGGGCCCTTTGCCTTTTTGGCCACGTCAACATCAAAGCTTGTTATAATTTTAAAATTATGCAAAGCTGTGCTAAACGTGAACGTGAACTCATTGTGGCGTGCTTAGTGCCGGATATGAGAAGGAATGGCGTGAAAAGAGCAATGCCAAAACGAATCTTGTCAAAGTGCCCGTGTTGCATGCATCATAGTGCTAGAATTTTTGGCATCAGCGATCATTTTAATTAGTACAACACATTTAATGTAGATTGGTATGATTGCCAAAATTTGTTATTCACATTTCTGATAATTGTATAAGTGTATCTTTTTGTCATGATATTTCTTATTAATTTACTATGTTCATATATGTATGTAATTATAAACTAAGTTGATAATGTAAAATTACTCGCAATTTTAATTGGAATTATTGTATTGAATTTACTTCCTGAATGAAATTAAACAAGCAAGAATGATATTCGCAGAACCAAGGTTTTTTTTTTATTGCTGTCGGATATCGATTTGTATTGATATCCTGGAAACGGGGGCTTTATAGACGGATATGGCTAGATCGACTCGGCTGTTGATCCAGATCAAAACTCTATATATATATATACTTTATGGGGTCAGAGAAGCTTTCTTTTGCCTGTTACCTACATTTCCACAATACAATTATACCCTTTTTACACATATTTTAATGTGTTTGTATATTTAAATAATACAATGCATAATTTATTCACATAGACATTTACAATGAATGAACTTAGCATAAAATCCAATTAAATTGTTGCATTCACATCATGCACAATTTTAGTTCCTTAATTTGTGAATAAATGCTGTCAAAATTGAATTGTTCGACATTGACACATCCCACCCACATATGTATAAAAATATATAGCTTTGAACAAAGGCAGCCCTTTTCGTGTTAATGCATATGTATCTTAAAGATACAAATCTAGCTTTATGTCATCTGTCAGCTGCTAATAACTATGATTGGATAAATAATTTAATTGCTGCCCCTGTGCGATACGTATCGAGCAACAATTATTTGGTAAGCTTGACATTTTACAAGATTTCGGATAACGTTTAACAAGCCAATTAAATAACTCCCCAATGCCCATGGGGCAAGTCAAAATGAAATGTATAAAAGAAGCTGCATAACAGACTGCAGGCCAGCAGTGTGAAATATTCGTTTGTGGTTCATTCTCATTCTCGAATTTATTGAAGACGACGTGACGAACTGAAAATGAAGCTATTTTGCGTTGTTTTGGTTGTTTACGTGGTGGCTTTGACATTATTTGGCGTGGACGGACGTCGCGGGGGCAAAATGAGGGGCTTGGAGGTAAGCTACCCAAAATACCCGCATACCATTTAAAATATTCGAAATAACTTTTCGTTGCAGGAGCAGGAGTCAATGCGTCTTTTAGACAGAGTAAGTCACTTGTGAGATTTTTAATATTTTAAAGTTAGATGTTATTTGCCTCAAGACGCGTTGCCAATTAAACGTTAATGATGAGGAATTGGATGAGCGACGCTTGTAGGGCTATAAGTATTTACTGACGGGATTTTGTAAATGCCTATTTATTCTAGGCACGGCGCCATGCCCACGGCGGACTTAAGAGCGGATCCGGCTATGTGAACAACGAGCAACCGCCACCACCACCCCATTTTAGAGTAAGTTACGATTGATGTCCTTCGGAGTGCTGGTATCTGAAGTTTGCTCTTATTTTATTCCACAGTCTCGTCGTAACATCATGAAGGTGAACAATGAGCCGGAGCATGGCGAGCAACACATGACAAACGAGGAACCTCCACATTTTAGAGTAAGTGGAGTATCACCAAAAAAAAATGAATGCTAGTATTTGTCAGAAAGAAAAGATAAAAATATATATCTAAAATCAATTTTATAACTAGTACCACTTGATCAAATGTTTCTCATTTACAGCAACGGCGTCAGTTACCTCCTGGTCTGCCAATGCCGCCAGAAGGTTTTCCAATGCCTCGTGTATGATACCCTTAATAGTGTATTCATGTAGAACAACAATAATCAAAACACGAGTAATAAAAACTATATTAAAGCATTCCAAAAAACGCAATAGCCAAAATCTTCTATACTCACCTCTTGTTTAATGGCTTTTGTAAAATATTTCAATCTTTTTTAAACTCTATGTATTCCCTATAGTACCTAGGAATAGCTTCAGGGAAATAAATAATTTTTACTAATTTCTAATAATGAACTTTTTTGTTGTTTCAGCAACGTCGTCAAATGCCATCACCACCAGAAGGTATACCACAACCGCCAGGTGGAATGCCACCACCTCCAGAGGGAATGCCAGCACCACAATTTTAATTATAAGGATTAGTTTAACCAAACATTTTTATTTAAATATTGAGACGCTTGTGTTGGGTAAGGGAACCATGGCAAAAAGGTATCATTTATATATAATAAAATTTGTTCCAAGCATTCCAAAAACGTACTTACCCAAATCCGTTATGCTGATTTAAAAGTATCATAAACCATTTCCACGTAGTAACAATTCGTCGTTAATCCTCTGCAGCTGTCTCTCAGGTAGTTCTCGCTGATCTGTTACCTGTAATTTTTCTAAAAACTTTTTGTATTTAAGAGCCTGTTGTTAGTTAGTTGAGTTCAGTTACATTTCTACTATTGACAGAATGAAGTTCCTTGTATATCTGTTGTTGAGTAGCCTTTCTGTTGCCTTGGTTCTGGCATTTCCTGATAACCACAATGCAGTTGATGCTTTGCCAGCTATTGGCCGTCATGCTAATGCAATTACCAACAATCGAGAGGGAGGCGCCACCACATCAGCGCAGACTAATCAGATACGTGAACCACGTCATCTTCTGAAGAAGCTGTTTCAACCACAGGTGGTGGTGCAACCAGTTTTGATACAACCACCGCAATATTACCCACAACCGCATCCCTACTCTGGCTCTGGTCGAGGCTATAATGGTAACTTTAATTACGGGGTTGGCAATAGCTTTCAGCGTTGGTAGTAAATACTTCCAATATAATTGCTGCTTAAAAATGTAATAAAATAAAATAAAATAAACGTCTTAAAGCAAAGTACTATTTGTGTTCTTCCTCTTTAATAAAAACTTTAAATTTTCCTGCGCAAATCCCTTAAGGTTAAAATCGTCGTCGACTTCTCGACGGTGGAGCTTGCCACCTCCTCCGCATTTCTCACTCCCTAATGCCTAATTAGGCATCTCAGGCACGTAAGTCTATTTTCCCAAAACTTAGCGAAGGTCGTGCCTTAACAATAAAAATTTCAGCAGTGTTTAAAATCAGACAAACATATTGTGAATCTGACAACATTTTGTGAAACAGTTGCAGGAAAAATATTCGAAATTTGTGCGTCGACTTTAGAAAATCATAATACTGTTATACTAATAAAAATATACATTTTGTAGCACTTCAAAACTTTGACACATTAATTTTTATTCTTAAACATTTTGCCTCATAATTATATATTACAATAGTTTTGGGATTTAGACTGAAATACTTTGCAAAAAAGCAATTAAAGTTTTACAATTTTTCATTGGCTACAATTGATGAGCTGCTTGGTTTGGATGTAAGAAAACATTGAACAACGGTACTGCATTCCTGTGGAGCAGCAACTATCCTGCGGGACTAATCGCTCATCAAGTGAGCAGCGCGCCCATTGGGTCCCAAATGGGCAGTTCCACGATGGACTGAGTTTGGAGGGCGTGCATAACGCCAGGCGGCACAAAGCGTGAATCGATGACTATCTCGAAGGCGTATTCCTTCAGCCAATCGATATTCAGCACGTTGGCCTTGCCACTGCCGCTCGCTCTCCGTTTCACTCCATCCTCTTCCATGTCTGTCCCAGACAGTTGCAGCCCGCCTGTGCTTGTCGCCGTTTTGGTTACTGTGTGTTTTGTGCTAAAGTGCAACGGTTGCTTCATTGCATCCAATGTGATGCCGGTGAGGAGCAGCACTTTATTTCGACGCGTTGCCTTGTAGAACAGGCGCTCAGCTTTGTTGAGAGCCGTGTTCACGGACAGTCCAAAGACCTGCTCGAAATTGTGCGACTTCAGGCTTAGGATTTCGGCTTTGTCATAAAATGTGGTCTGCAGATCGCAGGCGAGCCACACAGCTGACCCAGCGATTAGAGAGTCCACAATGATCTGTATCAGCACTTCCATGGGCTGATTGTTGTAGCTCTGCTGCAGTCCCTTCGTCATATTTGAACTGTGCGCGATGCGATAGTTTCTTTGGTACTTGGAACTGAGACGCGGATCATGACCCAAGCAAATTTGGCCATCGATTGCATAATGGGGAGCTATAAAACGCTTATAGAAACTCTGAGGTGTACATTCAAGTTGCTTGCCTTCATCACCTAATTTCCAGTTGAAATTCGTCGATGGTGTACCAAGGCAAATGCTGATTACCTTGTACAGTTCCTCCATCATTTTCGCAATCATCTGGAACAGTTTTAGGCTATCCTGACCGAAGGTGAACTCTGCATGCATTTGACTGCAATACTCATGCAGCTGGAAGAGATTAATATTGATTTTTGGTGGTCAACCCCTCAATTAGCCAATCATTCCCTTACCTTGCTTTTGAGCATCATGTTCAGGTGCCGGGTGCATGTTGATGACCAGCTCGGCCTATAGCACTCCTTTGGCATAACACCATATTTCTGGATGAGATTGACAAACATTTGCCAATTTCCGGCATCGGGAACCGCATGTTTCATCAAATACTGAAATGTGCGGCCATCCACGGGCTCACAGCAGGCCAGCAAATCCGCAACTGTGTTCAGAAAATAATTACAACGTTCCAGCTTATGCCAGTAGAACAGATATGGGGCGGAGAGTTCGCAATCCTTGCACATGCCCAGACGCAGCAGATCGAGTCCGGTGCAGATCCAATTTGGACCGCCAATTGTGCACTTATTCAGCTTGTTCAACTCATGGTGTTCCTCACCGTGTAAAACTAACTCCTGAGTATCACGCAAACTGGCAACAATGGGATCGAAAATTGTGCAAATATTTTGGGCCAGTTGATTATTTGGCAAGGCAAAGAACTGGCAGCGCCATGTAGACAACTGCGATCTGTTGAGTGGAAAGCTGTTTGTATTTGGCAACGTTTCACTCATTTCTGTAAGCAGAGAGAGCTTTGACATTCGAAGAAAATGCAATTTGATAAAAATAGATTCGAATCCTAAACAAAAGAGTCTATCAGCGAAACTTTCCCATGACATCGAGATTTGCATGAGTGTTTTTGAATGCGAACTAGCGAAATCACATGGTTCGATAATTGAGCGATAAAGTTTGCTTTTTCCGCTAACCATAGATCAGTTGATTGGTTAATCTATTGATTTATATAATTGTTATCCGCCAAGGTTATTAAAATAAGATGGGCTAAGAACTTACTTGAGAATCTACTCTTTAATAAATTAATAAAGACTCTTCCCACAATCGTAGAGTTATAAATACGTATGTATATCTTTGGTATCAATTTATTTGCCAACAACTTTGTTTTGCGATTTATATTATATGTATATGTATATATTTACAGATTGATGCATTGTTCAAATTTTGCTTTGTATTCCAAGTATTTTTTGCTGGGTGTGGCGCTAGAGAAGTTCACTTGTGTTATTATTTACCAAAAGCTCTATAGGTAAATGAAATGTCTAAACACAATCAATACAATTGCTCTGCTCTTACACAATCGACGCCAAAGCTCAGTCAAAGCAGCTCAAATCGAAAATAGAGAAGCTGCTGAAATCATCTCGCTTAGCACTGACACTGGGCAAGTTCAGCATAATATTGTCAAAAGAAAAATATATTAGAGTCTGTTGAAAATGATGTAAGTCTCGGGTTATAGATATAAAAGACTCCTCTATTGTAAATACGCAGATAGCTTGAATGAAATAAAATGAAATAATAAAATAAATAAAATCTGTTTGTGATCACCAATCAAAATATGCTGCTGAACGCATCCAAGCCAAATTGACGCTGATTTTGAAAAAACGACAGACTTGTTTAATAATTCGCCGATTAGTTGAAATTTGTAAAGCGTCGAGATGAGACATTTGTGGACCTTGATGCTGCTCATGACTGCCTCGACTCAGGCACAGCATCGTAATTTATATGGTGGCAGCTATGGCGGGAATTATGGTGACTACAATGGCGGCTACATAAGGAACAGCAATATAGGAGGACCCTTTGGGCAAGGTAGAGAGGGATTAATTAGGGGCAGTAACAGTGGAGGACCATTCAGGACTAATACCTATCAGCAAGATATATATGGATCCCAAGGCAGAGAAGGATTGATAAGAGGCAGCAACACTGGAGGACCATTCAGGACTAGTACCAATCAGCAAGATATATATGGATCCCAGAGTGGTTCACCTATTGGAAATAATGCTGGTGATGGACTGATTGTCGGGGGTAGCAATGGAGGAACGAATGAAGGACCATTTGGCCAAGGCAGAGAAGGATTAATAAGAGGCAGCAATACTGGAGGACCATTCAGGACTAGTACCAATCAGCAAGATATATATGGATCCCAGACTGGTTCACCTATTGGAAATAATGCTGGTGATGGACTGATTGTCGGGGGTAGCAATGGAGGAACGAATGAAGGACCATTTGGCCAAGGCAGAGAAGGATTAATAAGAGGCAGCAATACTGGAGGACCATTCAGGACTAGTACCAATCAGCAAGATATATATGGACCCCAGAGTGGTTCACCTATTGGAAATCAGGCTGGGGATGGACTGATTGTCGGGGGTAGCAATGGAGGAACGAATGGAGGACCATTTGGCCAAGGCAGAGAAGGATTAATAAGAGGCAGCAATACTGGAGGACCATTCAGGACTAGTACCAATCAGCAAGATATATATGGACCCCAGAGTGGTTCACCTATTGGAAATCAGGCTGGGGATGGACTGATTGTCGGGGGTAGCAATGGAGGAACGAATGAAGGACCATTTGGCCAAGGCAGAGAAGGATTAATAAGAGGCAGCAATACTGGAGGACCATTCAGGACTAGTACCAATCAGCAAGATATATATGGACCCCAGAGTGGTGCACCTATTGGAAATCAGGCTGGGGATGGACTGATTGTCGGGGGTAGCAATGGAGGAACGAATGAAGGACCATTTGGCCAAGGCAGAGAAGGATTAATAAGAGGCAGCAATACTGGAGGACCATTCAGGACTAGTACCAATCAGCAAGATATATATGGACCCCAGAGTGGTGCACCTATTGGAAATCAGGCTGGGGATGGACTGATTGTCGGTGGCAGCAGCGGAGGACCCTTTGGAGAAGCACAATCCAGAAAAATTAGACAAGGTAATAGTGGAGGACCATTTGCAGTTAAAGTCGATCGGGACGGTATTATACGTGGAAATCAAAATGGAGGTCCATTTGGAAATACTGGAACTCAGTCTGGATTGATAAATGAGGGCAGCAGTGGAGGACCCTTTGGCCAAGGTAGAGACGAATTAATCAGAGGCAGCAGTAATGGAGGACCCTTTAGCCAAAGCGGTGGTCCTTTTGGAAATCATGCTGGAGACGGACTGATAAGTGGTGAAAGCAATGGCGGACCTTTGGGATGAGGACGGGATGATTTAGGGATGGGCGTATGAATAATATAGAAACTGTAATATTTTGATTAAATTGCCAAAGTCCATTGTATTCTTATGAAGCACCTGTTTAAGTTTTAAAAATAGAATGCGCTTAACAACTGATTAAAATGCATTTCTGTGTCTGTTTTGCATGTTGTAAGTCAGTTGCAGAAGCGACGTCGTTTGCATTTCAAAATTGCACAATACATTTGCCGAATCCGAAAGTGCAGCCTAAAGTCGTGTAATATGCAATTGTTTCCACCTCAGACACTATCCAAGAAGAGCTAACCAGCATTTTGTGCTTGTGCATTCAGGCGTTGATGTAGACATTGAACATACTTATACAGGGGGAGTGAGCGAAATAGGGAGCGCTGCATAGCCTCTACTCTCTCTCTCTCTCTCTCTCTCTCTCTCTCTCTGTATATCTCTCAGTGTGTCGTTGTGTTATCTGTGGCGCACATTTCTAGCTGTGTTCTGTGGCTATTGTTGCTATATTTAGCAGCGCAGACGCAATTTATATAAAGTCTAATTGATTGGAAAATCAAATTGATTCGATTCGAACAACAAAAGCAACGCAAAAAGTATAGCATGCCAGACAAGAGAGGACCAGGTTAGTCCGGACAATGGGGAACAGTTAGACGCAGCTCATATATTTGCCATCGAATGAATGTAACGGCGTTCCTTTAATGGGTCTACCTACTAATATTACTATGAATTATTTTTTTTTTTTTGGCTTATGGTCATTGTTTTAGCTAGTGCTTTGGGGCTTATTTCTTTCTGCTTTGTGACACATACAAGCACTAAAAAACAAAAGTTTCAGTTGCCTTAAAACTCGATACTTCATTATAAATAAGACTTACTACATTTTACTTGGGCGAAATATTCGCAATTTTTATGTAGAAGATATAATGTATAGTTTTTAAATACTGATTATGCAAAAATTCAATGGCGCCATATAAATGAAGAGTCGATAGTCAATAAAACATAATCTTAACTGATGCAGAGATTTTGTCTGAAAATGAATACATAAAAAATTTCCTTTAAATGTTGTCTGATTAGTTAGTAAAAAGCTTTATCTATTTGATCGTACAATTTAGCGGTATTTATGTTCATATCTAAATGTCTGGACTATAAATACATATGTATCAGTAAGTATGTAAATGCCTATAAGCCACAAAATTGTATTCTGTCCATTTGTTGTAGCTTTTTGTAGCTGACTCATTTGAGCAATGTTTTTAGAAACTATTTCTCTCACACTCGTTCTTAAACATTCTCTCTCTCTCTCGCTCATACACACGCAATATTTTGGTCTTTTCCACGTCCGAAGCCCGTCCAGAGCTGTGCTGTTATGCACATGTCTAAACAACATCGCAATACCTGTTTAATGTTTATTGTTAAACTTGCTCCAAAAGCAGAGACCAAAAGCGAAACCAAGCACAAAGCTTAAACTGCAGCTGGGTACATTAGGGGGCAAGATGAGCGGGGCTGATGTGGACTTCAAAAGCTTACAATCGACTCACGAAGTGAAGCTAATGTGACTTGTGCTCAATGAATGCCTCAAACCGATATGTTTAATGGCCGGCAATACAAAAACTTTTAAGTACTACTTGCAGAGCCACACCAAAGTAATTCAATTGAAAATAATTATCAGACACATAGCAAAACTTCTTAATTGCCTCATATATATATATATATATATATATATATATAGAGAGAGAGAGAAAGACGCTGAGCAAGAGAGAGAGAGAGAACAAGAGGAGAGAGCAGAGAGCAGAGACCCAAGGCTGACAAGATGTAGTTGCTCGATGTTAGCTTAAGCAAAAAGTAAAAACAAAATAAAAACAAACAAAATCAATTGCGCTCTTTGAGTGGCAACTGATAAGTGGAGCAAGCCATGTACATTATGCTGATGCAGATGTGCCAAAACATTGTCAGGCCCCGCACGTAGCCCCTGCGGAGGCACCCCAAGTATGTAGGTGCAGCATGGCGTGCTCATATATAAAGGCGCGATCATATATAAAGCTCAATCATTTGAACTCGTTGCCTTGACCATGCGCCATAGTCTTCAATTTGTTGTGTGGCTTTTGCTGCTCGTCGCCTTGATCAGCGGTAAGTCGTTGCCCTCAAGCCCTTGCTTCCTATTTGTACTACTCATATATGCATATATATTTATATTTATATCTTAGCTGCTAATGGCCTGCCCGGTGGTCCAGCTTCGAACCGTGGACCTTTTGGTGGACCCAGCTGGAATGGCGGCCCTGACCAATCAACCGATAATATTATTCTTCATTCAAAGGGAGAAGGCAAGTGGCGATATTAATTGACTCGAGCACAGATCAATGAAATAATTGAGTAATGCCATTGCCATTTTAAAGTGAGCACAAATAAACTTTGTAATTGATAGAATTATGCGCTCTATAAAATAAAGAACGATTAATTTTTTTAAATGTTCATTTTGAATCACTCTACATGTTTCATTTTTTCACTCTGTACAAACAACTAAATAAAGGCCTGACTTTTGTACAGTTGTACATGACAGTCTGATTTAATAAAGTCAACTACTCTACAAAATAGTAGTTTCATTAGATTAGTATTTCATTTATAAAGGGTATTTAGTCTTCGACACCGCAAAATGAATGTTGCTTGCCTGTTTACAATAATTGTGTTTGTTGTATTGAAATATATAAGCGCATTTACCGAGAAATAGTGTCTCTTTGTTTAACTGATAAGTCGCACAGAGACTCGATCGTTTTATGTACAGAATTTCCCATCCGAACGATAACCTCTTAATCCAAGTATGTATGAATTTGTACATATTTACATACAATACATATATACATACATATGTGCAAAACCAGTTTTGTTTTACGTAGAAATGCATGTATTTGCCATGGAAGGGATTTCCGAAGTGCTATTCTACAGCTTATACATTTGCATATTACATGTAAGAGGCTTTATATTGTATACAAACAAACAAACAGCATACAGTGGGATGTGCTATGAAGGTACTTAAATGTGGATATGTGAAAAAATTATTTATAGAATGATTCATTTCCATTACGTTGTGGCTTCATTAAATGGGTATAGGAAAATTGAAAACAAAAATTTTTTTTTTGTGTTATTGTCGAGCACTCAATTAGTATTTGTTTGTCAGGTTGTGCAAAAGTTTTGACGCCAGACAATACGTTGAGTCCAACACGGCAGTCAGTTTGGAGACGATCGCAGTGGTGATCGGCAACCGCAAATCGGCAATCGTCAATCGCGAATCGTGCTCAGAAGCGTCGTAATCATCTCTGGCTTTTTCCCAGAGGTTGCAGCGGTGACCTCAATCGGCGATATCTACCCACGTATAATTGAGTTAATAAATAACATACTATATTCTCGATCGTTCGCTTGTATAAATAGCCGGGCTGCTGCATTGTCTTGATAGAGCCAATCCGTTGCACAAAATGGACACAGGTCGCACTCCGATGTTTTTCGCACTAGTTGCACTAGCCTTCTGCTTGGCTAGCGGTAAATATTTGAGTATATGTTCGCAGAATGGAACTATAATTTGATGATATTGCAGCACAAACTGATAAACCCGCCACGTATGTCGATCACAGCAATGGTGTGGAAGTCTCGATACCCGGTACAACGATTCCAAAGGATGATATCTTGCCCACACCAAGAAATCAAGAGGCGGCACCTGGCGGTGTTATATATAAAAATGGTGGCAATGTTTTCTTGCAAAATGAAGCGGGCAGCATTTATACACGTCCCGACGGACGTAAGGTTTTGGTCGGTGCTGGCGGTCAGACGATTGTAACTGGAGCCGATGATAGCGATGAGGATACATCGGCGGAAGGCAATTACAATGGCGGAGGAGGTGGCATATTCATCAATGGTCAACAGGTTGGAGGAGGAGGAGGGGGTTCCAGTTTCATCTCAGGCGGTGGCAGTAGCCTTTTCATAAACCAGGCCGGAGAGGGTGCCTATCAGACCTACAACAATAATCAGATTCGCATTATCAATGGCGGTCTCCAGTTGACCAGCGGTGGCCAGGTGTACACTTTCCCGGCCAAGGGTGCTGACGTCAATAGTAAGGAAACTGTAGAAATCAATGGCCAAAATGCTGTCGTGGAGTACCAGAATGGCAACATTATTGTGGAGCTGGCCGATGGCACTGTGCTGGCCAAGGCGGATGGTGGCCTCTTCAGCGGTAATCGTCAATCTTATGATAACCGAAAACAGATCCAGGCAGACGCCGCTCTTGAAGCTGCCAGGGCCCAGGAATATGCTGCCAGTCTACAAAAGAATTTGCATGAACAGCTCAGCAACCAAATGCGGAACTTACAGGAGGAATTACAGCGCACCCTTGGCAACATTCGCATCTTTAATTAACTGTATTGACACATACAAATTTATGCGAATTACGCATATTTACTCGAAATAAAGTACATTCATTGAACATTATTTGAATTGATTCGAATCTCGTTATTATAACCCTGAGACAGAGACCATTTGCAATTATGGTAAAGCGACCAATTGACATTTGTCCAATGAATAAGAAAGAAATTTAAATACTTTATTTATAGTATGAATTAATGGTGCGAATTCTGCCTTTTCTGATCACTATTTAAATTAAAACTCATTGAGTATGTTTCTTTGTTATATTATTAAATTTTAATTATATACTGAAATTCAAGTTCGGTGAAATATACCTTCGGGCAAATTGTAACACAGAAAAATACGTTTATATTCTGCTCTCTCTTTCGCCCTGAATTTTACAAAGTCGCCATTATGTTGCCGGCAAGTGTAATTTACCTTATTATTCTGAAAGTATACTTTTAAAAATCACGGTTTTTCGGTTCTTAATTACATGGTACATCCATATATTATTTTTACTAAAATTATTATTAAATTACAGCTAAAATCTAAGATAATAGTCGAGATAGCAAACCGTATTTCATTTGTGATTTTCTGAACGGATTTTTGCTAAGGATTTCTTTCTAGTTATAATGCTAATTTTTAAAGTTCAGAGCTATTTCTACTAGTGATAATCAAATATGGAAATATGATGTTATTTGCACAAGTTTGTTTAGTCAGTGATTTAAAAATTAAGCAAACAAATTTAAAACTTAGTCCAAAATCTGCAGGATTAGTTTAAATTAGTTTGTTTAGTTTGCGCATCTGGCTATGCCGTCTTCTATGCATGACATTTGGAATACCCTGACAAATGAATATACATTATGCACAATTTTTCTGCTGAGTATGAAAAATGCCAGCCATGTGTCCCGCTGTGTGCGCCCCACATTTTGCACTTTGACTAATTTCAAAGTGCCATATATCAGTTGGGCTTGAGTGGGTTTTTGGGTGTAAGTGTCGAGGCCAACCCAGCCAACCCAGCCAACCGCCAAACTGGCCGAGCCACGCAAATTCCACAAGTGACATGGCACCCACCTGTAGAGGTGGTTGTGTATCCACACATCCCTATTCTAACCCATTGGCTGTTTCTGTTTCTGTTCCTGCTCCTGCTACTGCTGTTGCTGTTGGTGTTTCTGACACTGCTGCTGGTGGCAGGACGACGTGTGTGACAAATGTGCGTCAAGTTACTGGCAACTTATTTTACAATGCGGCACTGCAACTTTGAACTTAAGTCGAGCAAAATATTTAACTTGGCGGAACCTTTTATAATTCATTTGCCACACTGGAACATCTTCCATGTTGCACTTCACTTTGATACTTACAGCTTTATCTTATTTTTGAGGTACATACAGTATATATGAGCATTTATTAAAAGAAATACATATATGTAGATATAGCATATATATATAAATAGATAGAAATTATTGAGTACCATCTTTGTGACCGCTTAAGGCCAAGTTTAATGAACAACAGCTTGGAAAAAAACGAAAAATTTATTTTTATGCATTACATTTGTAATCATTATAGTCTCTACAGATCAAAAACCTGTTTATATATATATAAAAGAAGTAGTTTTAAATGGTATCCGTTTGCTTGATGACATCATTTAATGAAAGTTTTCTTTATATTTTTGTTTCTCATTTTGCCTAAGACTATGGGTTGCACATAAAGTTGTCACAAGTCTTTTAAAGCCTTGCCACGTGTAAAATGTCGTCCGAAGTGTCCGTGTTAAATGAAGCTTGAGTGTGTGCACTGATGTGTGTGTGTGTAGAGAATCTGACACAAAGTTGCCGCTAGCTTGCATTTTACAATTCTCACACATTGCGCGAAATGAGAAAATGAGAACATTTCGCAAATGTTTCTGACAGCGTCGTTTAGCTGCCCCCATTAGACAAACACAAATGCATCTAAAGTACACGCACATATATATATATATATATATATGTAGTCCAAAATATACACATACATATATATATATATGTATATGTGCATGGTAACCCTGGTATAGAAATCGGAGCTAAAGTAACCGCTGGCCAAATGAAAAACTGCATTTGTTTTACCTTTGGCTGACATGCTCAATTTGCTGCAAATTAGCTGTGACAAATGCAGGCGACACAAATGTGGCATTAATTAATATTCGTATTTTATAAGTATATGGATACCTACATACATATGTAATATGCCCAATTTGCTGTAGTTGTTTGTGTAATTTTAAGTACACTCTCTGTTTTAGTTTTATAGCCATGTTTAAGTGACACTCTAACTGTACGTGGTGCTAAAAGCAGGTCAGGAACACAGGTCATTCGAAAGCTGTACAAGCTGGACAAGCTGCTTTTGTTTCCCAATATAAAACAGGCCTGGCTAATGGAAGCCAAACAGCTGAGCCATAAACAACACACACAATTAGCCATGGTTCTGTTAAATATTTAGTTAGTGCATGTTATACACAGCTTGACTTGTTTAAGAATGAGTAAGTTTGTATCAACACTGTAGACAATATTTACTATGGATACCTTATTCGTGCCAATCTTTTCTTTATTTTATGTCTCACTCTTTATTTCTATCTTTCTTTCTTCTAAACATTTTGTTTATTGTCTTCATTACTAAGTTACTAACGCCCAATAATTTGTGATATTTTCTGGGATTCCCCAATCCATGCAATAAATATGGCAAAAATTGAATATATATACAGATACTCGTATATGCATATAATATGCACCTGGCTAATGAGGTGAATTAACGTCTAATAGTTAAAGTGATTACACGGTATTTGAAAAATTATTAACATAAATATATATATGATTTTTACTGAAATAATAAAAGGAGACAAGTCCTATGTATGTAACAACCAGTAAGCGCAAATTGTGTAAATATATAGACAGCTTAATAATTGATTTGAATTTATTTCATTACAATAATTGAAGGCATTTGATATTTTGAGTATTTCGCAATGAATTTATGTAAAACTAACAAAAGAAAAACTGATAGACAAGTTTTCATAGGAATGCACAGACAAATGGTCAGATATATGTATAAAATAAGTTGTTAACTAAACAAGTAGAAAATATCTATTTCAATGGGTGTTTGTTATTGCTTTAGCAACTGAAACTGCAACAAGGACATTCAGTTATCAGCACCTTACTCAAGAAACAAAGAAGCTACCAAGCACTGCTGCTGATAAAAACACCAATGGGCATTGTGACTTTTGTATATTTATACTGTGCCAAAAAGTTGTATCTGCTTCTGTGCGCCTCAAGTGAACCTTAAATGGGCCAAGAAGAACCTTTGAACAGTTGTTTACTCGTATATTTGCTGCCAAAATGCCGTTGTTTGATCTTGATATCACAACTACCTGCGTAAATGGATATCCTTTTTTATATTATTCTCTTATACCCTGTATAATAGATAGATAAATAACTAGAAACGGTTATCTTCGGTACGCTGAAGCTTATATACCCTTGTAGACCGCAGTTAATCTGCCGACATTTAAATTTTAGTCAGTAGTTCTACGTTTAAAGAAAATTTTATTTGGATGTGGCCTTGAACAGAATAAACTAATCCAGGCCAAGAAAATATCTTTAATATTAAAAACAAATTGACGGACAGACCGTAAGACAAATAGACCAACATGCTTATCTCGACTTGTCGAGTGATGCCTACCAAGAATATATATATCGTATGAGTTCGGAAGTCATATTCTTCAATACGTTACAAACTCCACGACAAAAGTATAAAACCCACCACACTTATTAAAAAATGGTATGATACTTCTTTGTTTGAACTTTGTTTTCAAAGAGTTGCCATGCCATCCAAAAGTAAACCTTAAGCAATCTCCAATTGAATAGGAATTACGAAAACTAACTTGTGACTTAAGCAACACAAATAAATATAAATATAATCAGCTAGATAATCTAGAAAGTTAATGCTGCAGTCTACAGAGTATCTACTAGTCGTTCACCTTAAATTAGCTATAGTTTGACTCCTTGCCATTTAAATGCATTGCGGTAATTTGAAAGCAGCCATTACCCGCACAGAATTTCACACGCATGCGGAGAACTTTTCAATATGATTTATACGGCCCGGATACTTACTTGGGTATCTGTGACAAAGTGCTTCGATGATTTATAGCACTTTGGAAAACAATGCAACGCGCCATGAGTTTGACATGTGCAGAGTCCAAAAATGGTGTTTTTTTTTTGCTGGTACTCGAAATATTTAATGCAGGCAACTCCTTGCAACAAAAACTTTCAGTGAAAAAAAGCAGAGAGGCAAGTGGGAACTCGGTTCAATACACCTACAGTAAAAATATATAAAGTATATATTAACATTGTTTCAAACTGAACAACTGTATATATATATATATATATATATATATATATCCATTTGTTATATCTTAACAAACTACATGTAAGAGACAGCTGAGCATTTTTTAAGTACAAACTATTTTATAATCAAATTAAGCATTTGGATTTTACACATATTTAATAACAAAAGCGTGCAATTAATACATTGATTGATAGTTAAGAGTATTTATTAAAGCTTCTAAAATTTCTCGTATTCTGATACTTTGCTCACGTCATTGTTTGAATATGATAATGAATTGCGCGACCACCATTAACATTTTTTTGTAGGTTGCTTTAAAATCTTGGTTAAAATTAGCTTTGTGGAATCGTTTATTTTTATTTTTTGATGATGTCATGCGGGTTTTTTGTTTTGATTCTTTCTATCCTAATATTTACGTAACAAAAATATTGATGGTGGGATTCCCATTAATAATAATTGGTAGATGGGATCCGCTTTTGGATTTCAAATTAATGGTAATATTCTGTCTGTCCATATTCTGGTTCTGTGCATCATTTTGGCTCTGGACATCATTTTGGCTCTGAGCACCATTTTGGCTCTGGACATCATTTTGGCTCTGAGCACCATTTTGGTTCTGGGCATAATTTTGGCTCTGGGCATCATTTTGGCTCTGGGCATCATTTTGGCTCTGGGCATCATTTTGGCTCTGGGCATCATTTTTGCTCTGGGCATCATTTTGGCCAATCTGATGCTGCTGGTTATAGTTGTGATAGTCCAGGCCATTATATCTAACTGTTGTCCAGTAGTAGAGAATATCACCTGGATTCAGTTTCTGCTGTCGATTTCGATATATCCAACGTCCGTTGCGTGACTTAACGATATCGGTGGCCCAAGTCTGATCGCTCAGATCGTCCATTTCCATATTGAGTTTGCCGTGGAAGGCAAACAGCGATATGCCCGGCTCATCGGGTATGGAGACCTCAAAGCCTTGCGGCGTATTAACCTTGACCGTGGCCTTTGGTGGTTCGTAGGCTTGGCTGCTGCTGGCACCCAAAAGGGCCAGACAAACTATCAGCACTTCGACTTGAGACGTTGATCTCCGCATGATAACTGAGCTCAGCTGAGAGAGTGCTACTTGCTTTTATATTTGATGCTGTGTGAGCTTGCTGAGCTTATCTTGGCTTGGGGCGGTCTCGTGGGGACCTTGTGTTTTGTGGGATCCCGGGAAAGTTGTGTTTTCCCCGTTGCTGCATGAGATTGCAATTTGAGTTATGACAAGTTGATTGCTTGGGGACTCTTGTTCAGTGTGGCGACGGCGAATTGCGCGCCACCCAACAAATATGCAACACAAAGCCATTTAAATAACTTGCGCAAATAGTTGCATAGCAATAATCTGTGTATACCCCCCACCGATACGAGCCAAGAGCTTAAGGCTTTAACTTATATGTACACATATCGTATACATATGTAGCTCAGGCTAGGGGCAGAGTCAGCATGTGTGTGGTTTTGGGCTACTCATTCCTTGGGCAACCCTTTGTTGCAGTTAGTTCTCGGAATGGCCGCAACAATCTATATGACATTGTTGCAGTCTCCTCTGTGCTCTTTTGCCTGGCTGAGTATTTGCCGCACTTGTGCTGTACTGCTGTATTGCTGTACAACCCCAGCCTGCCGTACCAGCAACGAGACAAGACAACTGAGGCAGAGATACTTAAATAGTAACTGTGTGTTGTTAATGCTGTCAAGAGCCAAAGAATGTTGGTCATGTGTTCACCTCGTTGAAATGCGGCAATTGTGAGTCGTGCAGTTAGTTGACTTGTGAAACGTATTTAACAACTTGACAACTTTACCATGGTTGACATAATGCCAGAAACACATTTACGCTATTGCGAAATGAACTGACAACTTCTTGTCAAAGAATCATTTATTTATAAGCCTTGAAGGCAGACACTAAGCTATTGTTATCAAAAAAAAAAAAAAACAGTTTGTTATAAATTTACTGTTAAAATAATGTGGAATTTATTTAATTCATTTAATATTTCTGCAGTCACTAGAAATATTCGTCTAGAAATGTTAAATATAATATAAACAAGAAAACAAAAAAGTATAAATATAAATTTCATCAAAATTGCTATAGACATAGACAGATAAGATAGACGATATGAAAAACTCTTTTTCAACATCAACATTTAAAATGCCATTTGCTATTCAATTTGAACTGCAAATTCCAAATAAATAATTATTTATCGCTGGAAATACCACAAAATAGGTAAAGCACTGTGTCCGCGCGCCCAAGCCAGATGCTAGTTAATTTTTAATTGACGTTCAGTTTGTCAAAATGTGAGTGTTTGCGCTCTGGGATACAATTGACCCACTATAACATTAAAAGAATTAAAGCCGCCCAATCAGTGAACCAGTGAACCCAGTCCAGCATCACACCAATCGCAAACAAAAACAAAAACACAAGCAAAAACACAGAGGTAGAAAGAGTCAAACCGCAGCAAACCGAAACTAAATAGCTAACCATTTATACAGGCGACCCATCAATCTATTCATCTATTCAGTCGCTCAGTTGTTATCCATCCATTGCCAAACTCTCAAACTCAGTCAATTTCTCTGTTTCTCTGGGCCTGGCCCGCATTTTGGTTGGCCATCTATCTCGATGTGGCCCAAGGCAGCTAAGTTTTTGCGTTTTGCCCTGATTTATAAGCTGCATGCCACTGACCACTTGATTGTCGCAAAGTGTGTGTGTATATATATATATTTGCGTATGTGTGTGTGTGTGTGTGTGTGTGCGTGTATCTATGTAATTTATTTACGTTAACACGCGCTGCGCATCCAGCGCCTAAAACTATGCTACATGCCCAGGCAGCCAGCAGTTGTGGCACAGGCGAGCGCAATTTTCATTTATTTTAAATGGCATAGAAAATTGCAAACTGACATTTTTCTGGCCAAGTGCGCTCCTCGATTCAACTCGTTTCCAGATTCTCTGACCATTTCGGCTTTGTGCGCACAACCGGAAATTTGTGTAGTTAGTCGTGGCCAGTGCTCTGCTATTTTTGTTTTGTTTTTATTTTTATTTTAGTACTCTGGATTTGGCCAGTTCGAGGCAATGGCATCAAATTCTAAACCGGCCCAGACTGATTACCATGAAATTACATTGTTTCGCACTTAAAATGAGGCAAACAGCATCGCCAACACGCTGTACAATGTTGAACAGTGTAAATGTGGCTACTTCGCTGAGGGTTTGAGCACGATTCCAACTGGCCCCAGTCGGGGCTTAATTAAGTGCCCTGTTTATACCCTGTAGCCATTAAAAATGGGTAAATTGGCTATTAAAAAGTTGTGCAAATGTATTTAAGTGGCCGAAAGAATACATATGTTTATTCACAACGATTGATTTCTTCAATTCTACAATTGATATTGATATCAATAGATCAATGTAATGCCCAGTTAAGTTACAGTCTTAGCTACGTCACTAGTAACCTGTTACCTACTCAAGTTTGCTCAATTTGTGGTTAGTAAAAGTTAATAAAATACTAACACAACTGTGAACTGCTTTTGATGCATAGCAAATCTTAGCAGCGCAGAGCAAAGAAATAATTATTGTCAATGTACATATGTATGAATATATAGAATCATAATCGGTAAAAGCTCACACAGTCATCGTATATTTGTTGCAAACCAATCAACCACTTATTCAAGCCATTTAAATTGACAATTTTGATGCGCAATAAGAGTAAACAAATTGTTTTAATTCAGTGCATCGCCTCCATTATTATAGAAGCGTATTTTTCATTGCGTTCAAAGTGTTTTCTTTGCAAAGCAAGCTCGTATGTGTGATTTTTTTCCTCTTATCTACATACATATTTATTTCATTTCGTTTCAATTGCGTTTTTCATTAATTATAAAATAATATACTAAAATACTTCAAGTCCTCTCTTTTTGGCATAAGAAAAGGGCGAAGGCTAAGAAGAAAGAAATTTAATATGTGGTTGCTGCGTTGAGCCGTTGCAGTGTGAAATAAAAAAGGTTAGTAAATGTAAGTGTATAAATATTTATGATTTTGTTATTATTGAAAAGTATCTAATAAGAAATGATCTTGGTCTTATCCGCATATATGGATATATTATATGTGTATATTAGAGCTGGTTACAGGGTATCAGTTAGCTCGTTTTACTTGTGGATTTGCGCAGAATTTCACTACCAGAAACATTGAATATAATTGTGCACATTTATTGTTAATTGATTTTATTTTAGGCCATTTTTTTGTGTGATTGCAGTTTGGGTGCTTATTCTAATTCGTTTTGGGCATTTGTCTAAATTGATCGAAAATTGATTTAAATTGAATCGAATAGTGGACAAGACCGATGACTTTTTTTTATTTACAATAGCTTAAATGAAATAGTAAAATCGTATTTAAGATTTAAGAATAGTCAATGAATTAAATTAAGCATTCTTTCGACAAACATACCATAAGTGAATGAATAAACTCCAATCAAATGTATCTGACTTTATCTATAATTACACACACACACACACACAAACAATATCTCTCTCCCTCCACATTCGATGTGCATAATCAATTTTGCAGTGCAAACACCTTAGCTATCTTCGACTTACCATCCTCACAGCTGGCAATAAGCTAAGCAAAGACCTATCCAATCAAGCCCAGTCCATAACCACAGCCAAAAACCACTTTACGTGTAGCAGGGGCTCTCTAACTCGCTTTATATGTATATACACATACACATACACATATGTGTGCGTGCTAGTGAGAATACCGTTGCTCAAACACCATAGAATAAGGGTAGTACCCCCAGCTAACTTATTTGTATGCTCCTGCTCGCTTACGTTCAGTGGCAGCGACAGCGCACATATTTAAAGAGCAAACGTTTATCTAAGTTGTACCGTTGCGGTTTCCGTTAACATTCAAATGCGGAAGCACCTGTCGCCCAGTGCCGACACACAGACATAAACACACACACACAGAGACCATCACCAGGACTAAGAGACCATAAGAACGAGAGACCAAAGACTCGAAACGACTGCGACTACGGCTATGGCTACGGCTAAGTCAGTAGCAGCAGTCACTTCCGATTTCACACTTCGAGTTCGGGAGCTTAGGCAAAGTCCTTATTGCACGGGTTCTTAGAGAAGTACGCAAGTACAAATTTACAGTTAAAGTGTTGTTGTGGCAAATGAATTAAAGATTGAAACAACCAACAGAAACTTGGAAACTAAAGATTGTAATGAGGGAAGGCCTATTACCTAAACCTAATGATTTGCGTTCGAATAACCTTGGAAATATCCTTATTTTGAAGATATTTATGTAATATATATTTGTATCTATAGGCTGCCTTATCAACTCACCGTCGAAACTCAGTTTCAAGTTTAACCGAATTTTTGTATAACATTCCTTGTACATATTCTCAAATTCTGCTTTATATTGCTTTATCAACTCACCTGGCACTCCTCGCATCTCATTTTCAAGTCGAAGACCTATTATCGGCTCTCAAAGTTGAACCTAATCGAATTTCTTACAGCATACCTTTAACAGATTCCCATATTCTCATGATATATACATAATATACAGCTAACCTGGCAACCCTCGCAGCTGAGTTTCAAATCGTGGTGCGTGCGATTTGTCTTGACTGCTACAAAACACACACACCGGGTACATACTTCGCTGAGCATGCATGACAAGTTTCTAGAGCCAACCTCAAAATATAGCAACCCCCTCATGATCCTCGCCAGCTCACAACTCCCTCTCACACACACACTTACACACACCTGAGTAGTAACTTTTGAGTTTTCAAGTATCTGCGTCGTGGTTGTCAACTTTAAATGGTTTCGCTTACACCTTAAGGATGTCATTGAACAAATTAATTACTTGACAAGATGGCGAGCATGAGGTAGTGGGGCGCGTGATGTGGTGGGGTTAAATTCCGTTGCCTAAACTGGTACTCATTGTTGTAGCCATAATCAGCGTGGACATTCTTTCCGTATTTGCGACTAAGTATCATTGTTTTCTGGCCAAAAATGGCGACACTCGCAGATTGCACTGAGCACATTATTAATGCGCTTCTGATGCGTTTTTTGGCCAACGTGTGTG